GGCAGCAGAGGGTGAATAAAATTGATGGTGCAAGCTAGGTTAGTTTGTATGTATTTTTTGCACCCCTCCCCTGTAAGGAGTCGACATCATCGATGGGGACCAAGCACCCGGCATAAGCATAAACACCCAACTTTGGGAGCCGGGATGTTCAGGCTGGATGTAGATCCTCATTCAACGGGTATCGACTGGTATCCGACGTAATTCGGGCTGGGATCGGGAGTGCCGGGACCAGATAGTAGAATAGGTAAAAGGTGTGGGTGGTGTGAATGCCTGGGATTCCGATACATCGAGATCTGCCACCGGTATGACTGGAGGTTGAGCTGAGCATTCGGTAGAAGTGGAAGAACTGGCATCCATGGGAGACTGGAGAATGGCAATCGACATCATCCTGGGATCCACCAGGCACGGAAGAGGGAGAATTGGGATATGTGATTGGGTGGTGGAGAAGCAAAGAGTGGAGGGAATCCCCTGGGAAGTTGTGGCTCGGCGTATTTATAGGGAGGGTGACCATACAGTACCGCCAAGCAGTGAGTGCAATACACACTACTGTACACACTACCGTACCTGCCGTACTGTAAACCACCACCACACCCCCCCCTTCTCTCTCAGGCTCTTCTTCCTTTCCAACAACCCAGTCATTCGTTGATTTCTGTTCTGCGTGAGAGGAGGCTTTACCCTCGACATGCATCCCACATTCCTTTGCTTTCTTTAGATTGTTCCACACCCACATTCTTTATTTTCCTTTCTCTGACGCGCTGTGGCGCCTCCTGAATTCTTTACTTTTAACCCTTTTTGGCTCGGCTTCTGTCCATTCGCCTCACTCCCACACCACCACCACCACCAATATTATCACTACCACCACTAGACTCGGCTGGTCTCGACTTCACTTTTTCCCCTGTCGTCGCCTCCCCCGACACAATGAGGGTTTCTTCATTGTTAGGGTCTGCGGCGGCCGGTCTGCCCACCCTGTTCGCCTTGTTTTCGCCCATCGCACACGCCCAGTCGTTCGACGCCGTCTCGATTCCCGACCTCGACCTCTCCTCGTTGGGCCGTGTGACCATCACCGGTGACTTCGAGGGTGTCTCGTTGTACGAATATGAGGGCCAATCCGAAATCACCAAGCGACCCGGATCGTCGATTCTCACCCCGCTTCCCAATGGCATCCTGACAAATCTGACCTCCGCCGACGCGCAGATCCGCGACATGTGTGCCTTCACCCAAAAGGACGGAACCTTCGCTGGGATTTTTGTCGGTGGAAACTTCTCAAGCCTGGGTGGAGTTGACTCGCCCGGCGCGGCCCTTTTTAACCCCAACTCCAGCAAGATCACTGCCCTGCCCGGCCTGAAGGGCTCCGTCTCGACTGTGCTTTGCGACCAGGATACCAATCGCGTCTACGTTGGCGGGTCATTCACCTACGGAAAGACCAAGAACGCCGTTGCTTGGTCTGCCGACGACGGTTGGACCAAACTCGCCTTCGATGGTCTCAATGGTCCCGTTGAGTCCATCTTGAAGACCAGCGACGGCCACATTGTGTTTGGTGGATCTTTTGATGGTGTCGGTAACTCAACTCACTCGTCGAAGAACACGAAGCAGGTTCTCAATCTGCAGAATGCGACCATCACATCCGACACCGACTCGTCCCTCAGCGGCTACTCCGACAACCGAAACATCATCTGCTCGACTAGTGGCAAGGCCGCAGCCGGTCAGACATACCTGCTTCACGACAATGCCCCTGGATTTTGGCGCGCCGACCTTGGTTTTGACTTCTATCCGACCAAGGTTCGCCTCTACAACACTCATATGGATGGACGAGGCACCAAGGATTTCCTCTTCCGCGCCCTTCCCGACACTGGAATCATGAACATGACCTATACCGACGATTCGGGTAAGAAGCAGAGCTGCGATTCCTCCTGCCCGCTTTCCGATAGCACCACCGAGAAGTACCGCGACTTCACTCTTGTCAATCCCGTTGGCATGCGTGGATTTGAGATCGAAATTTTGTCCTGGTATGGACAAGGTGCTGGACTGAATGGTATCGAAGTATTCCAGGATCAGATCGTCACCTATGCTGTTGACAAGTACAACGAGCCGTCCTGTGCTGGAATTGAGTACGCGGCAAAGTCGACCTACACTGGTTCCTGGACTATTAAGGATGGCGGATATCTGTCTGCCCAGGTGACCGATTCCAACGCCGACGACACCTCTGTTGTTTACAAACCCGATATCAAGGAATCCGGCTACTATAACGTCAAAGTCTTCACCCCTGGATGTGTTCAAGACAACACTTGCGCCTCTCGCGCCCAGGTCAACGTGACGGCGACTCTCTCGACCGACTCTGATAAATCTCAGCCATCCCCCAAGATCATCCCCCAGACCAACAATGATAACAAGTACGATATGCTGAGCCAAGATTCTGTATATGTCGACGCCGCCAGTGACTCGTTCCGCCCTGCCGTCACCCTTCGGCCTATTGCTGGACAAGGAGATTTCACCGCTGTTGCATCCCGCGTTCAATTCTTACTGATCAACGGCACCGCCACCTCTGATGACTTGAACGGACTCTACGACTTTGATCCTTCTTCCAAGAAGCTCGATACCAGCGATCTTGACAAATCGGACATCAACAAGGCTGGCAAATCGCTCAACCACAATGCCTCGGTTATGACCTTGGCTGCGAATGACGATGTCATCTACGTTGGAGGAAATTTCTCTTATAAAACCATCCACAACATCATGTCCATTACCGATGGCAATGCTACCGCAATGCCCGGTGGTGGTCTGAACTCCGAGGTGCTGTCTACCGCTACTCTTAACAGCACCTTGTATGTCGGAGGTCAGTTCACAGACACTTCCGACGGTGGTGTTGATGGCCTCAACTATGTTGCCTCTTACTCCTTCTCTTCCAAGAAGTGGGTGTCTCTGGGTGATGGTGTCAATGGACGTGTTGATAACATCTATCCCCTCGAAATGAATGTGTCATCAGCGGTCAATGAGACCACCATTGCGGTGAGCGGTGATTTCACTAAAATCCTCGCCCATGGCGATAGCCCTGCTGTCTTCGTTGCCGGCTTCGCAATCTGGGTTCCTTCTCAGAAGGTCTGGTTGCAGTCCCTCAACGATACCCAGATGGAGTTTGCTGGTCGTCTGTCGGCTGTTGCTACCCACAATGACACTTCGCTTCTGGCTGGCAGCCTCGCCACGGATGGATTCAACGCTGGCGGCGCTGTGTCCTTGTCCGAGAGCGATGATGATCTTGACCTGATTCCATTGCCTATGAAGTTGGAACACCCTAGCACCAAATCTGGATCTGATTACACCCAGGGGGTGATTACCGGCGTCTATGATACCTCCTCTGACCGCAACCTCACCATCCTTGGTGGTCGGTTCACCACGACTGCTACCAATGGTTCGACTGTTGACAATGTTGCTTTCCTGAATGGCACTGAAGAGACCCTCACAGGTCTTCCCACGGGCCTTCAAAGCAACTCCACAATCATCTCGATGCTTGTGTCCAATGACACCCTCTACCTCGGTGGAAACATCACAGGAACAATTGGCGGTGAAAATGTGAGCGGCTTAGTGACTTACGATTTGGTCAAGAATGAGTTCGCAGAGACTCAGCCTTGGGGTCTGAGAGGCAAGACTAACGCTGTCAACGCTATCGCTCACCGACCAGGCTCATCTGACGTCTACGTCGGCGGTGACTTCGCGTCAGCTGGAACTCTCCCCTGCAGCACTGTTTGCAAGCTGGATGCCTCGGATAACTCTTGGCTGTGGCCTTCATCAGACATCAGTGGATCCGTGATCGCTCTCAAATGGGCGGATAAGAAGACATTGTATGCCGCAGGAGATATCAACATCAGTGGAAACAACAGCGCGATTGCCACCTTCAGTACCGATTCCAGCTCTTGGACTTCCTTCCCAGGATCATCCAAGTCCGCAATTCCGGGTAACATCACCGCATTCGCTCCCGCCAGCGAAGACATCAGCGAGTTCTGGATTGCGGGTACATCGACCAACGGTTCAGCCTTCATGATGAACTACGATGGCTCCGACTTCAACTCCCCCGGCAGCCTCTTCTCTGATGGCACCCTCATCCGAGGCATGGAAATTCTCCCAGTCAACCAGGACCACTCATCCGTGTCTCTCCTAAACGACGACCAGATCCTCCTGATCATGGGCGAACTGATTATCCCGGATTTCGGCAATGCATCCGCAGCGCTCTACAACGGCACCGCAGTCACACCCTTCATCCTGTCCTCCAAATCCGACGGTCAACCCGGCAGCATGTCCCACCTCTTCTCCGAGAACGAAAATCCCTACTCGAGCGGCAGCGAAAGCCACCACTCAAACGGCATCGTCGTCCTCGTAGCCTTCTGCTGCGCCCTAGGCTGCGTATTCCTCATCGTCGCTGCCGGCGTCATCTTGAACAAGATCCAGCGCCGCCGCCAAGGTTACGCCGCGGCCCCGCAGACCTTCGGTACAGACCGACCAACAGACATGACCCGTCTGCCGCCAGAGTATCTATTCAATTCCCTCGGCCACACGAACCCCACAGCGCCAGCAATCTAATGAAAGCAATTCCTCCCTCTTCCCCCCAACCTCTCTCTTGCACAAAAGACGCCCTGTTCCTAACTAAGCCTTAGCTTAGCTAAGCCTTTCAATTTTTCTTCCTTTTTTTTCTCCGGAAGCAACGCCGCTGCTTATACCCCGCCCCCTTAATGTTTGTTTACTCTGCTGTTTTCTGTTAATGTCAACCAGCGCAATTGCACTGCGATACCTTTCTCGCGCCGGCCGTTTCTCTCTCCTTGATTGGATTGGATTGTTGGTCTCGACGCTTCTCTCCCGTTTTCCTTGACGAGATGATTTGATTTTCAATTTTCTATCTTGTCCTGGTTTCGAAATTTTCCTCACTCCTCTTGTGCATATGTTATGCATCCATATACATGTGACACCTGCCCTTTGTAACTTAGTGATTATGTCCTGTCCGTGGGACGTGGTTAATACAATGATCTACCGATTATGAAGATATTTTGGTTTTCAAGTTGTTCTAGGAAGGTTGAGAGTAGGATTGATGTAGTGGTGTACTCACTCGTAGGGAGAATTGTGAGGGCGAAGATAATGCTTGTCCATGATAAAGATTGAGCTAGACTATCTACATGACCTAACACTCTTGTGGCTTCGCAAGGATCCTTGTCTTTGAGGATGGTAAGGATAAAATCGTAGTCTGTAATGCTATCGTCGAAGCAGGAGAGGACCCTAGGATATTTCCTCGGTGAACAAGACAATGGCAGGCCATGCGCATTTGCAACCAACGTAGGACCTGTTTGGACTCCTATAAAATTCAATGCTCCATTTCCAGTGAAATCGCTCGGGTATCGTGCGCGGAGATCAGGTTTCCCGTAAGTTTGAATGGCAAGAACGGCAGCCTCGTCGGTCAGGGCAACATGTGGAGGCAGGATTGTATGCTGGCAGTTGGTGGTGAAGCCGGTCACCAGTGTGAAGGGTTCCAGTTGCTTTCTCTTGGAAATGTTCTCCTCCATTATCTTGCCTGTAACAATGAAATTGTTGGGGGGTAAACTTAACCCAGTTGGCGAGTTGGTCTTCAGGTCGGCGTTCAGGTTCGTGAGACTTTCCATCCTTCAGATTCTCTCTCATTTGGCGCATCCGTGTGTCTAAAGGTCCGGAATCCTCTTTCGCGGTAGCTATGGTTCGAGATGACCAACTATCGCGAAAGGGCGAGGCTGCCTTTGCGAGAGACATTGGTGCAATTTGCGCGAATTCATGGCCAGGGAAATCTCAAATACTAGTCCATCCTTCATTGGAACAGGCTTCATTCAACACCGAGAACATCGTCAAAGATATATCACCGAATTTGGGCACCATGAAGATTAGAGAAAGCCTGTCATATGGCGGATCTCGTGGCGTTGAAGTTCAGGTCAGGTAACCCCTGTCGACCTATCATCCATACTTCTATGTCTCCAGATACACGTTTTCTTGAAGTAGATCTTCACTCACAGGTACAGAACGGGCATGGGCAGTATTGAACCCACTACATGATACCCCTAGAACGAGCTTACCATTATATTCGCCATTTCCAACCCATGTGCATTGAATCATGTTTGGTGCCGATGTGAATAGGGCACTAGCCCAGCAGTTGTAGACCCTAACAGAGGGGTATAGAATTACTCTGCCGACGCCAAGCCAGTCGCGTCAGTTCACACTGTTTCTAAGGTCGATACCCAATAGCATCGGAGCAAGTTGACGGGGAGTGAAAGGTTGAAGACACGTCTCAATGGGGTTCGAGTTTCGTTCGATGAAGAGTAAGATTCTGGGATGCAATTCTGGGCACTGACAGGACAAGATGGGGCCCAGGCTGTGGAAAGCAAGTCGTCTGTATTGCAAGTTCGCAAGAGAATAAGATATGTCAAAGTACGAAGGTTGGGATGTGAAGGCTGGAGAGGAGAACAAGCCGAGTGCGAGACCCTCGAGTACATCTTGAACGGGATGAAGATCGAATACGCGTGTAGTAGTATTCGCCAGAAGAGGGCATGAGAAAAATGAAGGAGAAGGGAAAATTCAATCGTATGAGTGGAGTGATGATTTTCAGGAACTTGAAAATGTAATAAAGAGCGACGGCGAAGACGGGTTGTTTCATAATATAACTAAGATGGACCATCGAGAGGATTTGAACTTGAAGCCTTGGAATATCACGAGGCTTCGAAGACCACTTTACATCTGGCCTGATCCCCCGGCGTAGTACTCCATGCTGGGTCGTCGCCCAATTGTGGCTGCCATGGATCGACGTTGTTGTATGCCCATTCGAAAAAAGGAAGTCTCAAGAGCAAGTAGGCCACCGTTCTTCCACATTAGCGACACCCTGTGCCGAGAAGGCAAGATACTGGAGCTAATAGCCATGTTGCCTGTGATGCACACCGCCGATATGGCGATTGGTCGGTCGGATGAATGGCTACCCATAGTATCTGTTGGGTATTCATGCTGACGCCTCGTCTGGTATTGAGAACGAAGCCTTTAGGGAGATATATAGATATTCTCATGCTTGGGGAAGCTTGGTCCGCAAACAAGCCCCGTGACAAACCACGTCTATGGACTGCGCATTCGCATTCAGTAATGCCTCATCGGTGATGATAGCTGGCATTTTCCGAACAAGCGCGGGATTGAAAAATTGGAAAAGATATTGTTGGGATAGAGGCGGCGACTATCAGAAGTTCAAGAATGTACTCGTTCCGCCACTTGCTCAAGGCAATGGTGTTGTTCAATGATACTTGATATTGCGACCTCCACCGGATCGCAGAAATACTTCAATTTGTCGGAAGGTCCGCCTTGCTTCGGCGCCCACCTGGAATGCAGCAATGAAATGATTAAAGTACGATGCTTTTCGACGCACTCTCTGGTCTTTGGACTTTGTTAGTCTCCGGTATCGCCCTCGCAGGGTCGATTCGGCTTCCTTAAACCCCCCCCAATCCGCTTTATTTCCTTGTAGGATGGATCCCTCCTCTTGCATTCCACGAGACATGCATTATGGGAGTCGCTACATAAGCGACTGGTCCTGTTCAGTCCATACTTCCTGGCGCTCTCCCGGAGGAACGAGACGTGGAGAAAGGGCCCGAGATTCGAACTGAGTTTCCTGCTTGCCGGAAACCGACCAAGTAGAAGAGTCGTCTGTAGACTGGAATGTTCTTGAGGTTGAGGATGATCGATCCCATAACGACATTGGAGAATTATGTATCTGCAGTAGGGAACAGCGATATTTTGGTCTGAAGTCTTGGAGAGTCAGTATCGGACACAACTTTTCGTTGTAGGGAGTTTGACGCATCTTACGCTTAGTTCTGGTAAAGGCAACCAACTTGAAATAAGGTTGGAGTCGAGAGAGCTGCTCGCATGGGAAGATCTGGAAGAAGGGAAGCCGTAGAGAATCAACATGGAAGTTGTTTATGTTTTTGGGTTTATTGTCACTTCCCTTTGAAGGTTCGATTTGGAAGTTGGGTTGCTCCTTCCTGCGAAAGGGGAAAATTGTGACACTTAGACAACGAAGTATAGAGTATAGTATATCTAGATATATCTAGAAGTAAGGGAGGGTACTAGTAACATACATTCAGGCCTATATTGAGAGTCCGATAAAAATACCTCCAAAGCCTGAAGGAGAGGGAATCCAGATTGCCCCAGCAGGGGCCCGAAAGATGAAGAAGGCGGTTTGGCAATACCCAGACCAGTAGAGAAAGAAGACTTATAAGCACATTGCATTATGCGTGTTGCAAAGCAGTGTTTTCAAGATACAAACACGCATAATTGAACTAGGTTGAATAAGAATGAGCCTTTAGCCTCGATTGACTCTACCAAAGTATGGTAGAAGTTTGATATTAAAATACTAGTATCGGATATCTACCGCCGTAACCCTAAACTCCACGAGGAAAATGAACACATGCGCACACCACGCCATCACACACGAGCAGACAGAGGAACACACACACACGAGTATAATGCACACGACACGGTACACAATACAGACACAAGAGGGGTCCACACACACGAGAGCACAAGGAATACATATAGGCACACAGACATGCACACCTATACGACATAGGGGCCACCGCACCCACATAGGAACACATCACACACCAAACGGCATAGGCACAGGAACAGACGGCACGCACACAGGCCAGACACACAACAACACACGCACCGAGAGAGAGCCGCCGAGAGAGAGCCACACAGAGAGCCACAGAGAGGGCCACAGAGAGGGCCACAGAGAGAGCCACAGAGAGAGCAGGAGGAAAGAAGCCCGAAGGAGAGAGAGAGAGAGAGAGGCGGAGAGAAAAAGGGAAAAGGAAAAGGAAAGAAATGAGATCCTCCGAGCGCGACTGCACCCAAACCCAACTCAAACGAGCTTAGAGATCGTGTATCTCGTACCACTTCTTCTTGCAAGTCGCATTGCCGAATTTGTAAGACCCTCCATTGGCCTCGATGTGCTCCGAAACCTTCTTCCAAGAAATCTTGGGACTCTGGTATGCCTGCGCTTGCATCTGCTGATACTGCGCCGGCGCTGGCACCGACACTGAGGTCGGGGTGGTTATCGCACTCGGGGTGGTGTTCATGGCTGATATGGCGGCGTTGGCGGCGAGGTAGGGACGCACAGACTTCTCTGTATATAGATCCACGCCCTCGCAGAGAAGTTGAATCTAGGAAAATGCGGTGTTAGTGTTTGGAAAACGCTTGCTATCGGGGGAAGTATAAGATGTGGTGTTTGCGTTTGGGCTTGTGTTTGTGGGTAGGGGTAGATGTGTGATAGGTGTGCATGCATAAAAAGAGGAGAATAGTTAGTACTCAGTACTGTACTTACATCGGTATCTGTCCATTTCGGCTTGCGAACTCTTTGCTCCTTGGCCTTGGTAAGATTTCTATACCGCCCTCGCAGGGTCGACTCGGCTTCTCTAAATCCCCCCCATCCGCTTTATGTCCTTGTAGGAGAGACCTTTGCGCTTGCATTCCACGAGGAATGCATTGCTACATTGGCGACTCGTCAGACGAACGAGTGGCTCTGGGGTAGAGATGTTGCTTTCGTGAATCGAGGTGAGAGTTTCTTGGTCTGTCCAGCCTTGAGAGGCCATGTTACTCATATAAGCCAACGACATGGGTGTTAGTGGTGATGCTGATGCTGCCGCTGGTGCTGGTACTGGTGCTTGCACGTCATATGCATGATATTGCGATGCTTGGTATGCAGTGGATGTCTGGGGGTTTGACAGGCCGAGATCGCCGGAAAATGAGGTAGGGCTCTTGTGATTGGGGAACCCCATGAGGGGCGCGAATCCTGGACTCGTGGAGAGATGGGTGTATGGCTGCGAAGAAGATCTGGGATCCATCGCCGGAGCACTCAAGCTTGGTAAATCGTGCCAACCGCTGTATAGATCCTCCTGCGTATTCCATGCCGGGTCGGCGCCCCATTGGGGGCGCCAGGGATCGACATTGTGTTGCATTGGAGGCCATACTTCGTTGCCGGAAAACGACACAGTTTGGGGATGATGGGGCATTATCCCCCCGACTGCTGGAAGGTTTGTACCGTGGAAAGTGAGCCCGTGGCTCATGGTAGTGCCGTCTCCCGGGGTGTCAAGGGTGGTGTCAAACGACATCAATGATGTCGGTGTGTCAGCGGGTTTTCCTGCGAACGACGGGCTTTCAGTGTAAGGTATGTTTTGTACCGGCATGGGATGTCTGTAGTCCATCATCGTCTCTGCTGCATTGGGATATCCAATGCTGTCAGTGCGTTTGAAGTCGAATTCACGATTTATACCCCAATTGTCACCGTCTCTTGCCGCCGGCGAGAGAGTGGACTGTTGTGAAGCAGCTGCATCTCTGGGAAAGTTGCCATATTCTGGCGTGACAGTCGAAGGTTTAGAAAATCCTGGGTCACCCATGGAAGGAGGAGTGTTCACCATGCTGCACAAAGTATTGCGATGAGCTTTGTCCTTTTGGCGTCTTTGGGTTGGAGATTTGTGGACACGAGACAAGCGAGGGGAGCGAGATCCCTCTGCTCGTGATATTTTCTTCTTTCTTTGGGAATTAGGATAAAAGTATGAGGGCCATTGTGTCAAAAATTCACAAAGTGAGAGTTGGGGCTGATTGAGGGAAGAGAACTGGTCTGAGATGAACCCGCAGTGGGAAGGTAAGTCCCTCTGGAGTGGCAGCCATTGCTCCCGAACCCCAGGGTTTACAAAAATGTCCAACATGATAGTAGTATGAGCAGGCACGATAATTTGGAGAAAAGTTGGTGTGATTCTTCCCAGTCTTCCTTCTCACACTGGCTCACCGCAACTATTTCTTGATTGATAGATTTGGTCGTACACGGGATATCGCTGGGTGTGGATGACCGTTAAAACATATGCTCTTTCTCTTGCACCCCAGGACCCAGTGTCAGTGCGCAACGGCTACTATACCGCTGGTTGTTCAGGATGCCTGCAGGAAAAAATCATGATATCAGCCTATGTCTCATGTAGGTGAGGGTTTTGCCTCCCCCGTATAGCATCACGGGTTCACAACTAGGTGTCTCACTTTTCACTGAGTATATTATCAACGTTTGATAGCAGATTGAGAGAATATTGAGCACAAAATGACGTCCTAATTAGTGGATTGTGGGCAATTGATCTGATTTCGAGAAAACGAGATTAACCCAGCGGGGAGATATCTCGGCTTGCGGCTGCACGCAACGCTGTCTCAGATCTTACAACAATCCGAGTGCTGTAAAGGATGAGAAAGTCGATTGAGAAACTTGAAACTTGAATGAGTTGGGCCAAAATTTCAAAGGCTCTCTTTTATAAGAATTTCCACGAATATTGAAAAGACGAATTCGCACCAGAATTTATGGAAACATGCACCATTGAAGGCACAGGGGTAAATAAACGGCCATCTACAAAGTTAAAATAAGAACGAACTTTTCTAAGCCCTTGATATGCACCCTAGCCATTTCAACCTCGGGCCGGCCCTTAGAGGAACTCATAAACGGTTCCCCGGAGTCCAGACCGTTGGACCATTCCCAATCGAGCGAAAAAAGGGTAGTAGTTCAGATCAGACATCCAGATCCAGAGTAGACATGGATCGTTACCGAAATGACACCAACCCTAGCCGAACCAAAAATCTCCGGGTGGCTGAAAATATCCGCTGTTTTGATCCACCCCCCGGATGTTTCAGATAATAATATTTATGATGTGCAGTAGTGCTTTTGGTTTTTCTCGAATTCGGGATTGGATCATGTCTTTCTGAGGTTTTTGTGAGACACGTAGACGGGTAGAGGAGATGTTCATGTCAAACTTCAAACTTCTTGGAGCGGCTGAACGAGGGCTTTCAGAAAGCATCCATCTCACTAGGCGAACTTCAACTAATAGCAAAAAATAAAACAAAATAAAAATCGTGAGGAAGAATTATGTTCTCTTCATGCCTAGTCCATCCTCGAGTCATGGAGACCACTCTAATCTCGAGCCGGACTGTAGCAACCCCAGCCCACACTAATAACTAACAGCCCCGAACCAGATCAACCCAGGCCGTGGAGAAGGCCATCCATCGAGCGCGGAAGTTCAATTGCTCGGAATAGTGCTCATCGCCCCATTCCTAGTCTTGGCTCGGCCATTTTGAGAATGCCCATCCTCCACGGATAACTACATGGGGCTTGCTGGAGAGGCTCTCTCTGTTATCCGCTCCAATGGGAAGAGAACCAGGCTTGAACCAACCGTTCTGAAAAAGCAATTATAATAGGGGTTGGGGGTAGCGGTATGCACGACCAGCGGTTTTGAGTTACCAGGGTATTTGGAGGTTCGGTGACCTGTCTATTTCTCTGTAAATGAGTTCTACCAGAGACAAAGGAGAGGGAAGTTAATTTTTGAATTAATGGTGGAAGAGGGAGACTCGGAGAGGAAAGATAAATTTCAGTACTAAGCTCAGAACTCTCGGAAGAACTTGAAGTTGTCTCTGCCTGATACAAAAGGTTGAATGACAACTATATACGAGAGCGGCAAGATCATCCTCACGACACGCCGTAGACCACTCCATTCATCGACTAACCGAAACCCGACTAGCACCAGACTAACACAACCGGCGATTGGCTCTGTTTCAAAGAAGCTTCTTTTCCCTAGCATGAGTATGAGTGAATATCCAGATAGTGCCGAAATCAGCAGGATGGAGAACCAGTCTGCAGCAATGCGAACGCGCAACGGCTGCTGTCTGCATCCCAGTCCAGGGAGGAAAAAGCAGGACAGGATAGGGCAGATAGATCGATCGTCCATTCGGATACAATCCCGAGAATTTGGGGAGCCCGGATACTCATCACCCGTTGATCCACCCACTAAGATGTCTTTGTTGTCGTTTAGGCACCATTGCCTCAGGTTGGAATTATCAACCGACGGGAGGTCTGCCTCGTTGGGACGAGGGGAACGCTTGCATGTGCGGATAATTTTGGGCTGCTGTTATTCGTGCCGCTTCTTTAGAGGGAATAAGACATTTAGCCTGACTTGGGCTCAAAATGAAACAAATCTGGGGAAGCTGGAGACATGGCCTGAATGAGGTTGGTATAACAATGTTTGGGAGCAGGTTTCTTTTACCGATACGAAGGTTGGAAAGTGATGATGCTAGTTTTATGGGTTGGTTTAGAGTAAGGACCTCGGCCATGGAGATAGTAGTAGTAGAGCCTGAGTACCACCCATCCTTTATAATGAAGTGCTTTTGTAATAAGCATCTCGTCACCTTTCCAATTACATAGGCCGGCCTCAACAACAGTAGAAGCCAAGAAGAATCGGACAGGAAAGACCTCGAGACCTGGAATCCAGTTCCCCCGCCCCGCAAATTGCTAGACAAAAATGTTCCAGATGAGAAACATTTCTGCATACATCCAGACATGTACGTACGCGCTGTCGCGGATATAGGCCCAATGGGTAGTAGGAAAGAGAGACAACTCAACCCGCACCCCGCTGTCTCTGATAATTTCAAGGGATACTGGAGGTCTCGGGTATCGAGATAGCCGAATCCAATGAGCAGGCCTGGCTTTATGTGAAAGAAAAAGAACCAACTAGGTCTCTCAACAAGTAAAATTTCTGACCGAAGTGAAGTACAACTCGCTATTCTCGAGCAAGATCGAGAAAATGATATTGTAGGTCAAGCAGCAATGACAGGCACTCATACAGAATGTCGATTCGAATGTTCATGTGGGAAGGAAGGGGGCGTGCGTAAAATATCCAAGCTAGACGACATTCGGGAACCAGACTCCTCCTCTGGTAATGGTGGCCGTCCTTGAACAGGTATATGAATCTCTCTCTCCTCGGCACAAGACAATGAGACGCGTCGATCGAGAGTGCCCTCCAAAGCGGAGGCCAGACCCAGGACGGTCATCCCCGGCCTAGGAGCAATATTCCTGAGCTGGATGTTTTCTTTCCGCTTCCGTCGGCCAGCTGCGGCTCTCCGGGATGCAAGACAATCCAAAAGTCGGTCAACAAAGAGCACTAGAGCCAGTCAGAATGTTAAAATTAGACACCAGAGAGGGAGAGGGAGAAGACAAACCGGTCAAAAGGGTCAAGCTGAAGGCATATAATATGATCGGCGAAGTCATGAATGCATGTGCGAGCGGAAAATGGCTTGCGAACGAGACCAGGCTAGCTAGGAAGATCCCGAGAGCAACCCGTGCAGTCATTGATAGAATTTGGTATAGCCAGCGCTCATGACGTCGAGAGAGCAGCAGAAACGCGGTGAAAAGTCCCATCAGCAAGCTCGCGACAACGAAAAAGTAGATGTAGACGAAGGCGAGAACTTTCATGTACATTCGTAGCAGCTGTTGATTGTCGAGGAGGCTGATGTCCACTTTTTTTGATGGGGTTATGTCCATGCTGGAGAACAGTGCAGCCGTTACGTTGCCCATTAGGTCATTGAATAAATCTTCTGTATATTGCAAGCCGACGGGCCCGACCTCCGAGCTAGTCTCCGGACAAAGAGCCTGCTCAGCTAGACTCTCAAGTAGACTTGAAATGGCGGTCCATTCTTGGGTGGCACCTCGGCTAAATGGGATCTCCATGTCTGTGATCGTACTTCGTATGAGCCCAACTGCTCGTTCTGTACTGGGGCGCGGCTCTTCGCATACAAAAGAGAATGTCTCTGCCAGATATCTCAACTTCAAGGTCACATCAAGCGTCAGGGCTAGAATTTGTGAGCCCTCGAGAAGCAGAATGAGGGCGACATGGAACGGGAAATGAAGCTGCACCCAGAGCTGCTGGGATAGTTTTCCGAGGTGTCGCCGTGGGGATATGTCAAAGTAGACTTGCCACAGTAAATACTGCGTTTGGTCAGCGCAGCCTCTCAGGTGGGGGATCAGGGGAACCCACGACGTTGGCAGTGACACCCAGTATGTGTACAAACGACCATTTGGTCCACCCCCCGGGCCGAACCGTCTTGTTGACAATTCGAGTGATCGCAATAACCCCTTCTCCAATAATGATGAGCGTGAGAAGACCCATTCGTACGTTCAAGTGGGTTTCCTGGAATCCAATGCCGGGAATAGACAAGAAACCCCCATCACCGTCCACATTTCAACTCCAAACAGAACGAACCAAACGGTCCATATTCTAGCGCGAATATCATAGGCCCATCGGAAAGCGAAATACATCTGCAAGAGTGTTAGCAACTCCAGTAATCCCGAATCCGCGACCCAGGAGAATGCCAACACACCCCGATGTAGAATATCGTTGTCATCCAAAGCACAGCAGCTGTATATAGTAGCCCTCTTGCAGAAGGCTTCATATGTTTGTAGACGAAAAAAGTGTTGATGGTGTACTGAATGGCTAGCAGCGAGCGACTCCCAGCAAGAATCAAACCCAGAGACTGGAAAGCCCAAACATTCTCACCTCGGACACGGGTCGTGAAGCGAGATCCGGCAGAGGCAAACCCGACCATTGCGCCAAGCTGAAAGCCTTTGCAGATTCTCTCAAAGACGGAGTCTCGTGCGAAGCGGATGTCGAACAAGGTGACTTGTAACCAGGTAAACCAAATCACCCCGAGAAACCCAATGTATGCACCCAAAGCTAAGAATATGGCCATTAGAACAATGCTTTCACCGCATCAAAGACCCCGAAGAAGTCGCACCTTTCACATTATTGATCTCGTGGGTGGCAGTAAACGTCGAGAGATTGGCAACGAAAAACAAGTCGAAGAAGAGCTCGATAGGTGTCGCGTCTGAGTGACGGTAGAGACGGGGGGTGTTTTCGGTCTTTTCAATAGGACTGGAGATCCATGATAGACGTGTGTCGTGTACGCTGGGTACCTCACATTAGGGGATGCAGTGAGAAGAGAGCGCATCTGGACTTACGGGATGCCGTTCTCCAGACCCGCATTTTTACGCAAAGGTTGTCGAAAGATAGAAAAATTCCATGAAGGAGGATTCCATGAAGGAGGCATGTTGTATATTGCGAGAGAAGTAAAGAAAACAAAATGAAATTCTCCGTGGGGTATCAAAAAGGGAGAATCTTGACTCCAAAGATGCGTAGGTTCGAATGGCAGGCGCAGACAGCAGCAAAGCATCGGCCATGGATAGTACGGGCAGGAACAGCAATTACACCATAGGTACATCTTCATCATTCGACTCTTCAGTGGCTGAGGTCGTTATGGGTGCGCCGATGCTTTCCAATCCTCGCGACTGCTCCAGAGCACCAGCTGCTGCACCATCTGCATCTCCCTCCACACCAGCCTCCTTTTTCAGTCGCTCATAGTTGTCGCCCGCTTCCTTAATCAATTTCTGAATTTCCACCTCACGAACAGCGATATCCGCCTTCTCTTTCCTCAAGTCTTCCATCCGGCTGATCATCTGTGTTTTGGACGTTTCCATCGTCGCCAGAGACAAGCGAAGTCTCTCGAGGCTGTGTGATAGCTTCGGCAAGGACGTCATCTTGGGAGGTGTTCGAGGACGGTCGATGCCATCTGATCTGCTACCAATAGCAGCCTTGGTTTGAGTGGCTTCATAGGCAGCCTTCTCCTCTATATCGGAGTCTTCGGAATCGGATATTCCCTCGGCATCATTAATAAGCTCGCGCATCGCATCGCGATCCTTCCGCTTCTGTTCGCGCTCCGCTTTCTTGCCCAACGAGATTTTCCCATCCTCCACATATTCGTCAAATCCTTCCGCAAAGTCTTCGTCGTCCCTTATCAAGCGCGTGTCCGTATGCTCCTCCTTATCGCCGCGAACAACCGCATCCCAGTCATCATCATCTCGGGTGGCATTGTCGTCCAGCGCAATGTAATCCTCCTCCTTCAAATTGGCACCATGTTCTAATGCTAGACGTTGCCGACGGGCCTTCTTTTCCCGGATCTCGGCCTCCGACGGGATCGCAGATTGCCCTGATACCTTCATAACCTCGCCAAACTTGGCAGCAACGTCGACGGTTCGGTCTTTTTCGTCGTCCGTGCTGGCTTTGGGTGTGGAGGGGGTTGAGTCGCGGAGTTCTTTCAGGTAGTCGTTGCTATAACTCGGTCGATCTGAATCCTGTGAGACTCGCGGAGCTGCCGAGGAGTCTAATGTGCGTTGCACAGCGCTTCTTTCCATCGCTTTGCGGCCAAGGCCATGTCGCTTTGGAATAACTACCCCGCTGTCTTGGTCGTCATCGTCCGCCATTGAGGTCTCACCAAAGGACAGGTTCAATTTGGATTTTTGCTTCGCTTTCGGGCGTATAGGTCGCTTGACGACGGGCTCTGAATTGAAGATATAGAGTCAGAAGCTGTATCGTAGGGCTTTAATGCCTGGCAGTGAAAGAATATAGAAACAAACCTGGCGCCGCGCCAACTCCATTCCCTTCTCCCTCGTCCTCCTCATCGCCACCAATTTTGCGGGGCTTCCTGCGATTTGCGAATTTAGAGCTCATACTTTCGACAAAAAGTAAAGAGAGGAAAATGAAATTGTGTAGGTTGAGGTGAGAATTGTCTTGGAGCCCGAGCCGGCGCGGAGAGCTCTTATCGCATATCGGGAACATCATTTCTCCGGGCGGCCACCTCCAACCAGCGCGAACCTTTTCGATACGAGAGCATCCTCCGCAAGCCAAACCACATCCCCATTCGCCCAAGATGCCTCAAGCTCAGCCTGAATTGAAGAAGGTTAGTTGCTCTCTGCTGCGCCTATATGCATACTCTGAGCTTGTCCCACTAACCTTTTCCTTTCCTTCTAGTACATGGAGAAGCGGGTCTTCTGCCAGCTGAACGGAAACCGCAAAGTTATTGGCCTCCTCCGTGGTTACGATGTACGTGTCGACCCTATCTACCGATGTCCCGAACCCAATTAAATGCGTGTCGTGCGAACCGCGAATCCATTGCATCACCACTGTTCCTCGAAATGGTGACAGCAGCAGCGCATGGCACGGCACGACACGACACCGGGGCGGGGCATGCAACTTGCGAATAGGACTGATTTCGCGGCTTATAGGTTTTCATGAACATTGTCCTTGATGAGGCTTTCGAGGAGAAGGCTGGTGGAGAGAAGGTTTCCATTGGAATGGTGGTACGTAAAGCATTTGATATCCCTCGTGAACGTTGCGTTAGGCTGGAACATTTGCTAAATACCCTTTCTCTACAGGTCATTCGCGGTAACTCGGTCGTCATGCTCGAGGCCTTGGAGCGGATAAGCGACAAATAAACATACCAACTATGTGATCTATGACATTGATTTTCGAGAACTCGCGAGGCACCAAAAAGTTTGGCTTGAACTTCGAAACCTTTGCCCTGCCAGCGGCTGGCCGGGGAAAACCATAATGATACTGGGAGTTTCTGGATCTGTTGCTGCATGGGAACAATCAACTTTTTTTTTGTTATTTCTCCTTTTTCTTTTGCCATTCCCGGCTTATTCACGCACACCTTAGCCGTAGGCATCTTATTGTTATTCAACCACCATTGACGGCTACCAGAGCCTGGATTTTTTGCTGTAACTGTGAGTATCAGTACTTGCACCAATCAGAAGGCACCTTTGTTAACTGTAGCCTAGCACCTTCCTCAATCTGTACTTCTAGTAGTCCTAGGCACCTTCCGTGAATGTTTGAAGTTTGCTTGTTTACCTTCCATAACTACTGCCCAACCCCCCCTCGTCTTTTCTTCTTGTCTAAATCCCCCGGTTCTCACTCCCCAGGACGTCAGCTAGACAGAACTGTCAGCGTAGGTGATAACTTTCTCGGGACTCCCGAAGGAATGGCAAATTCATACAAATCCTCGGTCCGCTCTGCAACCACCTCCATCATACCAGCGCCGGGGACCCAATCGACCCCAATTTTACTGGAACATCTACATACGACTGTCCTGAGCTGTTCGCATTAAGCAGGAGTACACGGTAGAGAGAGCTTGTTGACTAGCCGCTATTGTAAGGGTCATAGTAATTCCTCCCGCTCTGCTCCTAGTTATTTTGTCCTTATGCTGACCTCTGTCTTTCTAGTGTACCAGGAAGAAAAATTCTCAAAGCGCCCAGGAATACTTACCGCCTGATCGGTTCTGAGTGGATATGGGATGGAAGGCGAAAACGGCTCCTAAGTCAACCCGGCTGTGAAAAATCTTCAGAGAAAGTTCTCAAAACGAAGCAACGAAGCCGGTCAGACTAGCGAGGAATCTGTGGAATACCAAGAGTAGATGCCGAAAAAATTGCGGATGGTCGCTGGGTATCGAGAATACTGCAAGTCTAAATGCAAGTTTGACACGTGGGAGATTTAACGAGGTATGTACCGTTCGACAATGTGGCGGTCCATTTTGTGGGAGCTGTCGGACGAGTTCATTATGCATTTCATGTCAGTCAGCACTCTGCCTGCGGTGAAGAAGCTGGGCCTAATCGACCGAAACTCCGTTCTATCCAAGATCTGAAGAATTTTGGATGGGCTGATACGACCGACTATGGAGTCTAGAGGATTCATCGAGACACGTTTCGATGATGAATGTATTTAGATGGCATTCCAGTTGTTCCTAGATGGATTCGGTCTTTAAAATAACATATAGGGATGATGCAAACGACAAGGTCGACTGTACTAGCGGGCTTGGCTTGCAGCATGGCCAGAGGCTGTTCACTTGCAAGTCATCTAAGGCTGGGGCTCACGCCAAATAAGAGAGCTTTGTCAGTCACAGGTAGGGTCCTGTTGTTTCGCAATGCAGCAATTTGTATTGCTGTAACGATCTGCTGTTATTTACCGATCGCATACTCGATATTACATACCCCCTTGGATAGCCCGAGGCGTTACCTACGAATCTGACTCTATATCTACAATACTTTCGTTGAATAATACACCATTTTCTTATATAAGTAATATAACATCTTAACTAATTACTATCTTGACCTAGACCTAGAAATTACCACAGAAGCAGGACTATCAAACAAATTTGTGGGATATAATTCTAGCTAGACTGAAATGGTCTTTAAGCTCTAGAATCTTTTGCTTAAGGAGTCGTGTATATTCAAACACGCTTCTAGTGTTGATCTAGAAATTTCACGGGGGCCAGTTGCCTAGATTTGTGAAGATATTTTTCAAAAATTCCTCTACCTTTCAGGCTGAGTTATCGTCAATTAAGCTACGGTATCCTGGAAGAATGGGAGGAACAAATAGCAATATTCACCAAGGCGTTTAATTAGGTGGCTGTCTATTACATTTAAAGAGATATCACCGACGTCCAGGAAAATCCCATTTTGGACATCGTGATTTCTTGGGCGATAGAAACATTGCGCTCCGGATGTTATACAGCGTCTACAATCGGACCGAGCACCATCACATTTCATTCTATATTCTTGACACAATGTACAGGCATAAGGACTTTTATAATTCTTTCCAAGGTTTCAACAGAAGAGCTCCACGGCTGTGGAATCACTATCTTGCCAAATCCTCCCTCAATCACTTGAGCAGAGAACAAAGTTAATCTAGATAACTTACCATAGGCTACTTGGCAAATTAGCTCTCTCCTTTACCTATTTCCTTGTCTGCTTAACTAACCCTTATCTAGTGTATCTTCCTACAATTGACTTTCAACGATTCAATAGAGCTCCATATTTACAGTAAAAGTAGCTTAATAGAATTCTTGAAGGTTGTTCTTGCTAAATGCCCTTTCTTAGTTAGTATCCAGAGGCCTCCTGATTACCAAATAGTTTCATTAGCTTTAATTATATCACGAATCAAGTTTGTTACACCAACAAGCCGATACTTAATCAATAAAATTTAACCAGGCTTACAAACGTAAGTTGTACTCTTCATTAGGTGGAAATGTCACTCAAAAACTGCTGATCATTCCTTGCTTAGCGGCCCGGATAGCCCGTAGCCCGGGCCGCAGGCCTAAAAAGTAGGCCCATGGGCTCGGGCGCAAAACTGAGGCACGGCCGGGCTTTGGCAAGGTCTACTACCCACTGATACTGACACAAAATTTGGGGACAACCATGATAAATCATATTTTAAAAGCGAGTCGCGTACTGTAACTTGGGGTTTAATAACTATACTGCTGCTCAAAACAAGATATCCTTCTTGCTGGCACCTTTGACTATACTGCCTAGACTGTTTCAATTCCTAATACCAGAAAGTGTCAGTCAACCTGGGGAGCGGAATTAGCTGTGGTTCGGACCAAGTTGCCGTTTTCACGACTCCTCTGTCCGAAACGAATCCACTGCAGTCCATCATATGCAAGCTTAAATTGCAGATCAAGTACCTAAAGTGAGATGATCCTCACGGGCCAAGACCTTTCCATAACCACACCACTGCAGGACGCGTATGTAAGGGTGCGTCATCACCGTGAAGTATGAAATTAATGAGCAATTCTGTCAGTGAACTCCGCGTTAGACGTTGTCTTTGTGTTTTGGATAATAAGGCAAGCTGTGCCCTGGAAACATCTACTAGAGTCAAAAATCAATTTCCCTTTGAAAAGCCGCGCAATGAAGTGCTTCACCCGCTTCTTTACGGCACTGATAGCCGGTGCTACCACCGCCTCCGCCTACCTGTACAACACCACCATCCACACTAAATATGGTAATGTGAAGGGCATTCCAGCTCTCAATGCCACCTGCTGTGCCTATCTTGATGGCTATGAGAGCGTGACTGTTTGGAAGGGAATTCCCTTCGCTGCTACCACTGGTGGTCAGAATCGCTGGAAGCCTCCACAGCCCCGTAGCGGCTGGAATGGCACCTTCATCGCTGATACATTTGGATCAGCCTGCCCGGCAGGGACTTCACCAACAGGCTCTGCAGATACTGTTTATGATGAAGACTGCCTCAACCTCAACATTTGGAGCTCGGCAAACTCTACTGCTGAGAAACGACCTGTTATGATCTGGAGCTATCCCGCTGGTGCTAACGGTGCGTGGAGTATGTTCGACGGCGGCGGACTGGCACTCAAGGATATCATTGTCGTGACCTACAATTATCGCACTGGTCCTTATGGCTGGCTGGCTCTGCCGGAGCTGTTGGAAGAATCAGGAAATGTCACAACCGGAAGTTACGGACTACTTGACCAGATTGAAGCGCTGAAATGGGTTCACGAGAACATCGCCGCCTTTGGGGGTGACCCGAAACATATCACAACTGTTGGCCAGTCAGCTGGCAGTGCCGCTGTGTACCACACCGTCAACAGCCCGTTGGCCAAAGGCCTCATTGTGGGTGCTATTGCCGAGAGTGGTATTCGCGATCCCCGCGACCCTGCGTCTACCGAGCTTGCTGAGGGTTACAATAACATGTCCACCTCATTGGCCTTGGGAGCTGAGCTAAAAGCAGTTCTCAATGTGACTACTCTCGACGAGCTCCGCCAGGTTCCTGCAAAGACAATCAACGAAAACAGTGGGTTTACTGGATTTTCCAACTGGCGTACTACTCTCGATGGTTACGCCATGTCTATGACCTACAGAGAGCAGCTGGAGGTGGGACCGGCCAACGATGTCCCCTTGATTACCGGAAACACGAAGGATGAATCGGGCGCTGCGTACGGCACCAACACAAGTGTGGCAAAGTATATCGAGACGCTTAATTCTACATACGGGTCTCTCGCCGACAGAATATTGGAAGCCTATCCTGCATCAAACTACACTGAGGCATCCATGGACACCAATCTCCTTGCTCGTGATACTTCCCTCGTCGGCTCCTGGAACTTTGGTCGATTCTGGTCCAAGTCCGCGTCCTCGCCGTTCTACACATATTACTGGGACCACGCACCCCCAGGGCAGGACCAGGGCGCTCACCATATGTCTGAAATTACCTATGTGTTCAACAATCTCTACGGCACAGATCTGCCATGGCAGTCTGTTGACTATGATATTGCCGAGACTCTGAGCAGCTACTGGGCCAATTTCGTCAAGACTTCGAACCCGAACACTGGAAACAGCTACCGAAACGGAACCCTTGCGCACTGGCGTCCAAGCAACAGTCTCAATGCGACCACCTTCCATCTTTCCCCCCCAGCCCCGATCAATGCCAACGGTCTGCCAGCTGGCTATACCCAGGTTCCTGTCGCTACGCAGGACCATATTACCCTCCTGAATGAGTTTTTCCGGACTAGAATTTCGCTCTAAGTTCTTTACCTGGCGTGCTAGAAGCCCGCCGTACGAGCGTGGAGTGGCCATGACTCTGAGAATATCTTGACAATACGTTGTGGCCTTTCGTATGGACGCTTCTATCTCTGAAATCAACACGCTCATTTTTAGGGGGCCGAAAGGAGAATCGTGCCACCAGCAAGTCCTTCAAGGGAATATTAGATCTCTCAAGCAAATCAGTCTCTTGAAAATCAACGGAATTCGGTATATGTACTAGTAAAATCCGAACTTTCCCCGGCTACTCTTTTTCTATGGTCTTTTTGCGGCCGGACTTGTCTCGAGACATGAAATTCCTTTATGGTATTAGACGGTGGACCAAAACCCCAAAGGCCTGGTGTCGTTAAGGCATTGTTTTCATTTAGTTATTTCGGAAGAGCGGAGTTTCTGCGGGTGTTAAAAATAGATGAGCAAAGACCGTGGTCAGAAGTGACGAGCTTGTTTTTGGCTCGATTTCGGGGAAGAAAACCTGGTGGGATCCAAGTATACTGGAGCAATCGTGTTCGTCATAAACCAACAATGGAATAATGCTGGATCTGTACCGTGTGATTCGCGAATAAAGATAGACAATCTGTACGGTTCGTCAGGGACCCGGTTCGAGACCCTGTCGATTATCCCTGTGAAGTCAGTTAATTATTGGGTGAAATCAACATCTCCAATACGCGACATGAGCACTCTGAACAGGATGGGGTGAATCTGCAAATGACTTTGACACTCATGCTATTCTCATTAGATGTTTCTCTGAAGACAGAAGGCCTGTGCGAAAAGGCAAGTGGGAGAATCCCGGTCAATTCGGCCAACAGCACCCCGGAATGCTACCCAATTCGGCAATGTCGCCCGAGTCTCGGAGATAGCATTTCGTGGCTTCTCTCGTTTTTATAGCAATCAATCTGTTTTTAAATCGAGGTTTACTATTCTGTATACAGAAAGGAGATGTCAATGAGATGAATAATTAGAGTATCCTATAGTATGAGAAAAGTCTTCGAGCTGCGCACCGCACCGGCCAATATACGCCCTTCCGATCCAAACTAATCCGGCGAGGCACCACTTGCAAGGACCTTCGATTTACCACTCAGGGATTGTGATTTGGTTTCTTGGAGCAGCAGACATTCTCCGCAAAAGAGCAGATCATCCGTATTAAGTATTTCGTGGCGGAATCATCGATCTACTAGCATTATATAACAGTGCTTGGGTTAACGAACAACCCGCAGTTCCAAGCATTCCAGCAATCTCAATACACACGAGACGCTGGGCCCGCGGGATCAATTGTCTCCGGTCATCGCTATTCTTTTTGCCGAGCAGATATGCCTGACTGAAGAATACACCACTTCGAACATTTCTACTTATTAGTAACATGACTGGGTTCGCATTCGGAGGGCGGCTATTACCGCGTTATCACTTCTGGCAAGGACGGGGGAACTTGAAGACATCGATACTTGAGTTGGGGTCATCTGGAACCTAGCCTTTATCATGCGATTCTGAACATCCCGGATGAGTGTATTTATGCTTAACCTTACAATCACCAGAGGGAAAAGCGAACACAAATGTGATATTATTCTCTTTAAAAGAAATGCATCGCCGTCCTTCAAATTCACGCCTAAAGCCATGCTGGTTGGTGCTAAGTTCCCCCTTTTCCCCCAGAAATAAAAGAAGTTGTAAAAGAAGAGAATAGCAAAGAAAATGGTAGAGGTAGAGGTAGAATACATAAATGGAAACGTAGGTAGGAAGGTAGGTTAGGTATCGCTTAACTAAATTCATTTCGGCTTCGGTCCGAACTTCAGCTTCAGCTTCAGTCCGCCTCCACTCGCTGGTGTCGAAGGAGTTGTCGCGACAGGCGTACTGCTTTTTGTCGTTCCCGCTCCTGCGCCTGTACCTGTCCCCCCGGCGCCCGCGCTGGGCGTACTCGACACGGGCTTGGGAATGTGGAGCTTAGGAAGACCCGTAGACGATGGTGTACTGGGGCTGGGGCTGGGCCCAGGACCATTTTCCTTTTTGACTTGTTTGAAGGTAATGCGTGGAGCAGGAGGGGGCATGCCATTCTCTTCGCGCTTCCGCTTTGAGTCCTTTAATGGTGCCAGGCTAGTGCGCACACGACTAGATCGTTGGAACTTCAGTTTGCCGTTGCCTAAATTTTGGACCTTCCAGTAGCGCGGAAGGGGAATTTGAGCCATCTTGGTTTTGATCGGGTCAAATAGGACGCGGCAGATGTCGACTAGCTCTGCGATTTCTAAGATGCCGAGGGCTGGGGAATTGCATGCTGCCCACATGTACTCTTTCATAGATGAGTCTTGGCCGATTTCCCTCTTTAGAGCTTCAAGGGCACCGGATACGGTTTGGCGGCGGGCGAGATCGGCTTGGCGGATTTCGGTTGACGATTCTTGTTCGATGATTAGACCGCCGCCTGTCTGGGTGTTTTCTGGCTCTTGAGGCCGGCCAAAGGCGATCTGGGCCAGGGCACGTCCAAATATCCTCTGGCTGTGGTGGCGGATGTACGCTGAGGAGTCACTTGTCATTGTATAAATGAGCCATCGAAGGAGCTCTTGGTTTTGGGAAATGTCCAGGTCGACAAGGCAGTCAAATGCCTGTAGTCGAAGAAGGTCATATGTGCCGGCTCGTGTATAGGGGATGAAACGCATGATATCCACATCCTGGATTTTGGCTTTCATGAGCTGCATCTGGCACTGCAGGGCAGCGCGAGAGTATATGTTTTGGTACGAGCTAGACCACTCATCCATGCGTCTGTAGCGGTCGAACTCTGCCATGGTGTCTTTTTCCAATTGCTCTTCGGCTTGGTTCTCCAAGACACGCTCCATGTCGAAATGGGCCAGTTCCTCGTCCGAACGAGCTTCGTTTCTTCCCAGCATGGCGTGGCAGAGTGAGCGCATTAAGGAAGCGACGTAGAAGTTATCCGAGAACTTGACAAAATCAGTATAATGTACCTTGATAGTACGCCCACATGTTATGTACTTACGGCATTGTTCGAGTTGTCGTTGAATTTCAACTTGTCGAATAAAAAGCGCTTCACCCTCAGCGGAGTCTTCCCGCTGTTATCCCGTACCTTTGAAATGGCCTCAGGAATCTCTTGTTGCAGAATGTATGCTGCCCGATCCTCGAAATTGTTAGAACGAGTCATCGGGGACCCTGGCAGACAGAAAAGCTCTTGGAATGCTGTTTCAAGATGGTAGAGACCAATCCAATCCACGTCGTCCTTGGCGTGCCTTACTAACGACCTCGCGGCTGTCACTCGAATCCCATGGAAGTAGCGACTATCCATGAGTGTGCGAGCAAAAATTGACGAGATCAACTTGTGCTCTCGTTGAGCTGCCATGTACTGTAGAGACTGTTTCGAGTTAGCAGTGAATTACATGACCACCTGGGAGAGCGACGCTTACCTCCAACTGCGCGACAACATCCCTATCTTGCTGCAGTTGCGACAGATACATGTAACCAGGCATGCCCAGGGACAGCTTGCAAATCCATTCGAAATCTGCATCCATGCGAATCCACTCGTAGGACTCTTGTCCCATTCTTTCCTCGTCCTCCTTGGTCCAGTCGGTCAGGCGCCAAGCCTCTATTTCCTCCTCGGTTTGCAGGACATCACCTAGACAATATAGTAGTACCTCTTCTTGGGCCTCTGCCTCACCCGATGCCACGGCGCGTTCTCTTTGTTTCTTGTTTCGCTTGAGACGCTTGTATTTTGTGTTGTAGGGGATGTCAAACTTTGTTACACCCTCTTTGATCTCAACAATATGCTCGTACGGTGTACCATCGGCCTCGTGAATACGTAGCGTCATGGACCCAGTAAAGACGGGCTGGGGGTGACCGGCATAGACATGCCTGACTTCTTCCTTCAAATCTCGCAGGAAAGTATTTTCATCAAGATCTCGCGCGACCGTTTGGTCTGGTTGGACTTGAACTTGTCTGATCATCATTTCAACGACAAGTTTCTTCTTGTTAAATCGCTGAGTGGCTTGGAAGCGTGGGCATCCGGCACCGTAGACCCACTGCTGGAAAAATACATCCAACTTGGAGTGGCCGAGTCGCTCACAAAGCTTCTGGAACAGCGAAGAGGTCACCGCACCATTGGGAATGTCACCCATGCGCGAGTTGAGGAAGAGCCGAGAGATAATCCGAGACATGGTGGCCTTACCACTTGCCTTGGTGAGACGGCGATCAAGGATGAATAGCACCAAAGGCGCCTTCAAAGCGATAAAACGATACTCGGAGGCGTCGATCTTGAGGAAGTTTCCCATGTCATATATGGACGGACGCTCATAGTCTAATTCGCAGGTCTTATCCGACATATTTTTCAGTCGGAATCGGTATTCGTTGGTGCCGCAGAGCTTTTTCATGAATGTGTCTGTGATATACCATGCTATACCAACAGTGACCCAGGTATCAGCCGGCTCGTTGGGAATAATATTGATGCCAGTCCACTGGCAAGCCAATGTATGCACTAAAGCTCTCGTACAATCGTACATTGGGTCGATGATCGGCTCGGGGAATAGTAGATGACTGCTGCAGATGGCCATGCACGCCATGGGAAGGGTTTCTGTCGGGACGTCATCCACAAAGCAGAGCTTGTAGCTCGAGAAGGGATACGATCCATAAGACAACGAGAAAAAATCAATAGCCTGGGCCATGGGGAAGCTGGTGTTTTCGACTTCGGAACCCCTTCCTGGCAAGCAGAACGCGTGCACGGGAATGGCATTCGTACCGAGTTGCTCATCTTGATCACTTTCACGAAAATCCGCCAGATTCACGTATTCGAAGGGGCCAACGGCGAATCCAATCTGCTGCGCCGACAAAGGTGAGAAGCACGAGAATGAAACAGTCTTCCTTGTGGGGTCCTTCGGGTCCACGATATCATCAGTCAATTCCCCTGAACATACTACCGACATGTCTAGTCCCTCATCATCGGCGGAGAGAGGTCGGTTCGGATTGCGTGATCGAGATTGTGTGGTTGAACCTGAACCTGTTTTGCGATTGAACACATCGCCAAGTGAGGCGGGACAAGAAATGGAAACGTCCCAGGTACATCGGGACAGAGGATCATCGACGCATGGGAACAGAGGGCAACCGACGCCTGTTTCTAGCGAGTTCGTCGTGTAGGCATGCGGATACCGACGGTCCCCGCTGTCAACGCCAACAAATTGGAGACCATCCCGAATCTTCTCAACCGTGAACTCGATATTCACGGTCAGCTCCTTGAACTGCGTGCGGTTGACTTCGGGTAGTCTGCCTCCTGCTGGTCCATCCACATCGCTCCCTATGCCCTGTAATGTGATCTGTTCCTGAGCTTCGGCTTTGTTGAGCTCCCTGATCCGGACGCCTTTGGGAATGGTGACTTCTAGCTCTGGGTGTGTGGGGGTCTTCAGAAGCGCGTCGATATTCGGTAAGAGTTTTTGATGATATTGGGGTCCGTAAAGGTTAAGATTCTCGTAAGGGTCGGCATATTTGGTGGAAGCGATAACATTGTTCACGGTCAATCGTTTGATCTCGCCTTGTCGGAAATTCAATCGGAATGCTGTCAACTCCTTCCTGTGAGGTAAAATAGTGATCTCTGTCTTTCCCTTGATGCTCTTGGAAAAGAAGTCAATCTCCAGCTCAACCTTCTGGTTGGCAACGCTGAAATCTCGATCCGCCGGGACTGCCACCGTCGCGGTGGGCGTTTCGACAACGCCCGGCATCGCGAAGTTCTCAGTATTGAGAAGCGCGAAGGGCGCAGTGGGGCGTCATGTCCATTCAGAATGAATAAGAGACCATATCCGACGAGGCTGAAATGGAGATGGGGGCTAGTTCGAGGTGGGTAGGTTGGAGGCGCAGCGGGTGTTGGAGATGCGCGCGACAGCTCCTATGCGAAAGGGCCAAGTGGGGGCCGGGAAGGTCGAAGGGTGGAAGGGAAGTGGAAGGGAGATGAACAGAGGCAGTCGCAGTCAAAGCCACAAGGGTCTGAGGGTCTCGTCAGGAAGTCCACCTTGCCAGGTCCACCACAGTTGCAGTTGCGGTGGTCAACTCGCAGTGACTTTCCCTTTTTTGGCGGAGTCGCGCGTTGCGGAGGAACTCACGTGACTTGCGGGCGGAAAAATCCCTGAGACATTCCAATCTCCTCGTCTTTTCTTTCGCTATTTTTGGGTCACTTGCTTTTCGATTTGGGTGCGCTTTGGTCCGGATTGTGCCCCTATTTACTGCTGCCTGATTTTCGCCGTTCTTCAATCCCCCCCGGTGTCGACATATACCATCCTACTCCATCCTGTACCTGACAGTGCTCACGCGACACGCGGCTCAACTTCCATCATGGACGCGATTATCAGAATGGTCCGAGGTGAGTGACTGAAGAATGCCCTGCGATCTCATTTACAAAAGGATCATGAACTAATCGGTGTCATTTTTTCCACCCCGCTTGCAGAGACCCAAGAAGGACTTTCCGACGAGGCTCTTATGCCCCTGAAGTCTTACAAGTATTCCAGCGTGGACAAGTCTTTCATTTCCAACTACATTCTGCGACACTACGTACGATTTCCCGAATTCCTCATGATATGAATCGCATCTCGCATATCGCATATACCTAGCAGGGCTATCACTGACTGGTTTTGGGAGGATATTAGTGGAATGCCTTCGTCGAGCTCTTGCCCATGTGGCTTGCGCCTAACATGGTCACTCTTCTCGGCTTTTTCTTCATCATCGGCAATGTCTTCTTGATCTGCCTCATTATGCCCGATATGGTTGGACCGGTAAGAGAGTCCCCACTGCCCGACAGGGATGGACATGTGCTAAACTTTGGACATAGGGCCCGTGGTGGTTATACATCAGTTTTGCGATTGGTGTCTGGATGTCAGTACCGAATGGCCCCCTTCCCCCTTTACGTTATGCGTCACACTCGACAGGAACTGATGGATTACAAACAGGTACTCGACTCTGGACAATGTGGATGGCAAACAGGCACGCCGTACCGGAACTTCCAGCGGGCTGGGAGAATTATTTGAGTTCGTACCGCCTCCGGACTAGCCATGGGAATCCAATTGCTAACTGAACCACAGTCACGGAATTGACTCGCTGAACTGCACTCTTGCCAGTCTCCTGGAGACTGCGGCTATGGGCTTAGGTGCTTCCCAGCTGGGTGCCTGGACCGCCCTTGTGCCTTGCCTCGCCATGTACTTCTCGACTTGGGAGACCTTCCACACCCACACCCTCTACCTGGGATACTTCAATGGCCCGACCGAGGGTCTTATCATTTGCATCTCAATCATGATCGCCTCTGGTATCTGGGGCCCCGGTATTTGGGGGCAACCCATCACCGATCTTATCAACATCCCCGCTATCTTCGGCGATAACTCCGTCAAGGACCTGTGGATCCCCATTCTCCTTGGCGGCTTCTTCTTGGCCCACCTTCCCGGATGTGTCTACAACGTCTATGTGGCTCGTCGCAAGCAAGGCCTTCCTTTGACCCCTCTCCTGAAGGAGTGGGTGCCCATGATTGGCTTCACCCTGTGCTGCATGCTTTGGATGTTCTCTCCCTACTCCGGCATTCTCGCAGAGAACCACCTCGTTCTGTTCTGCGTGACTATCTCTTTCGTCTTCGGCCGCATGACCACCATGATTATTCTGGCCCATCTGCTGAAGCAGGAATTCCCTTACTGGACTGTGATGCAGGCTCCCCTGGTCCTCGGTGCCCTCTTGGTCAACCTGCCTCGCATCGGTATTCCTTTCCCCATGTGGCTCGAGCTGTGGTACCTGCGTCTGTTCTTCGTGTTCGCTCTCGTCCTGTACAGCTACTGGGCCGTCCTGGTCATCAACCGTATCACCACCTTCCTGGGCATCAACTGTCTCACCATCCGCAAGGACCGTGGCGCTGAGCGTGACCGTGCCTACCGCGAATTTGGCGAGTCCGGTCTCCCTCTGAACGCTGGTCGTGACAGCATTCAGATCGAGGACGAGGATGATGGGTTCAAGAGCCACTAAATTTCTTTCGCCGGGGAAACGTGATTTTCATTCTCCTTCATGGAAAAGGTACTAATTGTGTCCATCTTCCACCCTTTCCCCGACTGTATGACGGACGTTGCACGTGCCCGTGCCGTCCGTGATACATCGTTGTTCACATTACCATAACATTGTAATTATGATTACAGCCTCCGATGATGTCCTGATGCTTCATAGCTTGACTTGACTTAACCCGCTTGATTGGCGGGTAACATTCACATTCACGTATTGCATTTTTTGTTCAGGATGGGAACGGGGTTTTTTTTATTCCCTTGCACATATGTACTTATCAAAAATCAGTTTTCTGCATTGTTACATTATGATATTATAGAATAGACTCGACAATCAATTTGGATGTTCATCCATGTCAAGAGTTACTATACGCTCTTTGGGGGCCTCACCTCACAACTTTATTCAAATACAAAAAGGCAAAATAGGAAAAACTAGTATCTTTAGGTAAAAATTAGGTGCAGTGTATATCAGAACTAGATTCAATAACAAATACAGAACATATTGAAAAAGAATCCTTCGAAACAGATTACTCAATCGCGATCCAAGTAATATCAGCATGATCCATCTCTGAGTCATCCCAGGTACCGTAATCCAATTTCAACTCACGCTCGTTCGGAGCAGTTGCTTTACACTTCATGCGGAGGTGTTTTGCCGAACCAAAGTCAATCTCCGAAATGGCACTGAAAGTGGCCGGTGTGCGCGAGAATGGCTGAGAGAACGGAACTTGTTTGTTCGAAGTCGGCTGAGCGCGCGTGACTTTCTCACGTCCACTCCTGACGCGTTTTCCATCCTGTTCTGCTGGATATGCGAACCAACCAGCGCGGATATTGGTGTATTTGCGATCAAGCCAACTGGCAAGGCTCAGTGTGAACGAGGTGTCGGTGATGTCGTCGGCCGTGACTCTGATAGCAGTGTAATTATTGCTCGCACTGGCTATCATGCCGGGAAGGGAAGCACTGAAAATAGGATTGTTATAGACATCGGCATTCAGAGCCATCTTCATACTGGGATAGTCGATTTCCTGGAACCAGACGCATATTTTGGGCGGAGAGGAAAATCCCTGGTTGAACACGATGCGCTGACGGATGTTGTCCTTCACACCTGCTCCTGCTCCATTTGTATCGACACTTCCATATTCTAGGTGAAGATCGCTTGGTAGTGTCATCCAGGCGCACTCAATGCCGAAGGCATTGCATCCATTGAAGGATTCCAGATGAGCTGTAAACCCTGACGGTGTGATATCCGGAACGCTGACCTTCATTGATCTATTGTGTGTCTCCTGTTCGCAATCCATGTATGCAAGGCCGTATATCATCTTCGGACTGATGCTGTATGCTTGTGAGAATTGATGTGAAGGACGTTTGTACGAATTAACGCCAGCCTGCCACCCTGAGATAATGCCACTTTGTGGCTCAAAGGTGAAGACGGGTCTCTTCTTTTGATCGTCGTTTAGCTGCTGAAGCTGCTCGTCTTTCTTTGTGCTTGTGCTCCGAGCCTCGCCAAGATCCTATGGAAGGTTAATATAAAACACATCAGAAAGATCAACAGAAAACGTACCCTCCGAGTAGCCTCTAGCTCTATCTGCATCTTAGCGAGTTGCGCTTTTGTATCCTGCAGACTATTCGTCGAATCGCTCTGGTCTTTCTGAGCAGTCGCTAGCGTTGACTTCATCTTAGCGAGTTCCGCTTTTGTATCCTCCAGACTTTTCGTCGAAGTACTCTGGTCTTTCTGAAGGAGCGCAAAATCCTCGCTGTCGATCACATCGCCAGTATCCCCAAAGTGTTCGGCTGTGTCGTCGACAGACTCTCCAGTGCGGCACCACACAATACCGAGACGCCATATTTTACCGCTCTCTGAGTTGTCTTCGCTGCGACCGAAGAACCCCTTGATGGTTCCGGGATTGAACGGCACATCAAGGTAGGTGACACCCACATTTTCATACGGAACGCCATCCCTGACGATAGTCTTGATGGGTTGAGCATCCTTCGCGCCAGAGTCAGCAGGAGCTGTGCCGGGTTCGGAGCGAAGAGCACGAGCGACCAAACCACGCCCTCGATTGGTAAATAGGCGCAATCCGAGCACCTGTGAGTCCTTTTCGCGAAGTCGTCTTCCGTGCTCGATGGATGCAGAGCTAATCCTCTCGCCGGGGAAGAAAGGCCCGAATTTCTTGATACGTGAGCCATTGCGAGACTGATTAAATGTTAGAATGTATAACCGGATCGCAGAAACAGTCTTTGGGGTCTTACCGCTCCCTTTTCGACCAACAAGCCGTTCTCATAAGAAACCGCCAAATAGACGAGAGCGCCTTCAGCAATCTCAGCCCTGATCGATCGGACTTCCCAATCTGGCTTCAGATAATCAAGGTTGTTAAAAGGTTTTCCTTTGGAGTCGTCACCCGCAGGGGTAGAAACACGGAAGTTGTCGCCAATGGCTGGATCAGTGTTAACAAGAGCCTGCATAGCCTCTTGCTCTTTTGCCGACAGTTTATCAGTTGGCGTGAAAAGGGGGGGACCCTCTTCATTTTTCGCGTCGTCCTGTATAGCTTGTTGCTGTTCTTTCTCATCAAGCGCTTTGGCCTGGATCCTTCTGCCAGATAAAGGATTGGACTTGATTCGAAGTCTTTCCGGTACCACGACTGTAGGAAGTCGCTCCTCGAACGCAGTTGAAGCCTGGAAAGGCTCCTCGTGGTCTTCATCTGTTGCAAGCTTAGGATCCTGTTCGATCAAGCTGACCTCATTAACGATGCGAGCCATTTGTCGACGGACAGCCTTACGGGCATCGCTCAGGCCTGTGATTGATGCCTCAAAGCGAGAGGTCTCTTCCTTAAAAGGATAGAAGCCTGTCTTGTCCTTGGTGCCTTTCTGTGCTGCTTTCGTCAATGCGGACTCTTCTTTGCGCTGATTATCTTTCGTTGTCGCAACCTTGTCGCTGTCACTCCACTGCTGGATTTCCATTGTTTTGCCCTGTACCTGAAAGACTTGCTCGCCCAGGCGCTTGTAAAGCGCTTTGTAGCTCACAAATGTGTCGAGCAGAGTGTTCGTGTAGATCTGTGCATTCTCATACTGAAGCGCAGTATACGCTGCTGGCTTTCGTGCAACGAAGCTTCGCAACGCGTCGTACTTTGTCAAAATAGCATAAGTACGTTGGGGACAATCAGCAACAAGGTCGGGAAATCGAGCGGCAGCGCTCATCAGGCTTTGAATGTCCCATTGCTGTTCCATCGGTTTGATGTGGCCTCCACCAGACCAGCTAACCTGGATGGTCGTTTCGGTGTTTGTCTCAATATTGGATCGAGCAACTCCAACATTTGCTTCTGCTTCGATCTGAACTGGACCGGCTGTTAGGGCGACCTTTGCCTCAGCCTGAATATCTGTCTTCTTGGCTTTATTCAGGATCTTCATGCTGACTAGGGCGTTGAACTCGCCGCCTTCCAAGAAACCGGAAATGAAAGAGTCGCCATACACCTCGCGGAAATTGTCCTTGTCGACCGATCGTAGAGGATTATATACCAGAGCGTCCTTGAAGTTGATGGTTTGATTGATCACCTTAACAGAGATGTAGAAGTTCAAATCACTCTCCTTGAACTTGTCGGAGTCAACAAATGAGCCTTTGCCGGAACCACCAATCTTGCCAGCTTTGATCGACAATGATCCTGAAACACTCATGTCATCCATAACATCGCTGAGACGATCCACAAAGCGCGATGTGTAGATGACGGTCTGACTTGGGCCACGAGGCGCTGTGGGATCAAAGTCGTACTTCGTAGTTTGTTCCGACATGCCGTTGAAGCGTTCGACAAATTGGTTCTGTTGTCGAATCTTTGCCATATCCTCCATGCTCATTGCCTTCAAATTGGCAGCATTGTCAATAGCTTTGCGTGCGTCCTCGCGCCGTTTAGCGTCCCACTCGCGCTTTTCGGAACGAATCGCCTCTTGTTCTTTGCGCTCCTCGCTCCGACGCTTTCGTTCGTCTTCGCGTGCTTCCTTTTCAAGTGATCTGCGGTAAGCTCGATCTTCTGTCAGAAGTTCTTTCTCTTCCTTCTCGCGCTCGGTCGCTTCGGCCACCTCCTGGGCTGATTTCACGGGAGGTCCAGCGCTATTGGTCTTGGTTAGAGCAGCTTTGATTGCAGCGCGATCAATTGGCGTGGTTGACTTTTCGGCTGTATGTTGTTGAGCCCGATCAGAAGAAAGAGATCTCTTGGCCGAGTTCTTGGGCTTAGGACGCTCGGCATTGGCCTGAAGGTTTGCCAGGATAGCGGCCCGGTCAGTCTTTGTCGCATCCTCAGGCTCTTTCTCCGAGGATGAATTAGCTCTGGCGCGAGTCTTTGGCGATTTGGGTTTGCTCTTGACAGGCTCGGATCCTGTCTCAGCGTTCTCTGACTTGCCGTCTTCCTTTGTTGCATCGGCATCAGCAACTTCACGTTCGGCTGCTTTGCATTCGACTTCTTTCCGAGCCTCATCGGCATCCGCCAAATCATCGACAGAGTCACTTTCCTTTGGAGAATCCTCAGGCTCTTCATCCTCTTCCTCGTCTTTACCAGCAGACTTTGACCCTGACTCCGTAGTCTTAGGTTCTGACTTGGATGCTTCTTCCTCTGTTCCAAAAGTTAGCTGAGAGCTCATTCATCGGGGTTTACATGACTCGCCTTCGGCCTCTTCAGCCGCCAATTGTTCTTCAATCAGCTTAGTCTCGTCGACAGCCTTCCGGGCGTTGGCCACAAGGACAGCAGTGGCAGGGTTCTCCACGAGAACTTCCTTTTGCCTAGTCCAAGCACTAGGCGTGGCACTCTTTTGCGCCATGATCCGCATCGTTGTACCATCGTTGGTCACGACGTTCTCCGATCTGTCAGGGTCCATGACAACAGCATCGTCGATACAGATTTGCTGGGTATAAGAGTTGAAGCTAGTAATATTATCAGTACTTGTGGCTGTCCAGTTGTGGCAGGTGAATTTGATGGTCTTACCCTTGCCCAAGGCGCATAGCATTGTTGTAAGGTGCTAGGAGGAGCGACATATTGGCGACAAATTGTGATCAAACCTCACGAAAAAGAAATCAAAAAATCAAAAACAAATTAATGAAACTTGAAGCACACGTGTGTAGTAGTTTGACCCTGTTGTGGCAGTTAATAGAGAACTTGAATGCCCAGGTGGTCAAATATCAATTATCAGTACCCATCTTTCATGGGCTGACAACGGGAACGGGGAATATATACTATTCTCCTGGTTTAAATATCATAATCGCATCGGGAATAAACCTGCTCTTTCCCTCTCGAGTAGTTCGAATTTGTCCCATACGAGCGGCAAGCCCAAGTTGGCTCCCCAGCGTGACATCCCAGAGCGGCATCGTCAAGCGACCGTCACGATCTCCGAGGGCGGGCTAAATAACCGATACGGTCACTTCATCGTCTGACAGCTTCTAGACATCAAGTTCCGAGTCGTCAGACTTGAGGCCGGACCATGGCTGAGTCTCGGAACCCCCGAGCGCCACAGGGGGAAGGCTTTTGTGGCGGGCTGGGCCGAGGAACTGTTTGTTGTTTGACAGCTCGCCACTTTCCCCGCATAAATCTAGACCGAACCTATACGAATTACGAATCCTGTCGGCATCATCTGCCATGCAGCTGCACGCGAAAGCATAAATCAATATCACGAGTCTTTTCTCAGCTCGGTATAGTTAAAATAAATTTGGACGCCAGTTTTAGCGATGTGAATAGTCTCCCAATGCCTCCTTCCTTTCCAGGCCGTGATGAGCATTTTTTTCCTTTTTTTCCTTTTTTGTATTTGGACATTCAGCCTCTAGGAAAATCTGTGCGCATCTAAATTACCGTTTTAATTGATTGACAGACCTGTCACCTTTCTAGTTCTTCAATCATCATCCTACGTTCAAAATGGTTGCCGTTAACGAAGAAGACGCGTATCTGGCTCGCCCAGAAGGCCCCGATGAGAATGAGATCTCCCTCCAAGCTAGCCAGCGACTACCACTTGCTCTTCCTTGGGGACGCGAAGTCATCCGCCTGGGTACCACATTTCATTCCGACCGACAAAATACAATGAACCCCTGGTCCGACGAAACACCATTTATACTCTCCGAGCTCCACATGATCAAAAAGGAGCTGCACGCAGAGTACGGCACGAGCTCAACATTCAAGAAAGTCGCGACGCATAAAACGTGCGAAACCGGAGATCATCTAAGCCTTGGGTTTGGCGTCGGTGTTGGATTGCCCTTCGTTGCCTCTGTGAATGTCAAAGGAACATACGACGAGCACGTACAAGAAAACAAAGATTCGGATAAAATATCTCTTACTGCGAGCTGTCGAGCCGGGACAATTGAATTTCAAAGCCAGCCTCGATTAACTATGGAGGCTATCAGGGAGATTAAATACGGTGGTGGCTATGAAGGCCTGTGTCGAAGATATGGGGACTATTATGTGTCTGGCTACAGACTCGGAGGAGACACCGGCATCTTGATGAGCGCGTCGGGGGGGTCGCGAACTAAGATCGAAAAGTATGGCATCACAGCAACCTTGACTGTTTTCTTCGTGTCGGCGAGCAAGCATTGGGAGAAAGAATTTCAATCATTCCGGTCCGGTCGACAGGTGAGACTCCTCGGATATGATACATTGGAAAACAAGAATTGGCGAAACTTCAGTGCAGCAGGCGACGATGTAAAGGAGATGGAGGCCTGGGCTTTTGGTGGCTCCGCAATGGATGCCGACTCACTTCGAGCTGATACCGATGCGATTATGACACGGTCCGAAAATCTTCTTGAAAGAGTGGGTGAGGTGCTGGAAAAGCACGGGTATCGGAATGGTCAGAGCCTTACATTTGCTCAGTGCGAGGGGCTTGTGCAAGAGGGAATTGTTGTCGAACTTCTTCTGCAACCGATGTCGAGATTGCGAGATGTGATTCGGTGGATGAATGAAAGGGACATTATTTAGAAACGGAATTTATTGCTTTATAAATTTTGAAAAAGACAAGTAATGTGAATTCTGTATCTGCTTATATTTTTTTTTCAACACCCCTAGAGCTCTTCTGAGCCCCCATCCCCTGGCACATCGAGGTATACGGTAATGATGTTCAGCGACGCAGCGCACCCTACGTTTTGAAATCATACACATTAGCCTGCATACTCCCTTTCTCTGGGCACTAAGATTCTCTATAGAATAATCCTGCCTGTTTCAAGGGAGTTTTATTGACATCCAATTTCTTAATTACAATGCTTGACACTATCTAAAAAGCATAGGTGCTTATATCTGTAAATTGCCAAATGGAATTCCTCATTCTTTCACACGATAGAAGCTCCGACCATCTCGAACTAGTATTACTACTTCTTTTGCTTCAAGACCTTATCGGAAAGGTACCCGGTAGTACCTGCTATACCACCGTTCCTCATCTCTTTCCTTCTTTGTTCATCTTCCATTAATTCCATCCGTTCCTTGGCCATTTTTTCCTCTGCCTCTTTCTTTTGCTGCGCTGTAGGACTTGTCTGAGCACCCCTGGAAATTTTCTTTTGACCGAAGCTGGCGCCACTGTAATCCATCCTGGTCAAAGTCTGAATTGGTATCGCTGTTAGCCTCTTGTTCACTGGACTGTATCCGCGTTATTATGGTGCTGTAGCATATAGGGTTAATCTTACCTCGAGTAGAGACAAATTCGTAACTATGTGTATGATACTGAGGTCCGTTGGGCTCGAGAGATTGTTCGCTTCTTTGTCTTGAATTGCCTTCTTACCGAGATGTCAGTTTTCTGTATATAGTCGGGGGCACAGTTGCGTCTTGCCTTGAGTACAGTTGAGTTGAGTTTGTAAATGCTCGTATGAAAGTTGAATAGAAATTAGTTCAAGAGACGGCCACTACTCTCCCTATTATATTTTGACAATTTCAACTCCCAGACTATACACAATCGGCTTTTGGAACTTGCTGAATTGCCCTGCTCAAATCATTTAGCAAGCATAAATAGCCGGCCTATACTAGGATATTAGGTCTTCGCGTGATATAGCCGAATTCTGCTAAAGATACTTCTATGATTTAGAAGCGTCATTCTAAACGAGAAAGGTTACAGCTGATATGAAGTTTATGATTTTATTAGGTCTTAGATCCGTCACACTCAACATCTCGTGATGAATTGCGGAGTACTTCAAGTCACCGTAGTCTTACGGCAAGATTGGCAATTTTGGCCGATATACTCAGCACAGTGGCAAGCTGAAGAACTTGGCACTTTAGTGCAATTTATGTATGTCAATAGTTCATGCGAGTGGGGAAGGCTGGAGGCGCCACCGCCACAGCCGAGTGGGGTAAAATGCTGCAGAGGCAGAAATACCCGCGCTATGACTTCCCAAGCTAATTTTGGCTGGCCATGCACAGACCTTTAGCTCTGGGCGCAGCTTCACCATGAGGTGCGATTAGTGAACGACAGGAAATTCCAGCTTATTCTCCTAAAGTGAGTGGTGCCACGAGTACTGCTACCCAGGAACAAGGCCCGTGGACATACTAGTGTAAAAGACATGCGTGCTGCAGCTTCGAAAATTGTAGTCCATTCTCAACAATCTATCTCAGATACCTTTTCCAACTACTACTTCAAGTTCTACAAGATGACTATCGGCCCGAAGCTAAATGGTACTACTGAGCCTCTCGACCTGAGTCTTGTTAAGCGAAAATATGGTATTTGGAAGAAGACAAAATTGCTTCTTGGTCAGGTAGACGGGCAGCATGCATGCCAGTGAGAACATACAGGGAACTCAAAACTCTAGACGCGCATCAATTGCGAGATTTGCTAGCCGAAGAAAGAGTTGCCCTCGCCACCAACAAAAGATCGACAATCGTTTTCATTGACTGTCAGCATGAAAAAAAATGAGTAAAATAGAACTATCGACCGCGTCAGTGATATTTCATAGAGCTCACATCCTTTTCTAAGACAATGAAAAGTTTCAAATTTCTGGTGCTATTCATATGAACCTTGCGTCCTCCACTGGAGCCGCTCTCACATTCAAGAACGCTATCACAAGCAAGTCCAATGTGTACAGCAAGATCGGTGCAGCAGATCTGGTAGTGTTCTATTGTTCTGTGGCGGAGGAACGCTCTCCAACCATGATGGCTCTCTATCAGGATGCGGTACTAGTACCAGAAAAACGCCCCCCGGGATACAATGAAAACCAGGTCGTTCGGTTGCTGGCGGATGGCATAAGAGCCTACAAAGAACTTACAGATGAAGTTATTCGTGGCGTACCGGTCAATGATGACGTGCCTTTTCGTAAGCTTCCTACCTCGGGATTGACCCTTTGCGTGGGCGATGCTAACTATATTGTTCTTCAGTCGCCACATACAAAATCACTTGAGTAAAACCATGGAAGAATGGCAAACCCACTATCTATGGATACCTTTCAATGGCCGTGCAATCAAAGAGTTACATGTATATTGCGAACTCAAACAGTTAGTGCTAATAGTGCATTGTATCTAACGATTTCTCAAAATCACAATATCTCCGAAATTAAGAATCACTCAATTCGAATTTTAAAAAAATTTAAAGGCGCATTATTTTATTCTTCTTATTCCCACTCATCTTTCTGGATATCAATTTGGGATCGCGACTTGTAGACGCGAAAAACGCGCTAGGACATTAGCGTGTGCCCAGACTTTTGATCCTAGTACAGTATAACCCTAGATGGACAACTTCCTGATCAGAAGAAAGGTGAACCGAGAACTAGTCACCACTCTGATCCCCGGAGGGTTTAGATCTCAAAACCTCCCCTCATCAACGTGTTCAAGAGAGGATGGATAAATTCGGGATGTCGCGTATCCAAAAGCGGTTCTATCGGGCGCTCATCATTCCAAAAGTTTATGGGCCCCCCTGACCCACCCAGTCAGCGATCGGACTCGTATGAGAAAAAAAGTATTTATGACCTCCTCCGAAAGCTGCACATTTTGTACTCGCCCAAAGGTCCCTACACAGGCCGTCAATTAAGATGGAGCTCAACTTGGAATTGGTCAATCTGATTTGCAGCGTTGTGGTCCAAAATCTCATCATTGGGACCTTGCTGATCGCGACGCCAAAGCGCTCACCGTATCGCTTCCTTGCGATCCCTATTCTGATATGGAACGCCAGCCGATTCGTACGCCCGCTGGAGTTCTCAGTGTACATTCAGACAAATACAGTTGGCATGCTTACGGTCTCCGTGATCACAGCGATCAATGTCTTGCTCATCAACCCGCTCGATGAACGCGACCTTGCGCGCGAAATGCCCACCACGTTTTTCAGATCGGGCCATTTCTATTATGTCTTTGAGATTCTCTCATTCACGCGTGGAATCAAGACACCACGTCAAGTGAAGAATTTGCCTGCCCAGCCTGCGTTCTATGATCGCTATGGTGGGAAGATCCCGGTCGGTCGCTATCTGCTTAGGCAATTGGCAATCATGAGCTGGCAGTTCCTGGTCATTGATATTGTCCAAACTCTGAGACGCCAGATGGAATTGGAATCTGGATTCAAGGAAATTGAGTACGAAGTTTCGCTGGAAAAATGGATTGAGCGTGCTTTTACGAACAATATCACCTGGTTCCTGGTTGGCCGAGCTGTCATCGATTGCTCTTTCAGACTCTCCTCGATCGTATTTGTGAGTCTGGGTCTTGATGAGCCATCGAATTGGCTACCGCAATTTGGCCGTATGAAAGACGCGTATACCCTACGCAATTTTTGGGGGTGAGTCTGAGTTTCCATTCCTCTTGAGAGAAACAGCCCCCCCTTTCCCCCTTTCCTCCCTGTCAAAAAAGAAAAAAAAAATTGCCCAGGGCTGACATTTTTTTAGTAAATTTTGGCATCAGATGTTGCGCCAACCTTTCACCACAATGAGTAACTTCCTCGCGCGTGATGTCTTGCATCTTCCAAGACCATCCATTCTCGAGCGGTACTCGAATATCTTCATCGTATTCTTCTTATCTGGCGCAATGCACTTCATCCTTGATCTTGTGGCCGATATCCCATGGGAACTCTCGGGTGCGATGCACTTCTTCCTATCCTTTGTCTTGGGAATTATGATTGAAGATAGCGTGCAAGCCTTGTGGAATCGCTTCTCACCTCCACAAAAGTCCAAAGACGGGGATGTTCTGACTCCTCTATGGAAGAAGGTTGTCGGTATGGTTTGGGTCTTTGCTTGGCTTGCTGTCTTTTCGACACCGTACACGGAGCGTATGGCACAATTACCTCCCAACGACCTCGTGCCGCTCAGTGTGGTGGGCAAACTTGGAGTCAAGACTGGAGGAGGACTGGCATTTGTCGGGGCTGTCCTGCTGTGTTTGACTGTCGGGCCAGAAGTGTGAGATAATCAAATGTTTTAAATTAAATGTGTGATAATGTATATAGGTGCACTTTTTGCACTTTCAGATTTATAATCGAAGATAAATGAATTGTTATGAACCTCAGGTTTCATGCGCTGATTCGCTAATAAAATTCACAATGCCTGAGAAATCTGGCCGCAACTTCCTCAACTCCGCTGCCCTTTTCTCAACTCGCACCCGCTTTCACTCATCCATTCTAACTTAGAACTGAGCCATGCAAACGCAAAGATACCCATGAGACACTCAGCCATGAAGAAATCACGATACTCTTCCTCCCGACAAAAGGCTTGCCAAAATTGCTCCATCTCGAAAGCGAAATGCGACCGAGGTGTAGGACGATGCAATCGATGTATCACACGCGGTCTCAACTGCACATATGCTCGATCGCACAGAGTGGAGGATTCAACACAGCATACGCTTCCTCCCAACAACGATGGTGGACCTTGTAGCCCCGCGTCCTTGACGGACTCTCTCGGCACAGGCTTTGGAGATGGGATGTCGTCTATGATTGGAAGCACACGGTTTTCGGATTTCACTTCAATAGGAAATATGGCGATGCCTGCAAGCGTTTCTGGCTCACCGGCGACCCTCTCCCTGAATTCAGGTCGAATGGACACAGCTCCCACAGCCGTTGCTAATACACATCTACCGAGGAATGCTCAGGATAGAGAAGACATTCTGGATTTCACAGGGCTGGAACTACTATGCCCAATTGATGTGGACGGGATCACATCCCGTTGGATGAATCCTTTCATTCCAGACTCAGAGCAAAGGATTAAACAATACCCCACCAGCATCATAGCTTTTATCTCTCGAATATTCAAATCTTATGCCGGATCCGCTATCCGTGGTCGAGGAATCTTACCATTCATCCACCCCACTCAAATGAAGCCTCAGGTGCCGAATTCGCCGCTATCAACGTGCCTAAGCTTAGTGCGAATGTGTCAACATCCACTACCAGGAAGCGAAAATGCCGCCATTATGATATTGCAGCGTGAAATGGATAATATTACCGAATCCCGCGAGACTTACGATGACATATCCTTGTTGGCTGCTTTTCAGGCATACCTTATTTACTCAATGGTTCTATACTTTCGACTTGACTTGGCTCGCGATCATTCTCTTCGACATACGATGATTACCTTACAAGAGCTCGCGCATGCTTCATGCAAAAGGGGCCTTGTTTGCGCGACCGATCAAGCTAGAACCAGGCCTAGGTGGGAAGAATGGATTGTCACAGAAGCAAAACGGCGAACTCTGTACATGATGTATCTGTTTGATAGCGTCATCTCCACGCAGGAGAATGTTCCCACCTATCTTGGCACTGAGCTACAAGGACTTCCTGCGCCTGCATCTCGGACGATATGGGAGGCAGGAACTCGATCTGATTGGGAACAGTCGTACAATCTCTTCCTGGCGGAATGGATGGAACCTGGTCTTGCGATTGATGAACTTTGGCCGATTCCGGCGGAATTCATTGAGGTCGAGATCGCGAAAAGACGGAGTAGAGTGGATCACTGGTTGGAGGATATTGATGGATTTGGAACTATGCTTTACGCGGTAGTAAGTTGTACACATGGGGGGGTGAAGAGTTGTTTTATCATGGATATTTGCAAGGCCTATTTTAGTACCTGCTAGTAGTAACAAAAATACTTATAGATCTTATTCTAGGTATCAGTTACTAATAAATACTTTACACTAAGCACTCTGGTCAAGTGCTCGCAAGGCAGTATCGAGCGATATAACATGCAGGTTCATTCGGGAGAGAACATTTTGAAGAAAAAGCTCTTTGAACTCGGGTGTGTCACTTGGGGGTAGTTCCAGCACGTTGCCTTCGATCACATAAATATCGTAATCAAGGTCGAAAAGATGATAGATCGTGCTCATAACCACGCCAGATAGAGCCAGACCAGACTAAAAATATTAGTAAAACCGATCATAGCGTGGAGAATGGCAAGACAAAACCTGACTCACAATGATCACTGTGTCGATATTCTGTGCTTTCAAGATTTGTTTCAAGGCATTACCAGATGTCGCTGACCACCTTGTCTTTTCAAGGACAACATCGTGCTCATCCAAGGTAAAGCGTTTGTCAATTTGAGTTTCAGGAGTACCAGTCTTGAATTCTCCAAACGGAGTAATAAGCTTCGCAAAAGGCTTTCCACGCTTCACTTCCGGTTGGCCATGGGCAAAAGCGAGTGTCGTGAAGATAGTCAAAGGACGAGATGATTTTTTGTGGACGGCGTCATTCCATTTAGTGTAGTTCTGGATCAATGCTTGACCCTCGGGTGTACTCTCAACAGCACCCAGAAGCAGTGCCATCCAGTCCAAGTTGAGAATGGCATACCGCTGCCCAAAGGTTGGGATTTCTGGAGCTTCAGAAGCCATCCCGATCGATTTTCGAGAGTTTTGAAAGAAAAGAAAAAAAAGTAGTGAAGTAAAGCTGAATTCAGTGGGGAGAAAGTTGTATTTAATAGGTTTCTTGCTTTATCTCATACTATACATTCTTAGTGGCGGGCCTGGCGGGGATGGGAGAAAGCGGAAATGGGGGTGGCCGCAGGGCACTGCTTGAGCTGGCAGTAGCCGACTACATTCATTGTGGGGTTTTGTTACTGTTTTACGGTATTTATTACTGGTTTTATTATGGCAATATGCCGTATCTTCTCTGTCTTCTATTACCGCGGGTGTGGCGTTAGAGTGGTTCTGGTCCCCGATGGTGGGAACGCCTACATAGCCACGGCGCTCAACTCCGCTCAACTCCGTCAGCTGCCCGACACCCTCGCCCTTCTTGATGTTATTTAAAGATCTCTCGTTTCAAGGGTTACTCCCACTTATTTACTTGCAATCCAATAAATTTTCATCCGACAACTCAATTAAATCTTTTCATTACCATAAGCAATCATTCATTCCAAGCCATTTTTGAAGTTAGAATGTCCACGGAGACAAACAAGGATCCCTCTTTGAGTGATGCTCCGTCCTGGAGCGATGCATCAGATTTGGCATCAGCAGCTCAAGCTCCGCCAGAACCGCCGTATAGCATCTTTGACAAGAGGCAAAAGTGGTTAATCGTGGCCTTGGTTTCAACAGCAGCGACCTGTGAGCTTCATTCAAATTTCGGATGCGAAAAGATCATCGACTAATGCTTCTTGTAGTCTCGGGGTTTGCATCCAATATCTATTTCCCAGCTCTACCAACAATCGCGGCCGACTTAAACGTATCACTGGAACTCGTCAACCTTACGGTCACGTCTTATCTCATTTTTCAGGGAATTGCGCCTAGTCTTTGGGGTCCCGTATCGGACGTCAAGGGCCGCCGAGTTGCTTACGTCTGCACTTTTATCGTTTTTATCGGCGCGTGCATCGGGTTGGCGGAAACGGAAAATTATGCCACGTTGATTGTGCTCCGATGTCTCCAGAGCACTGGAAGTGCAAGCACCATAGCCATTGGCTCCGGTGTTATTGGAGACATTACCACCCGTGCAGAGCGTGGAGGCTTCATGGGCATCTTTCAAGCCGGACTTTTGGCGCCTGTTGCTGTTGGGCCGGTTATAGGTGGTGCTTTGGCTGGCTCAATAGGCTGGAGATCTGTGTTCTGGTTTCTAATGATCTATGCGGCTGTGTTTCTCCTCGTTCTCACCTTTGTACTGCCTGAAACGCTTCGATCCATAGTCGCCAATGGTAGCGTCTCATCACCTAACCTGATGACTCGCTTTCCGTTGCAGACTTATCAAAAGCTTTCAAAGGTGGAAACAGACCCGGATACTCCGCTACCTCAGCTTGCGGCCAGAAAGAACGTTGATATTTTCGGCCCTTTTCGCATCCTTATTAGCAAGCAGGCTGCGCCGATCATTCTTTTCCTCGCTATTTACTATGCTGTGTGGCAGATGAGTATCACGGCTATGTCATCGCTGTTCAGGGATCGCTACAGTCTCACTGAGATCCAGATTGGTCTCACGTTCATTGCGAATGGCGTCGGGTCTATCATCGGAACACTGATAACCGGAAAAATACTCAATGTCGATTACGGTCGTGTTAAAGCAAGCTTCGAGGCAAGAGTTTCTACGGATGTTGAAGACGAAAGCGCGGGATCTCGCACCAAGAGCAACCAGGAAGATTTTCCGCTTGAAAAGGCTCGCCTCCGGCTTGTACCGTTCTTCTCGCTGCTCCAATGCCTGTCACTTCTTCTGTTTGGGTGGACAATTCAGTTCCCTCGTCGCATTCACATCGCAGTTCCGATTGTCTCTACTTTTATCACCGGATGGACTGCTGTCTCGATGCAATCTGTCATCATGACCTACCTCGTTGATATCTATCACGACAAAAGTGCCGGGGCTAGTGCAAGTCTCAATTTAGCGCGATGCTTGTTTGCCGCTGGCGGCACAAGCTTTGTCATGCCTCTGATCAATGCCGTTGGCGTCGGTTTGACATTCACAATTTGTGTAATTGTTCAAGTCTTCGCATTGATCGGTCCGCTACTGCAGTGGAAATTTGCGGCTGGCTGGAGAAGAAAGGCCGAAGCACAGAACACACAGAATGTGTGAGGCAGCCGACTATGGATCATGAGAGTCAAGCGACAAGTGTTAATTTACAAACACTGAATCTTCGCGGCATAAAAATTAATACTATTCATTATCATAATACAGTTTGTTCGGAGTTTCAACGGGAAACTCGGCAAACCCATCTCAAAACAGCCGCACTCAAGATCACAAAATTATTCATCCACGAAAGCCCATTTTAGAGTATTTAGAGGACATAATAAGATCTTATATCTTAGAGATCATCAATCTTGTAACTCAAAGGCTACCGCGTAGCCAGATAGTAGTAGAAAAAAAGGATGAAATAACACAAAAGTGATGGTAAACAAAGTATGCAGACTTAACGGCAGAGCCAATTTGAGGGTCGTTTATCTCAATGGTTTTCTTCCATATATGACGTATCTGAAACCCAATTTTAGTATATAGTCCCGAACATGCTTCATCTAGAGACTCACTCCTTGACATAAGCGTGCATGTGTTTATCTCGTAGTTGTTTCTTAACGGAAGCCTGGAATATTTTAGACACATCTTCACCCCAGCCTAATACTTGAGTGAACAGCCTGAGAGAATATGCCTCAATAGCATGCTGCACCATTGCGGCCTGGAACTTCCCCAGCTCCTTGAGATATGGATCTTTCGGCCACGGTGAGTAAGGAAGGAAATAGACGAATTGGTTGACATCCTCAAACCCGGCCTCGATAAGCCACTGTCTTAGATAAGGGTAAACATTGTATGGTTTTCCAATTGCATTCGAGGCCATATCCATTGCTCGTAGTAATTCAAATATCGGTGAGTCTGGGGGACATGTGCCATCATCACTCCATGCCCATACTGCACTTTCTTGTATTTCAAAATAGGCGCCTGGCTTTAAATGATCGTAGCAACAATTGAATAGTTGAGGCCAATCTGAAACGCAGCTGTAGGATTGTCAATAAATTTCTGACGAGGAAGAAGATTCGAACGACGGACCCTGCGAGTAACCTTGCATGGATGAAGTCAAAACTTGATGGCTCATAAATCCATTCCGATTCGAAGTCTTCAACCACAAACTCCACATTCGGAGGTACCCAATTTGGCTGGATGGCACTGATATCGTTGCCGATGATGCTAGCCATTGGGTATTTTCTGATCAATGGATTAGCCTGCCAGCGTATAAGGTTTTCTTTTCCACAACTGATATCTTACTCTGCGAAATCAAGAGCCCAGATTCCAGTACCAGTTCCAAGATCCAAGACTTTCTGTGGGTTGTTTATTGGGGCTTTGTGAAGTTCACCTCTCATTAACAAGAGCCATCTTGTTTTGGTTTCAATTAGCGATGCGGATTTCCAGGAAGGGGCTAGTAAAACTGACATATGATGTGTCTGAATGCGTTATTAGCATTGCGTTTCGGCTAAAAGGGGTGATAGAGAGTTTACCAAATCCATTCGATCTTGCTCTTCTTCATCGTTTGGCATCCTTAATTTCATCAATCGGTAAGCCTCGGCTGCGCAATAAGCACGATAAGATGCTGTATTTACATGTAGTTACTCTGTGGGGACATTCACTTAGATCAATATTTCGGAGTCGGATGGGATGCGATGCGACATACTATTCTGTTACTGTGATAGCGCCTCCCATTTTCATATTCGTATTCCAAGATGCTCGATGATAAAGAAGTAAGATCGGACCCTTCGCTTGCAAATTCACTGTCTTCATCCTGTGAACAGTTAGGATATTTCTGGCCAATGAGGAATAAATGACATCACGGTAAAGGTATCCGCAACAATCGGAGCGCTGGTGAATGTGTTGCCCTGGGCTTCCGCGTCTCCTGCTTGATGTTCTGTGGGCTTCAATCCGTTTGGAGGACTGTCGTTGGTATTGGGGAGCACGGGCGAATTCATGTCGACTCTCACAGGCTGATAGCTTGACGGGTCGCGCAAAAGGAGACTGACTAGGCCAAGAGGCTTTGCGAGGGGCATGAGGTGGCGAGGATGGAGCTTATAGTTTTCAAGGTCCAGACCTGTGCGGGCCCACGGTTATGCGACCGATCGGACCAGCACCAGTGAGGAGGCTTCTCATGATTGAATCGCGATCCGCAAAAACTATCCTGCAGGTCAGGAACCCCCCCCCGGATCTTGCCTTTGGAGGTAGAATGTGAACGAGGATACTTAACTATGTGATCGCTCTTTCAAAATGAAAAGTCTCAAATTGTCTGGATGTTTGATTAAGAGCAACCCCGAGCAACCTACTCGTCCCAAGGCCTAAGTAAGTGCGAAACATCGCAATTCCACAGTGTCCCGGTTCGAGTGCACTGAATCAAGAAGATAGCTAGTGGATGAACATATTGACTCGTTCGCGCATAACTAGATGTTACCAGCCTGTTGGGTCAAGGCCTTCACTCCCAGCCTGGTGATCGACACGCAAATGTTCCAATTGGTGGACGGCTCCTTAGCAGCGTCCACGGCCTCGGGAAGAGGTGACCCTTTTTATTCCCAGCGAAATGGCGAGCCTGAAGTAGCATCACACCCCGATTTTTCTGTATCACAAGTTGATAGATCATCATAACCTCAAGTTGGCAATTCTCCGAGGTCGTTTCCAAAGTTAGAGATTTTAAGGGCAGGTTGGTGAGTAAGGAAGGTCCATAGACATATATATCTTTTAAAGCAAACAAACTTATCAATTTTAATGATTGAAAATCAAAAATTTACCACCATTATTGAGAAGTAATATCCTGGAAATATCGAGTCTACCTCAGCTGATAAAGGAGCGAAACGGAGAAAAAGCCAGAATTGAGAATTTATGGAACCGAGTCAAGGGAGCGTTTTGGTATGGCGAGGCAATAATCGACAAGAAAAAACCCTAAAAAAGTGCACCGAAGGAAATACATCTGATAGAATCGCGTGTAGTTTTCCGTAGGCTGGAAGAAAAACATATTTAAGTACTAGTCAGAGTATATTCAATTCTTGTGGTATCGCTCGGCCATACCCGCCGCTCCTTATGAATTTTCCGATATGCCCGATAGAACCGACGTGACCGACTACGAGCGCGACCAACATCCAATGAAAGTGGGAATTTTCATGTTCTAGGGAAGCCTTACCAGCTTAATGGAAAAAGGATCTAGTTATGAAACCATATAAAACGAGTCTTCTGATGCTGTCTTTTTCCATTTCTTTTGTCTCCTCACAAGTCTAGAGAATCGCCATCCTGCCACTTCCCTCAACTCGCTTTTGAATAATTGGTTAGTGAAGCCATGGCTAAAATAAAATCAATGTAAAAAAAGAGGGTTTCCGGGCTAACTATAATATAGTCACTCTATCTTCCTCGGAAATGTCTCTTAATATTCTCGTCGTTGGGGCTGGAATTTGTGGCCCGGCTTTTGCAACTCTTCTTCAAAGATCCAATCCCAAGCACAAAATCACGATTCTAGAGCGCTTTGACTCCTTACGCACATCCGGACAGCAAGTTGATCTGAAGACTCAAGCTCCTCACATTCTAAGAAAGATGGGCCTGATGGAAACGATCAAGGCGCATTGTGTGAATGAGACAGGGCTTGAAATGGTAGACTCCACAGATAAGCAGGTCTCCTACTTTCCTGCCACTGCTGCTGGAGAGCGTCGCCCTGGACTGACGAGCGAGCATGAAATTATGCGCGGGGACATGGTGCAAGTGCTTTATGATGCCAGTGTCGAGCGAAATGCAGCATTGAAGCCTCAAATAGGAAGCCAAGGGGGCATATTGTACAGATTTGGCCAAACGATCACGGCTCTTGACCAACACCCAGATGAAGTGGAAGTGACTTTCTCCGACGGAAAGAAACAGGGCTTTGATCTCGTTGTTGCTGCAGATGGACAGGGATCACGAACCAGAAGACTCGCATTTGGCGAGGAGGTCAGCGACGCAGCTTTTAAATCGCTCGGAATTCATGGTGCTTATTTTAGCATTCCTCGAATTGAAAGCGAAGGAAGCCTCGCGCGAGGACACCTCGCCCCAGGAAGACGAATGATCATGACCAGAACAAGTGACCGGCCAGTCACTGGAGTTCTTCTGTTTGCAATGGAACAGTCTAATCGACTGAGAGCATCTTATAAAGAACCACAAGAGGCTCAAAAGCAAGCATTTTCAGAGACGTTCAAGGATATCGAATGGCAAACTGATAGATTGATTGAGGGCCTGAGAAACTCTGAAGACTTTTATGCTCATGAGCTTGGCCAGATAAAAATGGGCCAACTTTCAACCGGTCGCGTTGTGCTCCTTGGAGATGCAGGCTACTGCCCGAGCCCCTTCACTGGACTTGGAACCAATCTTTGCCTAATGGGAGCCTATATTCTTGCAGGCGAACTGGCTAGACATGGGAGCGATGTCAAGGGAGCTTTGAAGTCATACGAAGATGAAATGCGGCCTTTTATAGATGACTGTCAGCGTTTCTCTACTGGCAGTCTTGGACTTTTCTTTCCCTATTCGAGACTTGGTGTTTGGTCTATGGGAAAGCTCATGTGGGCTGTGTCTAAAGTCAACGGACTTTTCCCTCAATTCCAAAAGGTCGACAATCACGATGGGTGCATTCGCGAATACCCCGAATTAAAACTGAAGGGTTAAATCAAGTGCTAGTGAAATAGATTCAGCTATTCATCGATGTATTTTTAAAAAAAGTTCGTTGGCTTCTCTCGACTAGTACTTGAAAACCGGTAGTAAGTCGATACTTAACTAATCCTCGACAATAAGGACCGTACGCAAGTGCTGCATGACTATCAAGATATAACTACTATAGGTACAAAAGTAGTTCTGATTCAGTATAATTTACCTTGGCATAAGGGTTGGAGAAACAATCGAATAACAGAGGTGGAAACACACTGGCATTCTCGAAAGATACTAAACATTAGCTCAAGCTTACCTCTTCAAGGCAGCAGAGCGCATCTGTGGCAGTTCCGGCCGGTCCATCAAGCAGTAAGTTCACGTTTTCCAACATCCTCTACAGATATGATCAACGTCATATGAAGTAACTCTTTGAGTTGAAGGACAATCAACTTTCACTGGCCTTCAGTGGATCAGAGTCCAAATCCACGATGAAAGACAAACGCCACCCGTAGCTATCTCCGCCCGCAACGGGTGAAAGCAAGGTTGAGATCCAATTGGCAACGATGGCGAAGTTCCAGCCAATCACATTCCGTTACTTGCTGGGATGTTGAACTTAGCATTCCCAGCAAAGGATTTCGGGCACGGTCAGTATCGAAACTAGCGAATTAAAATTGAGCCTATCGCTTTGAGCTCCCAGAATCAAGCAAACCGGAAGGCATCAAGGGGTCACCCGCCTTGTAACCCGCCAATCACACAAATTCTAGCCGTCAAGGACGATCCCTGTTGATAACAGCGTGTGGGGTAAACGAAGTCAGAGGTTTCTGGAAGTGGCAAACCCGATTACGTGCCGCCCGCTTGGCTTTGGGCGGCTGTGCAAGGTGACAATTCCACAAGACATCGAGCAAAAGCTTTGGGGGGAAGGGCTTCACGAGATTGCGTCGCGACTTCACGCAAAAGCAGATAATTCTTTTTCGACTGGGTGTACTGACTAAGGTTGTCACGGGATTTAGGGATCTTCTGGCCTACTGCAGGTGTACAGTGTGAGGCTCACGATGGACCAAGTAAAAGTCGGCCTGATTCGTGGATAGGCCACCGAAGATGAGCAGCCCCTTTTCGTTCACAAGGACCTACAGTAGGCGTTTGGTTCATGCCGGTTCAAGGAGATGCAATACGCCGTAGCCTGATTTGTGGGCAGGCCACCGATGATCATCGGCCCAGTTTCTGTTTTTATACCCTATGATGTCATGCACTACGTTCAGGTCCCAGCCTTGTATGGGGTACAGCTAGTATCATGGAAAATTATCTAAGAACCTGATAGCTCGACTGACGTATCAAACAAACCATAATGTCACAATGATGTGGGAAACTCTGTGTTTTAAGATGGTGCTTGTCACAATGGAACGCCCTACTTATCCCTTGGACATACCCCGTACCTTGTTTGCTTTTCCAAGTCAAATAGCATACAGGTTCACACCGCCAGCACGGAGCTCGACATATTAAAAATAACAGAAATTTGGATTATTATGAGACTAGCGCCTTCCTCACCAGTAGCCTTGGGGGCGCGCCATCTTGACATGCCACTCGATCATATCGGCAAGCCTGCCAACGGAGGCAGTGACCCACTCGCCAATTATAATGATGGAAGAAAAGCCGTGCAGGGAGCTGGCTCGCCCTTGAAGAAAAGATTCCCATCGTACCCTGGTCTTGATCGTTTTGAACTTTTGGATTTATTGGGTACAGGAGCATTTAGCAATGTCTATCGAGCCTCCGACCGCGAGAACAAGAACGCCAAAGTCGCAGTCAAGGTCCTGAGGAAGTTTGAAATGAACGAACAACAGGTATGGATCTGATCACTTATTAAAGTATCCTGAAAATGAGAGCTAAATATCACATAGAAAGGAAACGTCAAAAAAAGAGATCGAAATTATGCGACAATTGAGACACCCCAACGTATCCGAGCTTATCGACTGCGTCGAGACACATCAGTATTGCCACATTATAATGAAGCTCAGTTCCGGCGGAGAGCTGTTTAATCAGCTGGTCAAACTTACTTATTTGAGTGAGGATTTGGCCAGACATGTCATTAAGCAAGTTGCAGAGGCGGTTCTGTATCTCCATCAAACGCTTGGCGTTGTTCACCGGTTCGTTTCACTTCATCGCCATCCCGAATATTGGACATATGGACCAAAGCTAACCGCCATTGCAGAGACATCAAACCAGAAAATATTTTTTTTCGAGTCAATACCGATGAAGCCGAGCAAGACTCCGAAGCCAACACTTCCTGGAGAAGAAGACAAACTTGACGAAGGAGATTTCATCCCCGGCGTGGGCGGAGGAGGAATCGGGTCTGTCGTTCTAGGAGATTTCGGGTTGTCTAAAATTATTGCTGGCGTTCCGACTGCAACACCGTGTGGTACAATGTCATATGCCGCACCTGAAATAGTGCGCGATGAGAAGTATACCACCGAGGTGGATATGTGGGCAATTGGCTGCGTGTTATACACTCTTTTGGCCGGGTACCCACCCTTCTACGACCCCGACACAAAGGTCTTGATGAAAAAGGTTGCAAAGGGGCAGTACACTTTTGATTCGCCCTGGTGGAACGACATATCCAATGACGCCAAAGACATTGTTTCAAGACTTTTAACCGTGAACGCGGAGGAGAGGTTGAACATTAAAGAATTCCTTGCCCACCCCTGGATCACGCAACCTGGCAAGACAGAAAATTCCAAGGAGGCCAAGAGTACATCTCAAAAGGCCCATGATCCGAATGGTGATACGAAAACCGCCAAAACCCCAGAGTTACCGGCCACAGAAGCTATACGTGAATCGCGCGTGGAAGCACGAACACCTGGTTTCATGAACGTTCGAGAGCTGTTCGACGTTGTGTTCTCAGCACACCGAAATGGAGACAACGAAAGACGACAAGAGTCCCCCGAGGCAAATTTCGTCGCGGCCACTGAAAAGAGAGAGTCAAGCGATGAGAGTATCCATGATAAGCTTGTTATTGAAAACAGCACGCTGCTCCAGAAGCGAGACGCGAGGAAAAAGGAGTCAAGGCCCGACTCACGAATTACGAATGTATGATTAGGTTTTGTGAAAGTAGCCATAATTGAATATTTACACCAGAAAACACTAAGGTCGAGACTGCCCCAGTGATATTGCTTATTTTATCACTTGCAAGGCGGGATAGCTTCTGGAAAAAGTGTATGATACTAGTAGTTATTACAAGTATTTAATAGCTAGTATGTTTTCTTGACAACTGTACTAGTTAGTAAAGTTCACAATTGCTTGCAATTCACCAAGACATCGTGCGCATGCATTGTAGGCATTTGACTAGATGAATAGTAGTAGTATGCTTTCCGCATGCCCATTGGAGAAATATAAAAGAGAGTTGTAAATTCATTCTGTCATGACCAATATTCGCTCAAAGAGACTAAAATCTAGTAAATCATCAAAAGCAATTCTAAAAAGAAAAGCAATGCTATATAGTAACACAATCGGCATTAATCCTTATTCCTTCCAAATTTCCACCATTCCATCATTATAATTCTAGACGCTGACCAGCGGAGTCACGGTGACACTGAAGTCGTTCTTTTCACTCAAGTAACTCTCGGAGCCGGTTTGGATTGTAATAGGCTCCTCCTCGTTGACGCTTGTTTCTTGAGGGGTGCGATCTGCTGCAGGCCAGATTTCATGACCGACCTCTTCTTCCTTCTTGCGGTGTTCCATGACGACCTCGCGCACTGTCTTCTGGAAGTGGAGCGGACCAAGCTCCATCTCGGGGTGGAGTAAACCGTTGACGAAGACACCGGCGTTGATGTTCTTCTGGGTACCGATGCAGAGGTACTTGTCCTCGGACATGATCCGCTTGTACATGTCGCTGATAATGCTGAAAGCCTCATCGGTGGCATCCTTGTGACGGTAGACCTCATAGCGCATCACACAATGGGTTGGGCTAACAGGGGTGAAACGCTGCATGAAGAAGAAGTTGGGACTATAGAAGTTAGAAGTGCTCTGGAACTTTATTGGCGATGAGATACTCACGAGATATTGAAAGAGGCATTTGGCCAGAAGTAAGTAGTGGCAATGCGGAATCCTTTGGCGATCTGATCCTCTCGTGGAGCACCGTAGTGCTGAATGTGGCCGTCCTTGGGCTTGACGTAATAAGAGTTAAGGTCGGCAATTGTGGGAATGTCGGGGTGAGCGACTTGGCAGTGGTAGCATTCGTTGTAGTTATCGGCGAGAATCTTCCAGTTGAATGCGCCCTCCATATCCCAGGTGTGGTCGAAGTTATACTCGTCAAAGTTGTAGTATTGGAAGCGGGGCTGCTCATCGGCGCCCTCGAAGTCATCCTTCCAAGCAACCTCTGGGGTTTCAGATGAGTCCAGGTTCACCCAGACGAATCCATTCTTGTCGAGGTGCACGTGGGCAGGCGAGAGATCCTCGCTGAGGAAAGCCTTGATCTCGCCTTCATGATCCTTAGCAACAACGAACTCGTAGCCAGCAGCGTCATAGCGGACCCAGTCGCCGGCATTGGGGACGCGGGCCTTGTGTGTGGTGAGGAGCCACTTGCGGGAGAAGATAGCTCGGCGTTCAAGCTCATACATGGCTTGAGAGGTGTACCAGGGTGCGGGAAGAGCGCGAATAGGGGTCTTCTTGTCCTTGGCCTCCTCAACAACTGGTGTGGCGGAGGTGCCGAAGAAATTCCTCAAGAATGACATTGTGAATATGATTAATCAAAGACGGGTCTTTGGAATAAAAGTGTAGAGAAGCTTGATGCTTTGATTGATCTTTGCTTTAGAGTTGCTGATAACTACATCTCAACCAGAAGAAGCTGCGTTTCTATATAGCTATCTCGACCAGCTTGACACGGCTTTCATGACGCCCCGTCCGATGTCTTGGACGGTACTCGAACTTTCGCATCCGAAATGGGTGGCATACCACAATGCGCACGGCAATCATGTGGCCAATTTCCAGCCATTGTCCAGGGGTTTCAACGGGAGATATACCTAAGAACCGGTCAGGTGATCGGTAGATCACTATCAACACCGAATGGCTTGAAGGCTATCGGGCGCTCCTTGCCTTAAAGGGGTTAGCCCCGTCCAAGATACAGCAGGGATAGCTGCTGATATCATCCCGAGCTCCCCGCATCATTGGCTGTGGGGAGCGCCAGTTTGATCTAGAACACCGAGATAGAGCCGCCCCCGGGTCGGTCTAAATCCGTTCCACTCCGGCTGTTTAGAGATACCTTAAATGGTAATCTTTATCATTTTTACACAGCTTAGTATCGCGGCCCACAGCCGGATGTCTGGGGAATGACCCGCAATGAGCTGCAAAATAACAAGGCTAGATGCTAACCGTCATACAGATGTCATTTCTGAAGATGGGTGGGTCAATACTTAGTTGCAACACTCATCTATTTGTTTATCTTGTGCCCGTTCTCCTATTTAATTAAGTGCAAAGCTCTCCAAGCTGGAACGTTCTTTCAAGAAGCATACCATGGAGAGCAGAAACTTAATTGGAATTCAAAATAGGATCTCGAGTCTGTGAGAGAGGTCATTTGATGATGGGTAGCTACCAATCCTACACTAGTAAACTTTAACTATGCACCACGGCTATGTCTATCGCGCCAATAAAAGTAGCACGGGCCGGCCACGGAAGGATTTGAGCTGGCCGAGTCACGAGAACCAAACTTCTTCAGCCACCGAAGACTCATTGCCTTATCAACAAAGGATTGGACACAGACCGATACCGTGGCACATAGGGAACTGGTGACGTGGCAATCAGAGAGAGGAGAAAGTGAAGATCATCCGACCAACAAGCGGTAAAGCGCCTTCGAAGGTCCAGAATGAAGATGAGATTTTGACTTTGACTGCTGCTACATTGCCATCTTTCGTGATCGATTTCCAAATCGAGCTGCTACTATTTTTGGCGACATCGAAAAAAAAATAAGAATTCTGAAGAAGAATAGTCAACAAGGACGAAATATTTCCATGGATATAGACCGCTTGATTAGGTTGGTAGTTTATGTAAACTTTTATAGGATTAAAATGCCTTTCGCATGAATTTCATAACCCTGAATTATTTGTATTGGGTAGTATCTACCGAGGTCTCTCTTGTGCTCAGGCTAGTAACTAGTAGCTAGTCATATGACCTTTTGCATGGTTGAGTGGAACTGGCGGAGGTCGTTGCCGATTTGAGACCATGATTCCAAGAGCCCAGCCGATTGGCCTAAAGAGAAATCAGAATGCAAGGCACCTCGCTGACATACTAAAAGCTACTAGGGTAAAGTTTATATAGAGTTACCGATACTAGGTAGTAGTACTACCTACTAGTAGCATTGAGGCGGCGAAAGGACTGTTTTGGCATCGGCATCAATCAAAATTGGAACCACTAACGGCTTTTCATGAAAGAACCTTTGTTTACCAGTAACCAGCCAGGTGATATGCGCATAGAATAGGTATTCCTGCTGATGCGAAAACCTCTACCAGTTCTATCCAAGACGAGATTATTCCGATATGTGCAACCTTTGCTTCATAATTGAACTCTCTATGTATCTAGTATATTTTCCATAAAGGCACGAATGCCAAACATCCATCCTCGAAGCTCCATGCAAGACGAAACAGTATCTAAACAGTTTCAACGTGCATTCCAGCTTCCTCGGGTTGGATGTGCTTTTCGATAATCTCAGTATTGACTGTGCGGTGGTGACCAGGCAGAACAGGGTAACCACGAGATTCGAAAACGCCTCCGGTAATTCCACCCTTCTCGAAGAGATGATCGACATCCTCCAGTTCCAGCCCCTTGGTTTCGGGGAAGAAGAAGTATACCATGGGAATCTTGAAAGTGTCAGCATCGGCCACCAAGCGAAAGGAAATATCAACCGCGAGAACTTACCCATGCGGCACAAAAGCAAGCAAAAATAATGAATGTCCGCCATGAGATGTTGTCAATTGCGGTAGGCGTTACTTGAACCACAATGACTGAGACTGTCAGTACTCTACTCAAGAATTCTTTGAGATTGTCTTCTACTTACAGACACACATCCAATTCACGAATCCTGCGAAGGCTTGACCGCGTGCACGAATACGAGTCGTGGTGATCTCGCTAGGATAGAACCTGATGAAGATGTGAGTAGCATTCTTTTGATGAATCAAGAATGATTCAAGAGCTTACCAAGGTACAGGCAAGTATCCAATGCCAAGGAATAATTGGAAAATAAAAACAAAAACGGTTGCAGCATATGCGCATGATGTCGTTCCGATCGATAACAAGATAGCAGTGAGAACAAAGCAGGTGCAGAGTCCAGCAGCGGAAATCATCAGTGATGCTCTGCGACCCAAGCGATCCATACTCCACAGGGGAATGAATGAGCCGGCCAGGTAGGCGAGGGAGGTACATCCTCCAAGGATCAGCGATAAGTTTCGGGAGAGATGCATTGCGTTTTGGTAGACGATAGGTGCGTAGTAATTGATCATGTTGGAGCCTTTTTTTCGTCAGCTTGATTGAACCATTCCCGAAGGTAGAAGAGTCACTTACCAGTGAACTGTTGCTGCACGTTAACCAAGGCAGCAAGAATCATGCGACGAAGATTCTGCATCTTGCCTCCGGAGAGAAGCTCTCTATATTTGAAAGGTCCACCAGCAGATTCGATCTCAAGAGATGTTTCGATCTGGCGACGGAGAAGGATAACCTCAGGCGTGGACTCATTCGCAGGCTGCTCCATCTGAAGACGAGCCAGAACGGATGCTGCCTCCTCGCTGCGATCCTGTTCACATAACCAGCGAGGGGTATCGGGTAGGGGAATCATTTGTAGTACTAGGCAAACCGCAAAGAATGCCTGGAAGCTGATTGGGAATCGCCACTGCACAGGAGAATCGACGAAGCTGAGGCCATAATCCAACCAATAGGCGATACAGAGTCCGACGATAGTCACTGTACCTTGCGCGGAGAGCAGCCTACCACGTAACTCTGGTCGTGCCATTTCTAAGATAGTGTCAGCAATCATTCCTCTCCAAATTTACTCCGATTTCGTATAGCAGTCCAAGGAATCCACCTACCACTCTGATATGTTGGTACCGTGCTGCTATTGATTCCATTCCCTAGCCCGGTGACGACTCTGCCAACGAGGAACTGGGCAGTGGAGTACGATGAACCGAGAATGATAGTTCCAATGACCATGATGGAACCGCCGGCAATAATCATATTTTTCCGCCCGAGTCGATGACCGAAAACGAAGGCAAATAAACACCCGACTGCGCAGCCAATGTCATAAATTGAGGTCACTAGAAGCGTGGAGTTAGCTCTTTTGTGATCTGTATATCCCGATGGGGCTTTCACGTACGGATGCCTTGCATGGTCGCATCGGGGTGGCCGAATTGCTTTCCAAATTCATTATCTGCTCCGACAAGTCCACTCATCACACCCTGATCATATCCCAGGAGAAGGAAGGCCTGACAGCTGGCGGCTGCATCATTTGGAGTTAGTCTCTGTCGGGCCGTCGGAGTGCGAGGTTGGAAAGTAGGGTACCTGTGACAGCCCAATGTAAATATCTTCCACGGATAGGGCCCATCTTGATGTCTTTTCTAAGACAGCAAGTCGATTAGGCAAGTATAACAAACGTTGAAGAGAATGGGAGTCCGGGGCCCCGCGATTCTTGTTTGACCATTTTAAGGGAAGAACCACACTCGCACATTTCGCTAACATCTCCCCCGAGAAATCCGTCCTCTCTCGGGGGGGAATTAGCCCGGCCCGGAGGTTGTGCTACAGTTGCATTGCTTAATACGGTTTAGCGGGAGTTTAGTGCACGCCCGACCCGGGGATTTGTGGGGTTGCCCCGCACTTTCACCAAACGAAGGCTTGCAACAGGCTGGGCACGGCCGGGGTTGACCAGCGCCATCATTAAACAAGCAAAGCGCCACCAGGCTGCTTGAAGAAATCCGAGTGGGGATCACTGACTAGGCGGGCGCCACCGAATTCAGGGTCCGGTGTGGTCGATGGTGCGCTGACGACCGCTGGATGAGACTCGTGAGCAATGAGCTCGAGCACCAAAGATCGCCTGTGCTCGAGCTAATTTTCTGAGACCACGAAGAGTTGGGTTACATTCGCATTATTAATCCATTTTCTCTTCTCGTTTCTGCCAGATCGGAGAGATCGTGAAAGATGCCGCAAACTCACGAGAGTCGATGGCTATAAATACCGAGCAATCTAACTTCGATTCTTTATTCTAGAAAGCCTCTACAGACTTCAAGTTGATTCGCGATATAATGGTTTCACGCGTTTTACGAGCTACAGCCTTCGCTGCCTCTTGTTTTGCTCTCCCTGCCAGCGATGCATCCGACCTAAAAGTGGATATCGATTGGAACACAGTATTGATTGAGTCCAAAACAACAGCCACTTTGCAGTCGGTGGCCAATCCACCATTGCTATCAAACAGCAGTACGCGTGAAAATGCCCTGGGATCTCTCAAGTCCGTCGCTGCTGACTACGTCCGCTACGTCCCCTGGTTCCCCTACCCTCGTCTCTCGGTGCCGGAGATTGACCCGCCTGTCAAAAATGAGACCCATTGCTCCACCAACTGGGATTTCACCTATGCAGACCAACTACTGTTAGACTTCTTGGCCAACACCCCAAATGTTTCGCACATCATCAATTTCAGCACCACACCTGACTGGATGTGGGTGACCGACACTCCCTATGAGTATCCGGAAGATGTCAACACAATTGACTGGAATTACAATAACGGAACTCAACTTCGTGACCCATCCCTGAAGGAAATCTCTGATTACTATGCACGACTTTTGTCATGGTATGTACAGGGTGGTTTCACCGATGAGTGTGGCGTCTATCACAAATCCGGCCATCATCTCGACATTGAGTACTGGGAGATCTTGAACGAGTCAGACTCCGAGCATACAATCAGTCCAGAATTCTACAATCAAATCTACGACGCGGTCACCGCCGCTATTCACAAAGTCTCACCAAAGACTCAATTTGTTGGTCTTGCTTTGGCTACACGCAATGTGACTCGCGTAAAGGACTTCCTCGACCCTACCAATCACAAGCCTGGCACGCCGTTGGACTGGATCAGCTATCATTTCTATGCGACTCCAGATAACTCTACTACTCAGAACGAAGCTGCGCAAAGCTTCCAGATGGCAGACACATTCCTTGGGGAAGTAGCCGAAATCGAGGCTGCTCGGAAGGCGATCTCGCCGTCGACCCGTACCACCATTAATGAGCTGGGCACCATGGATCCCCTTGGCTCGACTCTCATCTATGATAACTACACTATTCCGGATGAGTACTGGGTCTGGAGTGGAGGTATCTACGCCTACCTCTTCTCTAAGCTCGCAGTGGCTGGCATTGACGCTGTCGGGGAGAGCCAATTGAGCGGTTATCCCGGCCAATACCCCTCTGTCTCAATGATTTATTACCAGACTGGTCTTCCAACGGCTCGTCTGCGTGTACTTCAGTTGATTCAGAATAGCACTTCGATTGGTGACAAACTTCTCCAAACTACGAGCGATGAGACACAATTTCACGCCCAAGCATTGGAGGCAGCAGATGGTACTAAAAAGCTGCTACTAGTGAACAAGCTGGACCAAAACCTCTCCATAAAAGTTACTGATTTCCAGAAAGCGACCGCGGAGATCGTTGATGTAAGTACCGGAGGTAACCCATGGCGAACTGAAGATGTCAATGGTAGCATCGAACTCCCTGCATATGCCGTGGCTATCGTTATCGAGTCTTAAATGGGAACTGCTTGATGTTATTTCGTTCGGTGCATTCGACAGAAGGCTCATATCGAAATGTGCCTGAGATTTTGATCGGCTTTTAGTGCCAATTGATAGATCGATTACATTCAGGGTAGTCCCACCATTTCGCAATTCACTTTCATCTGGCTTTAGAATTCCAAACTGCGGTCACTTCGCCGATCGCATCGTATCCGTAACACCAGTCTCTAGTCTTCCGATTCATCATGCCACCAACAGCACCAGAAATTTCATCATGGACATCCACACCATCCTCCAAGTCTTCCACGGATACTTCGAGTATCTCATCGGGATAGCTCATAACTTTATGCAATGCATCTCGCTCTTTGCCCTCCGGGATATGATAAGAGTTTCCTCCGCGAAGACTTGCTTTCTGTACATCAGTTGCTCTCCGCTTCCGTACTTCTTCGAATACCGAGAGTGCAGCTTTCAATTGCACCTTTTTGGGCGCAGTGCAGGGATTTGTGAGTGCAAGGTCAAGGACTGTGGCGAGCGATACTGCATCTTCCACTGCAAGACTTACTCCCATTGACAAGTAAAAGGCCATAGCATGTGCGGCGTCGCCGACAAGAGTGAACCGACCAGATGCGTGCCTCCAATTTGGGAGTGGAGGGACAGCATACACGGGATAATTCACTACCTTCGGAAGCGAAATTTCGAGCAGCTTTTTAAGTCTGCAACATTTTATCAATAGAATTTCCATCCAAAATTGGCGATGAGCTTACATTGGATTGAAGTCTTCAAAAAGATCGTTGACGATTGCCTTGTGCTCTTCGTAACTGAGAGCTGAAGTGTCAACGGTATCACGATGAGATAGAACGATATTTAGCATGGTGGCATCTTTGATCTGATACGTCATGCAAGACCTATTTGGGGCAATCCAAAAATTGGAATTGCAAGGAATATCGATACCGAGTTCTCTCAGTTGTGGATCGTCTTTAATCTTGGAGACTTCGGCCATCATTCGGAATGCGGCCCAGCCTGTTGGTTGGGATCCAGGGTCGGCATCCTGAAGAAGTTGCGAACGTGCGAAGGAGTTGATACCTGTCTCGTTTAGTATTCAATGAAGGTTTTCTATGTGGTCGGAGAAGGCCATTACCATCGGCAGCAATGACAAGATCTGCCTCCATTCTTTTCCCATTCTTCAGTACTATAGCCCCGTTCTCGAAGTCATACTCGGTTACCTTGCTGTTTAGCATTAATTTTGCCCCAGAACGAATGGCGTGCTTGTGCAAGATATCGTGCAAAGTTGCGCGGTGAAGAACAATGTAAGGAGCCTCATATTGCTTTTCCAGATCTGCCACATTCAAGACACCAATAGCTGAACCACTTTCGTGATCCCGGATGAATGTCTTCTGTACTCTCACGCATTGCGCCAGTATGTCTTCTTTGAGGCCCCATTGGTAAAAGTATTTGACGGCCTGGGGAGTCATTTGGATTCCGGCGCCTAACTCCGCTAACCGAGGAGCCGACTCCACGATTAGAACGCTGTGATTAGCCTGTGAGAGGGCGATGGCTAGGGATAAGCCGGCTATCCCAGCTCCGACGATAATTATTTGCATGACAGTGCGATTCCCCTAAGTCAGAGCATGAAATGGCGTCGACAGAATAACTGGGGCTTTTTCAGTGTGTGGGCCTTGGCTGAAGCAAGGTTTATGGTGAACAAGTGGTCAAATCTGGAAGTAATCGGATATTGTGGTTCTTGGCGGGATTGTTGTGCGAAGACGGTGAGGCTCAGATGTGATGTTCAGCAGTTACGAGTAAGCGGGGTTCACGTACACATGCTGATCAAATAAACTTTATCTTCACTAGCGACTTTTTGAGGTCAGATTCTTCATCTTCATTTATAGGAAGCCCAAAAATGTAGCTCTATGATGTCATTGAGACTGGAATGCTACGAATGCCAGCGAATATTTTGCACCAGATGAGGCTCTTCGCTGTGATTATGATACAACCTTTTCCTCAATAATGTATTGGCCAAGAGTTTTGCCGTGACCTAACCTCTTCTCAGTTCTAGAAACGACTTCAACTTCTTATCCGCAATTGGGTTTTTCTCCGCCAGTTGAATCAAATGATCTGTCAGTGGGATCCGTTTGACCTCCTAGGATTCCATGAGGCTTCATTGGAACACCTTTTGAAAAAATTTTATGTCGATCTGAAAGACAGGTTTCTTTACACCTGGGCATAGTCGCCACACTCTAAGTTTGTTGATTGGTCGCTTGATACGTAAACTCTCTTTGTAACGACTGATTACAATAACCGAACCTAGTGAATGGTCTCAATCCACTTATCCGTGATTTTGTAGAAATTTGATTTCAGTCATGAATAGATGCACATTCAATCGCCTCAGAAAGATCCTTCCGCAATTCTGACGAAAGCCTCTCCACTAACAAGTTTAGCATCCATGAGATCGCAGCATTCCTCTCTGAAACTTCATTCTTGGGGCTCTTCAGCATCCCCATCGGCATATGTTCAGACTTCGCAGACGCGAACAGTGGCGTGAGCTCGGACAGGCTACCAGCATCTTCCTTAGCCTGAAGCAGGGGTAGGACCCTGGACCATGTACAACAAAGCTCTTCCTGATGCTCAAGAAACTCACCCCTCAACACGGAAATGAGGTTTCCGATTTCTTCTGAGAGTAACAGCTGATAGTGCGTCGAAGCTCTTCGAGATAGAATCCAACATTGCTCATCCCCTCGTGAGTCTCTTCGCGCATAATTATCCAGCACGGGTGGCGAGCCTCGCCTGGTCCCTGAATAGCTTCGAGTCTGGCTCTCGGTATTGAGATCAGAATCCCCTGGTCTCGGTTTCGGGGGCTTTTTTCGTCGCAGTCAGGCCCGGTGTATGTAAGGAACGATAGGCATGTTCATGGTTATGATGCTGCCTTGAGCGCCCTCTACGGAGCACATGTCGCCATATCCAACTAGAGCAGAAAACCAGCCAAATATGGAATACACTTCCTATGGCCTTGACCAGATTTGTTAGAATTGGAATGGCCAGTAATGACCAGAAAATGAAGTAGACCTTGCCGAAATTGCTCGTGGGAAAGTAGTCCCCATATCCGATCGTGGTGAGGGATGTGTAGGTGAAATATAGAGCCACGAAATAGGTCCACCTATCTTCTTTCTCGGATTGGCAAAAGATAGCCGCACTAACGAGCCACAGGACGAACCATGCAGCTAAGAAAAACCCCAGCTCAGCCCATCTCCTTCTTCGATAGAATGCAGCTCTGACGTTCCGTGCTCTAAGGATTTCTTCACTCTTGACACGACTGACTGAAGCGATTTGTGATCCGTCTACTCCAGCTGTTGGGAGACCATCGACTGTGTTGCCCGAGGTATCTGCGTTATCAATTGGACTTCGAGTTTCCTCGATCTTCCACTTGAGCTTCAAATCTCTCATCTGATCCGTAAAAGAGGCCACAGCAGTTATAAAAAAGGCCAAGCTAATGATCCCTAAGGTGGCGTAGGGAAACAGCAGACTGCGCCCTAGATGGGTCTTTGGGGTTATATTCCCAATACCGATGGTCAGGAGAGTGTAATCGGTGAAGTAAAGAGCATCCATCAACGACCAGCCTTCAATAGTGCTGTATACGGCGGCTCCGCCTAGAAGCAGAATGCCCAAAGTGCTAGCCCGGAGCACAATCGCTGTACATTCGACTTTTCGCCTGTCTTTTGGACCTAAAGGAGACACTTTCACGCTGACCATGTAGATTGAGAGCAGGAGGGCTATCAAAAAATAGAGACTGGCGGATATGATCCCGGCGAAAAAGTTTTCGGTATATAGGAAAGCTTGGCCTTGGGCTTGCCTGTGCCGTCGGACCTCAATGCCGATGAGGCTGAACAGAATAATCGCGGAGGCGAGCCAACCGATCACTGTCACCATGAATCCCATTATTGAATCAATGTGGAGAAGTATAGTGATTATATATGTCATATAGGCCGCTGTGGATATAGCCAGTGAAGTTGCTCTGAGCCCAGTGGCCCTGAAAATGCGTTAATCTCCAGATTAGACTGGGACTAGGAGGGGGTATTCTTGCCAGCTAGGTGTGCCTATATCGAATATTGACCCGTCTGCTGAAACACCCCGCTGCCAACCATTTACTAGAGCGCAGATGTTGAACATGACAGCCATAGAACAGAAGGCACCCTTCGTACTCATTAGCAACGTGGTAACTTAGGTTGGTAGGGCACGAATATCATACCGAAAGAACAGGAAAGCTTGTCCAGACGTCCCGCCAGTAACTGCTAACCATTAGAAACGGACCAAATTAGAGATCGGGCGAACACCTCCTTTATTCTCGTCCATTTTCTGGTCGTTGACAGCGCCAAATTCCCATGATGATCTGATGATTCTGCCATAGTATCGTTCGACCATTTCCCGTCCCATAGAGACCGTATACATAGGCAACGCCAGCGATGCGATAAATGTACTAGCCTGAGATCATCTGATGTGACTCCTGTGAGTGTCGTTTGGGGCAAAGTTAAAAATGATTATCTAATGACTGGCCATTGGATCAACCTCAGCCCTTGACCTACTGCATATGTATCGCTCCAGTGTGGTGATGACGTCATACTACCAAATGTTGATCCCAAGCGGGCGGTTGCTTGGAAGTCAGCAGGTTGATACATTCCATGCCTGACGACTAGCGATCGATAGTCTCGGAGAAATGGGATCGGAGGAAATGTGTGTGTATGGGATAGATGGAGGCGGAAGGAGGAGGCTCCTAAGTTACTGACTGAATAACAACAAGCGCGGCAACCTGAGTGCCCGAGGCTGCAAGGCTGCAACACACACACGTACCCCATGTTTTGATGATGCAACGCTGATGGGTATATATGAGGGGTGGCATCGTGATTCCACTAGTATCTTGCAAGAGTTGGCCGCGATAGATTAACCGCATCAGCTGCCAGTGCTTAATGACGATTCACAAAATTCGTTCAACCAAGAGAACCTTCTTTTCGTTTCTCATAACAAAACTTCGGCATTTCTAATCTGATTTATAACCGAATCTAACAGAATGTTTGGAAGACAGTCAGTTTTGAACGTTTACAAGGGTGATTTCGAATCAAGGAAGTACCGCTGACGATTGAAGTTCAAACATTTGAGCCATCAGGATCTATAAACCGTCTCAGTATGTTTCTTGGCACCTTTCGGACGAGTCATACTAACCGCAGTCCAGAAACCAAAGTCTTAATTTCTAGTTTCTGCTGAGAAATGCTAAGAAAACATTTGGGCAGTCTACTCCATCTTAACAAGCTGGCTGGGATACCGCAAGAGACACGGCAGCCAAACTGCATACCTCGTATGTGGATTCTATGAGCCCCCATAGTTTTCTTACACGTTTGACAGAGATTTAAGACCACAGACGGAAGGAGGACATTACTGGGGAATCAAATCATGGGAAAGTCTACACATCCGAAGATTTGTTCGACCCCGTAGGAGCCAAAATGGTCCTATTCCAAGGGCACAACATGGGAAAGTCGACTTTCAAGCAGGATCTCACGACTGTTTCCATTTCCTTCCAATGGAAATTCGGTTTCATATTGCTCATTATCCCTACACCGTCGAAATTTTCAACCTCAGGCTTTCCTCAAAAGCCATGGTCCCTTTATTTGAAAGCCAGCAATTCTGGCAAACGAGGTTTTTGCCCCATGGGAGACGAGGCTATTTCAATTTCTTAGCCGAAGATGGCTTTCAAGACTGGAGACTTTAATATCGATATGCTCATTCTAACTGTGTCTGATCCCTTGAGGTGCATGAATGGAGAAAGCAATGGCTTAAAAATGAGAATATACGAGAAAATCTGCGCCACTCGCTTCAAATGACGATGTTGTGGCGATTACCGGGGACTTTGAGGTAAGCCAATCACTTTACTCTTGCTCTTCCTAGACCAGTATATGTACACGTGAATCTGTCAGCATTGACCAATGTTGACTTACAGGATCGGAAAATGGTAGGACTTGCAGTACGCTCAAGTTCCATCATCGTGGATGCCGAAGAAGTGATTATCGAACACTACTAAGCGCACGTCCAATCCAAGCGCTTTGTATTTATTAGATATTGCTCAATTTACGAATACTAATTTCTATGCATAAGAGCTTCCACGACCTCATATTGAGGCTCACAGCACCCGTAAACATGGAGTAGTGCAGCGTTCCATAGCGGCAACCGGTTCAGCTCAGTAGGTCCGTCAGCGGGCAATTTAGGCTGACCGTCCCAGCGGCCATTGGCACTTATAAACTTCAAAGGTTTGTATATAGTAGAATATGATACCAGTCGTATAATCAATTTCCAAGGAACATGTGTTAAAAAGAATCAGAGATAGACTAATAACTAACACTCAAAGTGGTACTACAAAACAAGCCTGGCATTAGAAACATAGAAGCTAGCAGTAAGCCTACTTGGCTAGGTACCAGGGTACATTTGAGAATGGTTTTGAACATTCCAATGAGATGTATACTGAGATTGTACCCCAGCCCACAAAACCACCAGTAACTTCTACGGAGCCGGTTGCCGCTACGGAGCGCCTTAAGTAGAACATAACTACCCCACTCGGCAGTAAACACTTTACCCACTGCCGCAAGTCACACCCCGCTATTCTTTCGTCTCCACTGGTATAAAATGTCAGCTGGCCGAGGACTGGCCCGAACTCACCCGAACTAGCCCGAGATTCCAGTCTGGGGAAACTCAGACTTTATGAGCTATTCCAGCACGGTGACACTTCAATTGTCATCGCTGGGAGTAATTATTCAGACGACATGCCACAGCAGGTCCGAGAGACCCAGCGCATCCCTCGATCGTGTATTCCGTGCTCTCGCAGGAAGGTGAAGTGTTCCAAGACTATCCCCTGCCGACAATGCATACAACGAGGCGATACGGCAGATTGTATGCGAGAAGTTGTAAAAGTGGGAGGGAAAATAACGATGTGGGTTTCTCTCAATCCTGTCCAAGCCCTGTTAAGAGTCTGAAAGAATGCTGAACATGGTTAGTGCCCTTGACGCAGGTACAGAAGGACAGGGCACCGTTACAACCAGCCCGGAGTCCTCAAATATCGTGCGAGAGAACCAGAGCTTGAAGCTCCGCATCAGACAATTAGAACTGGCACTCTCCCGCCCAGAACTGGCCAAGCTTGAGACGGCGTCTTCTCCTGTGCCTCCCCCAGACCCGCAATCGTCAGATAGAATCATGAGTGACTTTCAAACCCAGGCCTTTGGATTTTCTGTGGAGCCTACCCCAAAAATTGCCAATAGCACTCGCCTTCGGGAAAATAGCGTCAAACTTATTCTGCCTGCCCGGCGATGGAGTGAAAGAATAATTGACTTCTCCTTGGTGCAGTTGGGCTGGGTGCATTATGCCGTTGATGATACCACATTTAGGGAAGAGCATAATGCATTCTGGGATTCCTTGATCGAACATGAGGAAGAATCTTTAACGAATCACGGCTGGATTTCAGTTTATCTCGGCTTACTAACTGTGCGTTTCCCCCCTCAATACTGCACTGGGATCTACAAACTGACAGATACTAGGTTGGGGTGTATTTTATGAGCGAAGAGCATTTGCACGGGATTCAACTACTTTACGAAAACTTCTCTCATCAAACGCCTTCAACGGTATCTTCACTGGGAAAGAATCCCTACGGATTAGCCCGCACCTGGTATGAAGCTGCATTGAGGGAATTGGATTTGGCCGACTACACTCGAAACCCTGCGTTGTCTACAGTACAGACAATTGCAATCCTGAATCTCGTGCAGAAAAACATGGGAGAGTCAACGCGAGAATATATCCTCCATGGTCTGGCGGTCAATGTTGCTAGGCTTATTGGTATGGATCATGCTGGTGATACGTCGAATAAGGAAAGGGGGGGGTATCAACAGGGTCCAACAAACCGTCCATCAAAGACTATGGTGGACTCTTGTCATTTGCGATTGGTGCGTGTCCAACTACTAATCCTGGTCTTCTATGGTATATCTAACTCGTATATAGGATGACAATTTGGTCACGTCCAGTGTCCATCCACCCTGGTTCATTCACCACTGTAATGGGCACTCCTCCCTCCCCTCATATCGAATATCACAAATTCATGGCTCGAATTGCTACCATAGCTCGAAATAACATCACCCCAGCCAAAGAATTGAGCCCGGGTGCACTGCAGGCATGCTTCGAAGAAGTAGACAACGTCTGTGCCTGCTTTCCACCAGCCCCGAACGACTCCACCCATGACGACCCGCTCTGGAACACCATCCAGCATAATCTAGCCCTTAACTGCGTTGAATCTTGGCGACTAGCCCTGTATGTGGCCATGCTTCCTAAAGTCCTCGATGATTCCTCGCCATCGTCTCACACAGCCCTCGACCCGGGAATCATAACCGCGAAACAAATCCTTCAACGTACATACACCAATTCAAACCCTGTCTACCACAAATTCTGGTCCGTCAATTCCGCAGTCGTCTCGGCGGGAATATTTTTAGCTCTTGATCTCATCTGCTTCCAACGACAGCGATCACCAATTCAAATATCTGAGCAGAAGGATCTGGTCGCATTGAGTTTGAGAATGATCGAGCAGTCTATCGCAGAAACACGACACGATGGAATTCTCGTTCTCAGGCGTCTGACACATCTATACGAGACCGTGCGCCCAGCGTACATGAGCAGAGTTGACCGTAGTGTGCTAGCGAAAATTGTCAGACTTGTTGCATTTCCACGGTTGTGGAATTCTCTAACAAATACGGATGCAATCATGCGATTCCTATTCCAGGATGTCCCGGGAGGCGATCCTGGCTCCTCCTTCTCATCACCTCCAGGTTCGGATCTGTATCCGGCTCAGTCGGGATTATGTTTTAGTAGCATATCACAGGTGCAGAGTGGGGAGTTTGATGCTTGGGGACTATCGGAGCCGATGGGAGAGGAAGAGATGGTACCTTATTTCGGGCAGGTGTTTCCATCCGCGGAGCTTATAAATTTGGCCTTGATGGGTGATCTATGGAAGTGACATAAGAACGGTATACGAATAGTATTACTATCTACACGCATGGATACGTTATATTCGAAGTATACCTGCTCTGAAGTTGTTGTACAGCAATTGATCACCTGTTCACTTGACGATGGTATAAAGAAATACTGATGTATCATTTGAACCATCTCACCCCTGGGCAGTTTTGTGATCGACTGCATACTTCATAGTGATTGCTCTGATTTTGTGCCCCCACAAAAATACCGGCAAGCCCAAAACTGCAACAGCACCAGTAATACTAGCGCAAATATTAAAAGCCCCTTGATACCCTTGCTCCGTCACAAATTTCGTAACCCCGAACGAAATTCCAAACGAAATGAGACCTCTGATAGCGCAAATGAGCACTAAAATGGGCGCTGCTCGTTCTGGATAACTATCAAGCGAGTATGTATACCCGACCAATATGACACCAATAAAAGCAAAATATATCCCGTTGAAAGTTATTGTTATTGCCCATGGGGACCACTCGTATGGGCTCGAGCCCGCGCGTCCGAAAATCACGGATGAGATAATGAGAGCTGCAACGGGAAGAACCATTGGAATGAGACGAATTTCAGGCTCGGCGACGCCATTGCGGTGTTTTGCGATCCACCGCGTGAGCTGGTCGCCGCCGTATCCCAGGACCGGAACCAATAAGAAAGATACGACGATTTGGCCGCCTTGAACGAGACCCAAGGCTGAGGATGGGTAATTATACGGAGGACTTGAGAGGATGGTGCCGAATTCAGTGACGACGATCACGTAGATACCAAGCGCAACACTGTTCAATAGAATCACCCAGAGGATATTAGGGAAGAGAAGACACTGCGCCATTTGCTTCCCGCAGGTGATGGCTTTTGACCAGTCCGCTGGCCCGTGGAATATTTTCAGGCTGTGGGATAGCGTGCGGGCTTTGTACCGTGTGTTGTCGATTAGAACTCTGGTTTTTTGAGTGGCTCGGACAACGGAGACGGGCTCGCCTTCGTGGTAGATGTGGACAAGGCCTTCATATGCGTCGCTTGGCCGGGATATGATGATTCGGGGACAGCACAGAAGGATAGTATGAGAACGACGCCGCTTGCAATTGCGATGACTCCGTACCACCATCGCCAACCGAGGGCGTTGACGATATACGCTGTGGCGATGGTGAGGGCTGCGGTGCCGATGGATTGTGTGGCACTGAACCAGGCGAGCTTGCTACTACGCTCGTGAACGAAGTGTATTTCCTTGAAAATACCACTATTAGCCTCTTCTTTGGTCATTCAAAAAGGTCAGGTCGTACCTGGATGATCAATGGACATAAAGCCTCGGATTGCCCAGCTGCCAAAGAAAGAATATTCCGACCAGCAATATGGGAGTCCAGGCTCTGACTTGCAGCGCACCAAATAGAGCCCACAGTGAGGATCAAAACAGAAGCCAAGAATACAGGACGACGACCGATGGCCATCGCAAGTGGCATAGCAATAATGTTCCCAATCCCCATAAACAAAGTCGGATAGGTCATCAGGTCTGTCGTTCGAGGGTCATTATCGTAGAAGGCCATAATATTGGTCAGAATGGGACCCATGCCGGAAGTTATGAGGACACTAAAAACAGCGACTGTAGATTTATCCTCCGTTAGATGACACCTCTTAATGGAAGGAGAGACGGAACTTACACATCCCTAGAATAATATCAATAGCCCATTTCTGGTAATTAGGGAGGTTGAGTGGATCTAGAAGGTCAGCACATAAAAAAGCGAGGCCAACATAGATCGAATTATCACTTACCACGTGGATCAGGAGAAGGGGTGGGAATCAAGATAATTTCTCCTCCCTCGAGCAAGGTGACTGTTCCTGTGGAATTGTGATGTGTTGGTTTGGACAAGGCAGACTCAAGGTGAGCCACCTCAGTTGTTCCAGCCTTAATATCCATGACCAATAGTCTGATGCTTTGTGATACTCTCCTTCCCGCTCAGGCAAGCCCTGCTTTATACAGCAACCATGGCCACTTGGTCCGATCGTGGGGCCCCGCAACCTGAGGTGGAGCCGATTGTTAATGCAGTGAAGAGAGTGGTGTCGTTTAACCCATCAGAGAATGGGCCCCAGTTGCAGTAGTCGAATCTCGTTTCTCACCGTTGGGTCGAATGGTGGCAGTTACGATCCATCTCGCCCGAGCTGGGCCGAGAAAGCTTTGTGGTGGCGTCGCGTAGCGCATCTCCAGTCCACCCCGGCAATTTAAGTGGGGAAATGAACCGAGGTAATCGAGTCACTCAAAGTTCGCTTGATAGAAATTTCCTGTTAATGTTGGCAGAAGCTCAGAGCCATAAAAGCGGTGGATGTATGTAATCGACTACACATATCCAAGAGAGAACACAGCAACATGAAAGGCAATATTATATGCATGGGGCATCCCAGCCCAACAAAAAGGCAGTGAGCCATGAAGGAAGTAAATATTTCTTTTGGGCTTTCTGGAAGGAGGAATAAAATGAGAATCAATGGAGCTAACGGAGGAAATAATGCAAATTTACAAATAGCTCAGGAAGCTCTTCGTACATTTGAGTGCGTCAACAGAGAGCAATGAAATCACATTACTACCTTAACTATAGATATGCGAATTAAACAAAAGGCAGTATGACATGTGAAGGATAATCCCCTCCAAAATGAACAATATGCTTCCCATGCGATGCAGCACCCGAAAATTCATTGTCACCCTTGAACTCCCCACGAAGCAGTGGACTGTTTCCATGGATCTCGACCCTTATACTTTCTCCAGCGTCGTACTCTACTCCCATCGCCCAGATCCCGATCTCCAATCGAACAACCTCTCCAGGGACAATATACTCGTCGCGATCGTGGGTATGGAAGGGGTAATTTTCGTGGATCGATTTCGACTCATCGATCGCCCGACGCGATGCTCGCAGGATTCCCAGTGACCCAACATGGAACATAAGGTTATTCATGTTACGTCGGGGTACCTTGTCAAGTGTCTCTGGGGTGACCCCATGATGAGAAATGCTTGACCAAGGAATATTGAGATTTAACAGGGCCTTCCCTTGTGCATCTAGCTTGCGCAGCAGGACGTAGACATCCATATCGTGGAAATCTGGGCAAGACATGAACAGGACTGCCTTTGGAATTCCCGCCAGTCGTGTCTTGGTGGGGAATGTGTAGGTGAATGCGGCACAGTCCTGGTATTTTTCAGCCTGATAGGAAATTGATGCCGCAGATGAAGGAGTTTCGAGGCCCAGACGTCCGTCCTTTAAGAAATACATTTTTTTGTAATCAGTGCGCGGGATCGGGTAGTCGGCCTCCGCGATATTGTACAAGGGATCCTGATTGAACCGAAGAATTGTGGTACGGACTTTGGGTGTCGTCTCCCACCCATTCTGCTTGCTGTTTAAGTAGTGGTCGAAGAACGTTGCAAGTTCATCGGCTGAGTCTTTGCAGTTCCAGATATCATACCATTCCTGCCAAGGGCACAGACGAAGCCATTTCTCCGAGGTTGCAACCTGGAGCCACCCCCGTATAGATCCCATAGTGTGCACAAAGCTGGTATATGATGCCGTAATGTATGTTGGAATTTGGATTTTCGCAATGTCTGCACGTTTGTCCTTCCAATACAGCGAATCGGCTCGAGAATGGCGGCGGTACATCTCGTGAAAGTCCTCCACGCCTCCGTGACCCTGTATATTGTGGTCGATGATGAAGTCAAACAAGCCGGCGTCGAATATACCGCCTCGGACAAACTGTTCCCTGTAGAGATCGCCACAGGCTTCCCATGGAGCAATAGCTTTAAGGGAGGGTGGTTGCAATGCAGCAATGAACCACTGGACAATAGCCAAATGCGAGTTCCCAGCTAAGCCAACATTCCCATTACACCAGGGCATTTTGGCAATTGCTTCGATCACATCATATCCATCCTCGGCCTCCTGTGTCCCCATAATCCCAACATTCCCTTCAGAATCGCCGGAACCCCGAGCATCCACATTGACAATAGCGAATCCCCGAGGAACAAACTCGGCAGGATCGGGCCCTTCGAACTTCTCTAAACCGCTCAGAACTCCATTGGGGATTCCAAGATTCCATGGAAGGTTCTTTAGCATGGTAATACCATTGTAATTCTTCCCAAATGGACTCCAGGCTAGGATTGCAGCCACGGGCTCTGCTGAATGGGTCGGTCGGTAGATGTCACAGTATAAGTTGCAACCGTCACGAACTTCGATTTTGACGTCGTGCGAGGTATGGATATCACAAGGTAGCGGACGTGATCCGTTTTGGCTCCATCCTTTCGGTAAGACTTCTTCGCGAAATCCGAACGGCTGGTAGTTGTTCCTACCCACCGAAGGCGGATCTATAGCACGAGTTGCGATTGGCACAGACAAGGGCATCTTGGGTATGAATGTTTATGTGACAAAGGCAAACAGGAACGGGGAGGGAGGTCGATACGTCAAGAACGCTCAGGCATTTGGTATTGTTTTTGAATTTATGTTGGTCTCGAAATTCAATCGGAAAGTGGAGGGAAAGTAGAAGCAATTCCTAAACATGTGGGGAACCCAATAAATGCGCGCGGCCGAGCTCGGGCGAGTAAGGGCGGGTTCGGGTGGGTCCCATCTTGCATAGTGAATTGATGATCTTGGTCTTTCTTCCCCTCGGGGTATGGAGAGGAAACCTAGAACGAGGGGCTCCGATGCTGCTTTACCGACTAGAGTAGCACTCTGCCTGATCGGATTTAAAGTCTCCCTCAAGACCCGCTCTTATCATGAAGTTTCTTTTGTTCAAACCCAAGACGCTCTTTGTTTGGTCAACAAAATTACTTCAGAGATCACGATGGCACCTTCACTTATTGAAATTGCAGAATCTGTTACTCCTGTCCTATCAAAGGTACAAGAGCGGTCTCTCACTGGTGACTGGCGTGATGATTTCTTTCGGGATGGCTACACTGTTATCAAGAATGCACTGTCCAAAGAGCGTGCACAGCAATATCAAAGTGACGCCTTGACTTGGCTGGAGTCATTTGGGCTAGGCTTCGAATCGCAACGACAAGAGCACATGGAAAAAGGAAAATCTTCCTCAAAATTGGAAAGGCGGGATGTATCTTCATTTCTCCGCCGCACATGAGAAGTATATGTGGGATATCAGATGGTAGGTTTACAATCCACAACATGGGCATGCAATGATTCAAGATCAGCATAATAACCCAATTCCATACTCTCCAGTGACCCTGGCGTGATCGAACCCTTTTCCAAGCTCTGGGAAACCGACGAACTGGTGGTTTCTTTCGATACTGTAAACATCACCCTGCCCCAGTCCATTGTCGGTGAATACGACTCAACCCCCTGGCCACACGTTGATCAAGCCCCCGAACGCCGAGGCCTCCGCTGCGTGCAAGGAATCGTCAACCTCTCTGAAGCAGGTCCGAAGGATGGCGGCCTAGTGGTGATGAAAAAGTCAGCTCCTCTTTTCAATCAATTCTTCGAGGAAACCCCGGTCAAGGGCCCTACTCCCTGGCGAACGGCCAAGCATGAAGACTTCCATCCCTTTCAAGAGAAAGATCTTGACTGGTACCGCTCACATGGATGTGAACTAATCAAAGTCTGTGCCGAGCCGGGAGACTTGATTCTCTGGGATTCGAGGCAAATGCACTGGGCTCAATTCGGCGAGTCGGATCTTATCCGGACCATTGCATATGTGACCTACACCCCTGCTAAATGGATGTCTGAGAAAGATCGCCTTGTGAAGAAAGATCTCTTTGAGAATTATGAGACAACTACGCACTGGCCGCATACGAATCTTTTTTCCCATGGAAAGGCTAAGGTTGAGATTGATGGGCAGGAAGTTGTTGATCCTTTAGAGAGGAATGAGCCAATTACTTTGCCAATTAAGACCGATAAGCTCCTCAAGTTGGCTGGGGCATTGCCTTACTAGCCTGGAAAGGACTAAGAAAGAGTTATATAGCAGTGAGTTGGAGGCAAAGCTACCTCGGTGATTGATAGCCCGGAAGGTAAACCTTGGGATGCGACCAAGCCAAATTGGGATATCTTGAAATTGTAAACTAGAGTTATTATAGCATTCTCTGCTTAAGTCAATGGACCTTGATGTCGCTGTTCCTGCATTCCAAGGTTGCTGTTACACAGCTCCAACGTGGGGCCTGTACAACAAAGTACTACTAAGAACCTCAAAATATTCCAACCAATCCATTATCACTAATATCAAATAGATGATCGGCGATAAATCAAATTCCGAAACCTCCCATTGCTCCATTGCTTCAATAAACCCATACCACACCACACCACACACCGTACCACCGCCAACGCCACCATCATGCCACCCGAATCCTTCCACCGCCTGACCCTCAAACAACACTCCAGAAACCCCTAGATATCGCCAAATGCACAGTCCAACGTACAGAAACTGACAGCTAAGCCACTCGGTAAATCCGAAATCCAACCCCGGAAAATTATCATCCGCGTGGTGTTGAGCGTCGGCCGTACCACACTACTCAGCGATCGACGTCACGACTCATGCCCAACGACCAACCAAATTCAACGACTGAATAAATTCGGCCCCGGAGTCAGGTAAGGGCCCAATCGCGGGCCGTAGATCCTGATACCAGTGAAAATTGCGAAGAGTGTGACTGGTTCATCCAACCGTTTTCTCCCTGTAGGGTACCAACCTACCCTACCGTACGATAGGTAGAGGTGAGGCTGAAGCCGAGTCGGAACCGATGAACTGGTACCATCAACTTTGATATGGTTCGGGGTCGGCTGGCGGCATCGTGCCATCGGCCAAACAGTGGCTGTGCTGTTCATCTATACTAGTATATTCGATGATTCATATATAAAAGGGACTTCTCTTCGTGAAGTTCTATACATCATTCATCCTCAAGAACATTCATCGAATCAGAACACACTGAACCTTATACAATACCACGACGGCATTTTACCCATTGACTACTACTCAATCAATCAATCCCCAACAATGCCCTCCCCCAAAACCACCGAAGCAGCCCGTTTGCAAAACGACTTTGGCGCAGACTACTGGATTCGCAATCCGGACAAGGAACATCGCGTACGTTTTAAATTCCCCTTTTTTACAAATTCCAATTCACCCTTCACATCAACGGAGTTTACTAACTAAACATAACAGCGATCCACTGCCGGTCGCGGCCTCTTCGCCGGACTCCAAGATACCAAGCACTACAACGTCGACCACGGCTGGGCCCGACGCAAGTCTGAAGATTCGCCCGGTCTGCTTGCTTCCATTTTCAGCAGATTTACTGGGGGATCATATCACCCGCCCGCAGAATAAAATACCTTTCTTCGACGCTGAGTACTGGAACGATTATGATCAATTTGTTTGGGAGTGATATCTTGGAGACATTATGATTCCAAGATTTTTTAGCCAGTCCATTTTATATGATGGCTTCTTTGTTGAAAACTTGAGTATCACTTTTGTTTCGCGGTTTTTGTTTGTTTGATTGGATCGATAGCTTGGAGTTTTGGGTTGGAATTTATTTTTCTTGTTCTACATTTACATCAAATTACACAAATAAAAAACTTGATATTAGATACTACTTTATCTGAGAAAAGAAAAAAGAAAAAATCTCCTCCAATTTGAAGTTGTGCGTGTCCTTGCAGCTCCGAGTTAGCTCAGACCCACAATTCATTTAGCTGACGCCCTTCACAACGAAGTTCGATATCCAGATACACACGCCAATCACGGACCCCTGGTAAAGCATTATTATATAGCCTCTCACTGGGTCATGCTACAAATAGTGCAATACTTAATTCCGACATCCACATATGCTAAACTGGAGCCAGCTCAATTCTTAGTAGTTAATAGGTAACACAACAAGAAGACAAAAGAATGATGTAAATATGTCAATTTAAAGATATTTTAAATAAAAACCGCTATGATTATATACATTCCTCCCAAAGCCAGTATCCAATATTCCCTAGCCACTCCAGAGCTGACATTTTACTCCCAAGAATCAATCTTCATAGTACCCTTCTCCTGCAAATTCTTATGCATCTTAAATGCCTCAAAAAGCAGATGCGGCTCATGACCCATTCCCTTCCGGAGACACTCAAACTCAGCACGGTCAAGATAATCCGTCAAAATAGGATAATAATCCGGATGCGAGCATTTCTTAATAATAACCCTCGCACGCTCCCGAGGCGACAAACCCCGAACATCCGCAAGACCCTGCTCCGTAACAATAACATCAAGATCATGCTCGGTCTGATCAATGTGCGTAGCGAACGGCACAATACAGCTCACACCGGTAGGATCAACCTTGCTAGGCCGGGTCGACGGAGTGTGCATAATACTATACTTCGAATTGCGCAGGAAATCGGCCGAACCACCGAGACCATTTAGCATGCGCGATCCCATTACGCAGGTGCTGTTGGCGTGGGCGTAGATGTCGACTTCGACGGGGGTGTTCATGCCGATGACGCCCAGGCGACGAATGATTTCGGGGGAGTTGGAGACTTGCTGCGAGCGGAGGAGGAGCTTTCCTGCGTACTTTTCCCAGTTATCGTAGAACCGCTTGAAACCGTCTGGTGAGAAGCGGATTGAGGTTGCAGTGGCGAAGTCTCAGGTTGCCGCTGTCGAATAGGTCGAGGAAGGAGTCTTGTAGGACTTCGGTCCAGACTTTCAGGTTGCTGAAGTTTGCGCCGCCCTTGCTGAGACCGCCGACGACGGCGTTGGCGATGTTTCCGATGCCGGATTGGATGGGGAGGAGGTTGGGTGGGAGACGGCCGTGGTGGACTTCGTGTTTGAGGAATTCGATCAGATTGGCTGCGATGGCTTGCGAGCCTTCGTCTTCGGGTGCATTGGGCTGTGTCTGGTCCGGGTAGTTGGATTCGACGACCGCGACGACCTTCTCCGGGTCGACGGGGATGTAGGAGGTACCGATGCGGTCCTCGGGGGCCATGATGAGGTACGGCTTGCGTCCGGGGGGTAGGTCCGAGCCGACAATATCGTGCAGGCCCTCGAAGGAAGGGCTGGATGTGTTCACCTCGATAATCACCTTGTCGGCCATTTGCACCAATTCCGGTGATGCACCCACCGAGGCACCGGGGATGATCCCGCCATTCTCTGTGATGGCGGAGGCCTCAATGACGGCCACGTCGATTTTATTCTTTGGCTTGTCGAGAGTATAATAGCCCTAAAAGGTGGAGAGAAATGATTAGCGTCGATCTTGGGACGATCGCTCTCCGCGGCGGGAAATCCCGAGATGCGCTGAGGGCAGCACTTACATAGACCAAATCCGAGGGAAACATGCTCAGATGCTTATCGAAGAATTTAATCTGGCCATTGTTGATGCCCTTTGCGATTTCCTTTCCGACCTGGTGCGGGCTTCGCCGCTCGATCATGTTGAGGCGAGCCCAGCGGTTCTCCGTCTCTGCGCCTGAGGAGGCGCCCACAAAGAGATTATATTTTAGTTGGCCTTGTAGGTTGTTCTTTTCAACGTGGTCTGCCAGAGCTGTCGGGACCATCCTGAATAGTTGTTTGTTGGTTAGCGATTGCCGTACCAATTGTCATACTGTGTCACGCGGAGATGAAGACGATATTGAAACCAACGTACTTGGGATATCCCACACCGGTGAAGCCGGACCAGCCGATATACGAGCCATGGGGGAAGAGATCGATCAGATCCTCAGCTTTAGCAAGCTTGTTGAGATAAGAGGGCCGTCGGACACGGCTCTTCAGGAGGGCCGAAGCAGCCATTGTGAGAGTGGAAGAGGGGAGAGTGTCTAGAACAATATGGGGAAGGAGAAAAAAGAAGAAAAGGCCGGGGCGACTGGACTTAAAATAGTCTTTGGGAGGCAACCCCACAAAGTGAAATACAATTGAAATTATGGGAAAGTATGGAAATGGAAATGGAAATGGAGGAGTAACGGCTAGTCGGTCCCGGGAGAAGGGAAGACTGGATGATCTACGGCTAACCCTAGTTACACTACAGATCTTTATAGATCTGGTCTGATTCAAATGCCAACATCCATCTTTCTAACTTCTTAAATTATCATCATGATGAATTTTGCCCCCTGTCCTCTCCTCTGTACTTTCTACTCCTATTCCCCTATTCAATGTCATGACCTCACATCCTCATCCGGCGAAAGTAATCCTGACATCATCTCGGTCATCCCTCGGACACCCTCGGCATTTTCTCGCACTCCCAATAATCCACAATATCTCCCTAAAATTCCCTAAAATCCCCCTCAATTCGCCAAATATCACCGAAATGCACCTCTCAACCACCCCAGATTCCGTAAATAACTCGCCAGAGTCCCTATTAGGCTACATGCATAGCCCATCACCATCAAGATCTATTCGATCTAGTACAGTATACGAGTAGTACTACCTGTCAATCATGCAGGACAGCAGGCCCACCGCATCCGTCTCCGCCGGCCCGACGGGTCCCTCGCCCCCTCTCAGTTTACGTCTCGGAGTGTATCGGCTATTACAGCTCGGGCACACGGAGTCTTGGAAGTCAGTTACTTAACATATAGCCGAACAAGGGCCGAGAATACGCCAGGACGTCTTGGCTACTGAGAATATGGGGTACGAGTAGTGATCTGCTAGCACTTCCAATTGGTCTATGTACATAATTCAGGGGAATGGTGCCAAGCTGCCCTTCCCTTTGCGGGTCATTCGCAAGTACAGTAGATCATCTCAGATCAGATCCGAATCAAATCGAATCCACCGGTTCACTGTTCCTGTTCATGTTCCTAGCCGCGCGGAGATCTCGCCTGTTCTGCTCTAGATAGATATGGCTACTCGGCAGCCGGGTGGTTTGATCGTCAGACTAACCAACTACGGAGTGCGGGATAAGAACTTGAACCCTAATAGTCTTGCCTGAATAGAGAGGTAGATGGATTGATTGTGAATTTTACGGGAAAGATGAAGATAGCTCGTAACTAGAGGAGGATAGAATGATGCGGTGGTACCTAACTAAATACTGGCACTATACCACGTCCTCGGGGTAGTTATAAGGTACAGGGTAGAAGTATCTTATCATGGAAGCTTATTAGTCTTCCATATTTAGTGTTTCGTAAATTCAAAAGACAAAGGGCTAATAGGCTAATAGAAATAGCAACACCATTTCAATTCTATCTGTTCATTCAAAAAGAAAGAATACAACCCGTGGACGTCACTGGATAAGGGTGTAAAGGAGTAGTATAGGTACAATCAAGCAGATCCAATTCTAAAAGACTCGAACTAGAAAATAAAGAAAATAAACCACTAGCCTAGCTAGCATCAGACTTCATCGCGCAATTTCCTCATGAATATTGAATGTTTAATAAAAACCATATTTCAGGTATAAGATAGGGTAAAGACGCCGTGCCCTTCGCAAATGAAATAACAAAACATAAAAGAAAAGAAAAGAAAAACACAGAAAGGAAGTAAGAAGAAGAAGAAAATACATGCAAAAACAACTTTCCATCCCAATCCGATCCAGCCCAGCCCAATTCAACCAAGCAATCAATCAATCAATCAATCAGACAACCGCACATACATTCCTGAAAATACATCGCTATCGCATCGCTATTTCCATTCAAGCTTACACTCGCACTCGGCTCAGGCTTGATTAGTAGTCTCAGACTCAAGACTCGGTCCAAGGCTCTGCGGTCTCAGCAGGGGCGACAGCAGCGTTGCCGTCACCATCACCATTAGCGACTGGTTCAGCGTCCGCCATCTCTGTATCTGCCTGTTCAGGTTCGGTTTTCTGCTCCTCGGCTGGTTTCTCATCGTCCGCTTTGCTTTCTCCTTCGCCTTCCTCCTCCCTCTGTTCGGGAACAGGGATAGAGGCGGTTTCAGGGGCAGTGGCTTCATTTTCAACCGGGGTGTCAGCAGGGGCCGCGGAACCGGCAGCATCAGTCGCAGTCGCAGTATCCGCATCCTTATTCTCCGTCGCAGTCTCCGTCGCAGCAGCAGTCCCAGTCATAGGACTAAGACTAGGACTACCACCCCCACCAGCCTTGACAAGACTCCCATTCAACCAGTCACGGAATCTGAGATTCGACTCATCAACCTTATCCTTACTAAGCCCCTTAGCCCAGTTCGGATTATTAACAAACTTCTCCACAAAGCGATCATGTCTCTTCTCCTTAAGAGCAGCGACATCCTTAACCATCTCCTCCCTCTTAACCCTAATCTGAGCCTTCGCAGCCTCCGGATCCGAAAGCGCGATAACGTCCTTATCCGGCACGGGCGCATTCGAGCGCCAGAACCAGTCGTGTGTGGGCGGTTGGTAGAGGATTGTGTAATTGTTGGCGCAGATGCGGATTACTAGGCCGTCGTAGTGTTGGAGGCGGCGGTAGAAACGGTCGTATTCTTCGTCTTCGTCGAGTTTGCCGGGTAAGTTGCGTTTTAGGAAGGGGATGCGCATTTCGGAGAATTTGATTCCCTCTGTTGGGTCGCGCATTGAGTAGGCTGTTACGTAGTAGGACCAGCGGGCTTCTGGGCTGAGGTCTTCGCGGTTTAGCGTTGATTCTTCGGTTGTCATTACTTGGATTGTGAGGTGGCGGTCGGAGGGGAACTGTGTGAGATTTTGTTGTTAGTTATTGTTTTCATTTCCTTTGTAGTAGAAGAGGGAGGACAGCTGAGGCAGACTTACAAAGGTCACGCGGTAGATATCGCCCTCCTTGATTAATCGCTCGACCTGCTTGCGATACTGAATCTCCTGATGATGAGTCGTCTCATCCTTCTCGCGCTCCTTGAAGAACAAGTTCGCAATATCAGAGCTGCGATCCCGAGAATCACCAGTAAAGATCGACGCCACGAATTTGGTAATCGACGAGAAGATACGTTCCAGATTGTACATCAAGAACCCACTCTGCATGTAGAAACGGCGCAGAGTCTCCTCAAGATGAACCTGGTCGATATCCCCGCGAATAACTTCCTCGCACATGCGGACAATCTGCTTATAGAGGTTGGCCTTCGGCTCAACGTCGTAGAAGAAATCTCCGGGGAATCGATCAATCAGGCAGAGATCATTGGCTGGCTTTGGCAAGAGGCCGCGGCGGACTTGCTCATGGGCTTCACCTTCTTGTTCCTTGATTCGCTGCAGGCGCGAGTAAAGGATCTCGAATGTGCGCAGGAAGCAGAGGATGTTGAGGTTGCAGTACATATGGTGCACGGTCTTCTTGTACTTCTCGTTCAGAGTGTACTCGCGCTCCAGGTTGAAGTTACCCTGGCCAGGGTGCTCCATCCATTTCAGTTCTGCCACGTCAAATGCCTCCTCGGGTTCGGATGCGGGAGCGGATGCGGCGCGGACATCAGGTGTCGCAAGCTGGGTAGGTGCTGGCGCTGGCACTGATGCTGGTGTTGGCACTGCTGCTGGAGCGGCAGCCCCATCTTCCTTGTTTTGGTTACTGCCCTTCTCGCCCTTCTGCTTGAGAGTCTCACGCAGGAGATCCAGCTTCTGCGTGTTAACAACCCTGCGGCTGGCGTTGGAGGTATCATCTGCGCCGAAGTTCTCCTCCAGCTCTTCGGCCGGCGTAGCAGCGATGGAAAGTTCATCCATATAATCGTGGAAGGTCTCCCGATCGAGGCCAAAGAAGATAGGAACAAAGTCCTTGACAAAGTTTATCAACCTGGACGGCTCAGCGCCAAAGCCGGAAGTGCTGCGGTCAATGAACATGCAAAGGAGATGGGTGGTATCCAGGAGAACATCAATATCGTCGAATTGCAGCTCAGCCTGGAATTTCTTCGTGGGAAGACCACTCTTTATGCGACTTTGCGTTTCTTCGAATTTGCCTTGCAAGTCCTGCTGGATGTTCTTCGCGATGAAAAGCTTCTTGTCCGTCTGTCGGGTGGCAATCGCCTGGTGATCCAGACTACGCCAGTACGCTCTCTGCATCTGCTCGCGCCAGACCTTATCCCATTCCCGTTGGCAGGCTTTCCACTCTTCCAGCTTCTGCTTCAGGCGGAAGAGTACGATTGGCAGAACCTGGCAAGGACGCTCAAACATATCGCGGATGATCTTCTCACCACGCTGGCGGTCGTAGACCTTCTTAATGACGCGCTGATAGATAGCCTCACTCTGCCCACCAAGACCAGGGGGCAGCTTGAAGTTGGCGCGTTCAGCGTCAGACATGTGCAAAAATTGCTGGCAGATCGGTTCAATGAGCTGAATCGTCCGCGTGCAAGCTTCGATGTGATGATCATAATCGTGACGATCCTCTTCGATGCGGTGCAGAGCGTCTTCATATTGGTTCTTCCGGTGAGCAACGAAGCCAGAGTCCTCGGATGCCCAAGTAGGATGCGAAGCCCAGTCGTCGTTCAACACTTCAAAGCACAACTGATCGCGACCACTGCAGGCCTTTTGTCTCTCGCGCTTAGGCAGCAGACGATAACTAGGTCCCAAGGATCGGCAGTGCGCAAGGTTGACGACACCGGCTTCGTTCTTAGGCTTAGGGTCAATGGTCTTGTCTTCAGGCTCTTCAACGTTCATGAAACGCTTGAACCAGTTCATGAGCTCCGCGTTGGAACCAATAAAGCCTTCAGCCCTCTTGACCAGAATGAACCGATCAATAAGGTCATTGGTGTAGAGATTGCACAGTTTCAGGAAGTCACTGAAAGTCTGCTTGTTCGCAATGAACTTCTTGACGCGGTCGAAGAAAGCAATCTCCTCTTGACTGGGAGTAGCCAAAGAACTAGGCGGAACTGGCTCTGGGAGCGCGGGAATCAAGGTGGGAGAAACGTTCGGGATATCCGCACCAGATGGCTTCCCATGGTGGAACTTGGGTCGCTTGCTGCCGTTGGCGAACTGAGCCGGCTGGCCACGCATCTGAGACTCTGGGATCCGAGCTTCCGCACCAGCAGGGCCTGATACAGAGCCACCGCCCATGCCAGGTCCGCCTCTCCGCTTCTTGCTATCCTTGGCAGAATCTTGCGGTTTGAAGTGGCCCATGGGAGGCAAGTTCTTCGCATCTCGGTTCGCAGCTTGGGACATGGCCATAGGATCACCCCGCATATTACTGACAGGAATGCTCTCCTCGGCGGCACGCGCCGCGGCCTGCTGTTTGGCGTGGGCCGCAGATTCAGGAAGGAACTGCTTGAAGTCTTCCAAAAGGTCGGGAGCAGTGTTGAACAGTTGGGTAACCTGTGCGTAAACATCCTGGATGGGCTTGGACTCCCGTTGATAAGTCTGCAGAATCTCAAGGAACTGCTTGTAGATCTCTGGTGCGCTGGAGAAACGGTTCTGAATTCATAGTTAGTTGTGTTCAAAAGTTGGCTACCAGGACAAGAAGCATACCTTTATCTTGTTCACGTAACTGATGGCATGGTTGAATTCAACGGGTCCACGCTTATTGAGATCCGCAACGCCACCCTGAAGCATGCCACCAACGCCAGCCAGGCTGTTCATCGGTTGTGTCAAACTGGCATTGGGACCAGCGCCAGAGGTGGGCATCATGCCGGGTCTCCCCAGGGCAGACGCGGCAGAGGCAGCGCCTTGCAGCTGAGCAACACCACGGTGATCCTGCTGGTGGGACAGCGCCGCGGCACCCTGCTGCTCTTGAGTCTGATAGCCATAGTGAGGGTCTTGGCCAGGTCCTTGCGGCTCCTGGTATAGACTTGGTCCCATCATACGCGAGCCAGGAGAATATGAGCCTGGGTGGCCTTGTTGTTGACTCTGCGGCTGTTGAGCTTGCTGCCATCCCGGACGAGATTGCTCGTAGTAATCAGGACGTCCCGGACCACCGCTGGAGGGGCCGGTCTCGGTTATTGTGGTCGTCTCGAATGGGCGTCCTGCACGCGGCATACTCAGCGTATTTGTGCCAGATGGTGTGGTGACTCGAATAGCATCTGGGTTGTCTTCAGTTCCGCACTCGATTCGGTAGCCGGGTGGGAGGAAAGTATTGAAGCCCTGAATGAGAGCCGGATGGCCATTGAAGAGGGTAGAGACGCGTTGGATTACACCGGGAGTATCGATTCTGTTTGCAAAGTCAGTTCAGGTTCAATCATACTGCACAGAGAAAGCGAATACTTACGCCTGACTCTTAAAGTCCTTCATTATGTCCAAGAAGCGGTTGTAAACATCGGGCTGGTCGGAAAACCGCACCTTCACCTGATCCAAGTAGCTAAGGGCATCCTGCACCACGAACCCACTGTTAGCGCTCGGTTCTCCGAGAGATGCGGCGGGTCCAATCGGATGACTTGCATTGAGAATCGGCTGCTGGCCCTGGGCAAGAGCCGCTACACTTCCAGGGATTTGCTGTGCTTGCCCATTGTGACCCATGATGGGTGGCCCACCCGGATACTGCATGTACGACCGAGGGGTGCCTTCGCCGTGTTGCTGCATCTGCGGGCCGCCAAAGAGGCTGGCCGGACCGCCGGAAGGCTGTACGTTCCCTCCGGGTCCATTCTGCGGGTTGCTACCGAGGTTCGAAAGGAGGCCATTCGGGCCGTGGATAGAGTTGGGGACTTTCGACGCCACGGGCTGGTGGAGGGGGGATCGAGCCGGTGTGGCTCTGGACAGGGTGGTGTTCGCCGCGCTGGCGTTCCATCTGTTGGCGCTCCATCTGTTCGCGTTCGCGCTGGTCACGCTCTCGGTGGGCCATTTCTTCCTGGCGTTGGCGCTCGCGCTCCAAAATCTCGCGTTCCCTTGAGTCCCGTTCACGGTCACGGTTCAGCTGAGGGGATGCGTGCGACATGGCCTGGCCAATGCCGGGAAGAGAATGGCCCGAGCTGTGCGAAGGTCCAGAAGGATGCTGTCCGTAGGCTGGTTGTTGGTGTGGAGGAGCCCCGTGGCTTTGGCTCAGTTCTGCCAGTCCGGGGAGGGAGTGGCCACCTGACTGACCGGCGGGGTGGTAGGGACCTTTGAAGCGGCAAAGCCAAGTTAGTTGTCCATCCTCTTGTACACACCAGGGGTATGCGATCGATTGAGCGGTTTGTGGAAGAGAAAGGTGTGGGGAGAAATGCTAACCGGACGGAGGAGGAAGGACAGGTCCAGAGGGCTGCGACGCAGGGCCCTGTTGAGACGGATTTTGACTAAAAGAGTAGCAAGATGCAAGGTTAGCCGCTGACCATTTCCAATCGAGAACAACCATTGGGGGTTAATACCTGAAAGACCCTAAGGGCCGAGGTTGTTGGTTCATCTGGTCCATGCCAGGGTGCGACGGAGGCCCACCAGCGGGGGAGTGCCAGTTATCATTCCCAGAATTCATGATCTGGGCATGAGCCGAATGACGGCTATGAAAGAAGAGAGGTCGAACAAGGAGGGATTAGGAGTGAATGAGTTGAAGAGAGGGGGGAGAGGGGAGGGGGGAAGAGAAGATGTGTGGGTGGTGGAATGGGCTGGACGAGGGTGAGCTCCAGCAGCTTTTCGCGGTTGGCGTTTCGCAAAGGCTCGGAGTGGGATAAGTGGTGACGCTCGAGCAGCGCCTAGTCACAGCATGACCAGGCAGAAGTTGTCAAATAAAACAAACAGTAAATATACTCCGAGAGCAGAGCCAGCGATAGCAGACGAGGAGTGCGCGCGACCGATCGCGGCCTTCTCCAGTGGAGGCTTTCTTGACCGACTGCGGCTAGTCCCAATGGGGGGAGGCCCCGGATTGTCTTTAGTCCGGTCTGGCAGAACATTTTTGTACAGGGGTAAGGTAAACTAGCGGGCGGTCAGCACAAATAAACACCCAGTGTATCGTCACAGCTCCGTACGACGGGAAGCAAACATTCCTTCCGCCTTCGTCATCGCCCGCAAAGTCGGGCAGAAAATCCCGAGGATCAACCGGAAAATCTGGAGAGGCTGGCTGAGTGTACGAATTAGGGGAAATTGGGAGCTGAGAGATGAATTTTTATTTTAAGCTTCATAAGTAAGGACAGGAAAGGAGTGGTTTGAGGAACTTGACATGTTTGCCCCAACTAAGTGTAGCTACATACAAGATACTCCTATAATCATTACTACCATGGGGTATGCCCAACACAACAAGATCGATCATAATACGCCCCAACCGAGCTTAACATTCTCTCTATCATGAATCACTCCGTACAACGCCTGCAGGTTCAAGGGAGGGGGTGGTGGGAATTGTTCGGGGGACACTTCGGGGGACACTTCGAAACAGGTGGAGGAAGTGGTGCAAGGCAGGTGTGCAAGGTGTGAGTGCAAGTCCTGAATTATGAAACCTGTGGCTTTGCTGCTATGGCATTATTTGCGTTTCTGTTCTTTTCTTATTTGCTCTTTTTTTTCGTTCGTTTTGGGTGCGTCCTTGTTCTCTCAAACACCAGTCCTCCACCCAGTCACCGAATTCGAATTCCTCCCAAGATGCGCCTATCCATGATGTGTATGGCCTCACAGAGCAGAGAAGACGAATAGCTAGAGACGTAAGGTTAGCAATAAGAAAGGTAGAGATCTGATCATAGAGAAACTCACGTTGTTCGTAGCCGCAATCGCAATGCTATCCTCGAAGGGATGCCAGCTCATATGCAGGATCTTCTTGTTGAAATCGATCTGATCGGCATCGGTCTCCTTCTTCATTCGGCTGCCCGGACCCGCGGGGCTGCCGGACCTCGAGCCGGCCTTCTTTCCATTGCCCTTGTTCATCGGGGTCGGTACGCCAACCTTCTTTGCCTTGAAAGCCGACTTATCCGCCTGTAGAACAATCTCTGTCTCCTTCTCCTCCTCTGTCGGGTAGATCATGAAGTTGTTGTTATAGCTACCGGTCATGACATTCTCGGCATCACCCGAGAAGACGACCTCGAACTTGTCAAAGATGCTGTCGTTTTCATATGTGTCGCACAGGCGGGGGCGCAGGTGCTCGTGGATGGGGATGGTCTTAACCGGTTGGCGCTCCATGTTGACGTCCCAAATCTTCACGGTTAGATAGTCCCTGAGACACGATGTACCGGCCGTCGTGTGAGAATCGAACGTCGGAGATGGAGGAGATGATCTCGGAAAAGAAAGAGCGAGAGGATGCATCCTCTTCTTGTTCGAACTCTAAATAGAAAAAGAAAAAAAAAGGTTAGTTTCCTTGCTGAGCAAATCGGCGTAAATAATTGTTTGCTTCTTTGCAGTACATACGCTTCACATGTTCGTCACAGAGCGCTCGCTGGCGCATGTCGGCAAGCTTGATGGTACCCTTGGAGCTGGCGTACATGAACTGGTTGCAACTGACGGGGTGGAATTCAGCCGCGGTGATAACCTCAGTCAGCTCCTCCATGTTTGCGGGCTTGATATCCACAATGTTGAAGCTTTGGTCCTGGATGTTGAGGTTCCACAGGTTCACTCGCAAATCGTCACTGCTGATAAAGGTTTCGCCATCACTGTTCACGGAGATGCTATTTATATGGTACGCGTGAGCATTTGCGTAAGTTCTCCGTGGGACAGCAGCGACCACGGTATCATGGTGTGTCAATCGGGGCAGCTTCAATGCCGATGCGTCCTTGAAAGTCCCACGGGGGGCACGAGGAGAGACCGCCGATGGCGGGGGCCGGAGTCATCTCATTGGAAAGGTTGTTTTCAGCGACCACCTTTAGAGACTTATCAAACACCTTCCACAGCTTAATTGTCTTGTCGTTTGTGGAAAGGAGGAAGTGTGATGCATTCTGTCGCCGACACCATTTTATCTTGTTGATCTTCTCTTCAATCTCTAACGATTTGAGGTAGTCGAATTCGGGCTCGTGGGATTGAAATTCGGTATGGAACTTATACTCGCAGGTTTTTTTCTGAGCGGGGGAGAGAAAAATGTCCGTGTCAGTGATGGGGATTCTTTTTCATGGGGGTTTTTGCCCCCCATCCTTCTCTCTGATCCGAGTTGAGTGAGTTCTAGGCTTACCGTCTCGTTTCGCTCAAACAGAACCACACGTCCACCCTTGTCTCCCGTAGCCAGATAATTTCCAGTGTGATCGAATTCGACGGTTGAGATGATATCAGCTGGCGGGGAAGAGAGTCAGTCCAAGAGTTCTTTCTCGGAGGGCGAAAAAGAAGAGAATGGTACCTTCTGTGATATCCTCTACGTCGCCTTTATCTCCGAAGCATCTGCATCCCACGAGTCAGCCATAATTCACGGTATTCTGCCGATCCGCCGCTTCCACGAGGCATGATCGACCCATCAAAGTGCGCTCTGGGAGACGCCAACTGGGCGGCATCCGCACAACCCCACCGCGGTTCGTCCCCTTTGGACCGAAAGACTCACTGTGTGAACTTCCAGGTGGGTGAGCCTGGATCTCTGTCTACCATCTTTTCGTTCTAAGATCGCCCGTGATCGCGACGGATGGGCGAAGACCGATGCAAGGTTGGAGACGGTGAAGAAAGAAAAGCCGTTGCGCCCGGAATAATTTTTCTTCGGCACGGCGAGCTCTATTGCAGGCGGGGAAAGCGACAATCAGAGCGATGGAAACGACGGAGGGTCGACGACGAAAAATCAGATCGGTCGGCGAGCGATGGTCAATGGTTGTAGGGCGAGCTGGAGGGGGTGGGTGGAGGAATCGGGTTGGATAGGACGGAGCGAGGGGTTCGATGGCGGGATCGCGGGAGAGAGAGAGGGCGGAAGCGAACCCACGAAGAACCGAAGGGGAGAAGGTCTCACGAGAGGCCAAAGGAAAACCAAGATGGATGGGGGGTGGTGGTGGGGGTTGAGATAGGAGGAGGTAGTTGGAGGGGGAGAGAGGAGGGGAAGCAAACGAGCCGTGGATGTTGGGTGGGCCCGAAGCAGAGCTTGAGCAGCGGTGGGAGGGAGTGGTGGTGGGCAGCAGCTGAGGGCAGAGGCAGCACTGGATACGAGGAAGTACTAGTATAGCAGATAGCAGAATAGCATAGCAGATACTGCTATGCTATTCTGCTATGCTATCTAGTCATGTCTGTGAGTAGTCTAGTCCTAGTAGTTCATACTGTAATACTAGAGCACTGCCAGAGAATACTCTACTCTACTACTACCGATCCTGACATCAACCATTTACACAGTGCAACATCGGGTGGGGCATGAGTAGACACACTATCGCAGTGGCTATAGTATATACTCTAACAGTATATTATATAGATAAATATAAGAGGCACATCTACTAGTACTAGTATAGTATATGTATATATCTCATTTTTACCTCGACTATCGAGCTCTTAATACTCTAGTTCTAGTATACTAGACTGCCCAGCCTCTGTCGTCATCTAGGCAGACACAACCAGTAGTAGTAGTAGGGGGGGCCCTAGGTAGTTAACCATTCCACTTTTACTTAAATACCTAGGTATGCATGAAGTCTCGACAGGATCCACCTGGTAAAATTGAAAAGTGCCCAGGTGCCAGCCTGAGTGCTTCAACTTGAAGTTGTATATCCACACTTACCGCGGCAATTGACCCCCAATATATAGTAGAACAGCCGGGGAGTATATAAGATGACACAAGTTCAATCCAACAATACTAGTATGATGTAATTTACTAATATTATGCCTAGAGTTGACCTCTGAATTACTACTATGCTGATTGATTAAATATGGCATTTAATTTAGAATACTACCAGTACCTATGGTAGTCACACCTCTGCTATTACTAGTACCCATCCATCCGGCCTTCACATGTTCAAGTTCCTACTTTGTCCGCTCTAAACCACCCACCTTCCACTCCTTCACTCCAATGCCTCTGACCTTTACCCACTGGCACTGAAAGGTCCTTCCCTCTCAAATAACAGCCAATTCCTCAAATAACAATCCTCCATCCACTTCACCGCCATGACCGACCCGAACATGCGGGGTACACCGCCAGCCCGCCAGCCCGACTCCAAGGCCGCACCAACCTCAACCTCAAGCTCAAGCTCAACCCCAAATCCAAGCACAGGCCCAAGCAAAAGTGCCAACACTAGCAACAATGCAAGCACTCCCTCCCAACCCTCCCTCGCATCCCGCATCCAATCCTCCGCCACAGGCCTCGCCCGCTCCGCCCTAACAGGACCAAGCGACTACGCGCAAACCCTCAACACAGCAACACAAGGCAAAGCCGCAAGCTCTTCTTCAGCCTTGGCCTCAATATCAGCCTCTGGTTCTGGCTCAAGCTACGCCGCAAATCCAAACAACCATGTCCCCTACTCATCCTCCTCCGCACAACCCCAACAACAAACACCCGCACCAACCTTCCGCAACACCACCACCAACCAACCAGGCGCATTCTCAATCCCAAACATAACCGAAGAAGAATTCCAACGCGTCTACACCGATATCGGGACCTATGGCCGAGCATACTACGATTCAGAGACAGGCACCGGCACAATCACAGGCATTGACACCAACACCAACGCCGAGACCGATGTACACAAATCAAACCTCACCGCAACCTCAAGCCAAAACGAATCCGACCACGAACCCCTCCAATCAAACAAAGGCCCCTGGAAAGGAAAACACAGACTCCAAGACCCAGTCCAACTAGAATACACCACAGCCTGGGAACGCGCTAGTCCACACACTTTCACCACAGAACCTCTGGAACAAAATACATACACGCCCGTCTCAACAGACGGTGACGCAGTCTCAGCGCTTCTCTCAGATCCATCTTTCGACGCAGCTGGATACGACGAGGACGATAACTTGAATTATAACGTCGATCTCGACCTTGAGGCGGACTTGGCGCCTCTTTCGGATGAGGAGGTTAAGATGTTGGAGTCTTTTCGTCGGGATATGGGCATTGGCATTGGGATGGGTTCTGGATCTGGATTCGACAACAGAAAAATCCCACAAGGTTCCGTCCCATTGTCCTCGGTTAGTCTAGTTCCTGACATCGACGCATTTCTAAACGAGCACGACCCCGGAGCCAGAACCGGAGCAGTCTCGCTTCGAGATAGAGTGCTGTCCGAATTACCGGGCTCGAATGAGTGGGTTGGTGTGCAGGAGCGGTATCATGATGAGGTTTGGGGTTATTTGAGGCCTGCGCTTGAGGCGGCGAGGGAGGAGATTGAGGAAAAGGAGAAGGGTGTTGAGGGGGAGGGGCATGATGGGGATGGGCCCGCTGTTAGGAGGTTGAAGATGATTTTGAAACATATGGGTGGGTAGTTAGTACATGAATACTATGTGTATATCTATTGTATTAGTACAGATGTTATGTTTAAGAAATCCTGCACGGTTGAGCTTGAATTCAAGTTGTATTACTAGGAGGTACTCGAAGTAACGTTATCCTACTCCCCAGACGAGACCTAAACATCAATCCTATACTCCATCTATCCCAACCTCATCCACAAGCCTACACCAAGCTCATCCTCAACCACATAAAATCGAATACCCACCTGTAAGCGCAAGTCTCGCAAATCCCACCGCTCATCATCACTATCATCGCTCCAATTAGGCTTCAATAGAGCCCAAGTCCGCGAGACGATCCGTTTGATGTTACGACAAGACGAAGACTGGACAAATGACAGTGAATCCAATGAGGAATCGTTTGACTGCTCCGTCCAGCCAATATTACCAATGCCCTAGAAGTCAACACGAATGCAAACCTCCACAGTCTCGGGCAATACACTCCCAATATCTAATCAAGTTCGACAGTCTCATCTCATCCCACAAGTAACGTCACCGGTACTTCAAACTTGCAAAGGTTGCGGAATCGCAGCAGAAAACCTCGCAGTTTCTCGCTTAACGACTGCTCACTCGCTTCTATAATATAACACCCAAGCGTGGGCGGGTATCTAGTCAAGTACTCAAGCCTTAGAGAGATTCGTGACTGAGTCTGCCACATAGTCCAATCCCAATCCCCGAATTATATCTTGTCCATCTTCAAGTTCCAAGGCAGTCTCTCGGCCCCATCCCCATCGGCAAGTGAGGCCTAGCTAATGGTCGACCTTGTCAAGATGAGGGTATATAATTGGTCTAGATTCCATCTTTCGGTCACTGATCGCTTTCGTCGCGCCTATATCCCGATCTTGCATTGCGTCTCCTAACCAGATAACTAGAGATTTCAGTGAGGGGAGATAAACAACGCTGTGAATTGATCGGGCTCTGTTCAGGACTGTTCGTGATAAATTGAGAACAAACACGTCGTGCGGGAACTGGTTCGTCCCATGAATGAGATTGTGTGGTAGAGGAGTGGAGTGGTTTGACTATGGGATGGAGTGGATTTCTCTCGATATGAGTGAGAGACGTAGGTGATTGTCACTGGTTAGATAATCTGCGATTGCTTTCCAGCAGTCGTAGGGTAATGTTGTACTGTGCATTGTGATTATTTGCAGCTTAGGACGGCGGGGGTACGAATACTACTAGTAACCTGGAACTCAGGCTGGACTGCCGAGGCTGATCGCTTCCCGAGGCGGCTGTCTTACCGTCACCCTTTATTACTAGTACTACGCTGTTGCTGAGTTCCTCGTAAGCATCAAGGACTACTGAACATACATTACGATAACGACAAGACAACGAGAACAAAAGAGAGGAAAAGAGCGGAGGCAAAACATCTCTAGATAATGCATTTAAAATATGTTACACGAAGAGAGAACCCTCGATCAAACGGGCCAGACTAACTAGACAAGACAAGACCAGACCAGCCAATACCAATTCAGTCAGTCATAGTCAGTCAGTAAGTCCAAGCACGCCATCGTATATCGTAAGAACATGGCAGAACATCGCATCGCAGAGAAGAACGGGGTATGAGAGCAAAAGATCAGGTTTTGTCAAGGAGGCACAGAGGGGTACTCCATCTACAGCTCCAGGCTGGGAGTTTGACCCTTGACGCGGCCGATGACGGTCTGGGCAGCGTACTTGGGGATAACCTCGTCGTCGTGGAGCATGGCGAATTCTGCGTAAATATCAGTTAGTGTATGTTCATAAAAGAAGCCAGGGGCCTAGGTAGGTGCTGGACTCACCCTCAGTAGCATCACGGCCCATAAAGTTGAACAGAGCGTTCGCACCGCCGGGGTGCTCGTCCAACCAGTTAGTCACATCTAGAACGATACCCTTAACGGCAATCCACAGGTCGTCCTTCTTGTTGTGCTTCGCAATCTCCTCCATAGTATACTCCTTCTCAGGGATCTGGAAGTTAGCCGGGTCAGACTTAGCCTGCTCAGCCGGGGCAGCGGCGGCGGCGGGGCCAGCGGCAGCAGCAGCAGGGGTAGCAGCCACAGTAGGCAAGCTACCACCGGAAGCGGCACCAGCCCACTCAACAGAGATCTTGCCGGGGGTATTGGGGTCAATGTGCAGAGAGATCTGGCCAAGACGTTGCTGGGCAGCAGAGGAGCCAGAGTTTATGACCTTCTGGAAGAGGTGCTGGGAAGCAGAGTCACCAGCGACACGACCGTAGACAACACAGCCGAGCAGCGAAGAACCGCCGAGACGGTTAGCGCCGTGAACACCGCCAGCCAATTCACCACAGGCATACAGGCCGGTGAAGGGCTCCTTCTCCGAGTTCAGAACCTCGGCGTGCTCGTTGATCTCGATACCGCCCATAGTGAAGTGCAGAACGGGCTCCATGGTCGCGACGTGGAACTCATCGTCCAGCTTGAAGGGCATGTTGTGGAAGAACTTCTTGTTCCAGGGGTCCTTCTTCTTGCCATCGGCGATGAGGTTGTACTCGTCGAAGGTCTTCTTGAGAGCGGCTTCGCCGCAGCCGATTTCCTCGACCAGTTGCTTGCCGGTCAGCTTGCGCATCAGACCACGGCCGGAGTAGTGGCGGGTGTGGAAGTCCAGCACATTGGAGGCCTTGCTGTTAAGCACGAGGCGGATGGGCCACTTGCCCTTCTCCTTCTCGATCCACATTTGGTTCGAGACGTAGTCACGGTGACCCAGTTCGTCGGAGAATCGCTCTCCGTCCTTGTTCAGCAGGAGACCACCCTCACCACGGAGGGCCTCGGCGGCCAGGAACTTGAACTTGGCACCTGGGTCCTTGGGGTCGACGAGACCGGTCGGGTGGACCTGGACCTTGTCCATGTCGATGCCGTTGGCACCGATCTCCATGAGCATCTTCTGTCCGTCACCGGTGGCGTGGGTGCCGTTGGTGGAGGAGAGACCGAAAGTATCGGGGCGGTGCTTCTTCAGTAGGGAGGTGTCGCTGAAATCAGCGGCGTAACCGCCAGTGGCGAGGACGACGACACCTTCGGCGACCTTGGTCTCGCCGTTGATGGTGTAGGTAACGCCGGTGACGTGGTTGCCGGACTTGTTGACGCTGGTGACGTTGGCCTTCTTGACGATTTGGACGCGGCCGGGCTCGGAGTCGGCGAGCTCTTCGAGGCGCTGCATCAGCGCGTAGGTGATGGCCATACCGGGGAATTTGGCATCGTGACCACGGTGAGTGCGGGGGTGGGTGTGACCGCCCAGTCGGGAGACGAGGGTGAGATCGAGGTTGAAGACATCCTGCAACCACTCGACGGCGGCGGCGGACTTGTAGGTCAGGACCTTGATGAGGTCGGGGCGGGCCTTGTCACGGGCGGACTTGAGAGTGTCCTCGTAGAATTGCTTGACGGTGTCGGGGATGCCGAGGTCGGTCTGGGTGCGGGTGAGGGCACCGTTGATGCCGGAGGTGGCCTTGGTAGAGTTACCACCGAAGAAGGCCTGCTTGTCCAGAACGATGACGTTGCCACCGTTCAGGTAGACGGTGTGGGCGGCACTGAGGCCGGAGACTGGAAAGTGTTAGAGAGGATGGAAGGGAAGGGCAAGCAGAGAGAGGGAGAGGGAGGGAGAACATACGACCACCACCGACCACAACGACTTGGGGTGCTGCCATGATGTGTGAAGTGAAGGGAGAATATGGGGGAAGATGGAGGAGAAGAGGGAGAGAGAAAAAAGGAGGAGGAAGTGAAAAGGGAAGAGGAACTCTTAAAGGGAACGAGGAAAGTCAACTCAGAAGCCGACGAAGAGAGGAGCTATCGGCCGAGGCACAAACGTGGGGGACGATGGGAGTCGATGGGATGGGCCCAGTTGTGGATCAACGACTGTGGATATTTCCGGGGAGTGTGAGTAATGAGGAATGCGAGACTGCTGGTTTGTGCTTGAAAGGGGGATCCATTCTGGGGAAGATAGTACTATCACATGGGAAGTTAGGGGGTTAGCTAGTATGATTACGGGGTACTCTTGATCAGATGTTGCAATGTTGCATAGTGTAGGACTACGGAGAGACATTCACATGCACATGTGAGCATAGGTATGGGTATACGAGTAGGTAGAGAGGAGGCATAGGTATAGGATAGATACAGTGGATAATACCTGGGCATAGTGGATAGCAGTAGATAGTGGATATACAGACACTCGTATGCATCTCTAGAATCCAAATTCAAAGCATTTCGGAATCAACATCTTCAGAGCAAAGGCAACCGGTAACTCGGTTGGGGTGAATTCCGTGAACCTCGGAAGTCAGTGGAGGCCGAGCTGCATTCGGTGTACTAGTGGGAGTACAAGGTGCTGTGCATTAGTGTACTACTATACTATACTGGGGGATATAGTCAACTATTTACACAATATACACTCTTATATATTATCTTATATACTACTTTATCCTCTATTCTATCCTCTATATTCTGCTCTGCATACTCTGTACTATCCTCCATGATCACATCTCGTTGCCACCACCGCTGAACTTTGGGTCTGCTGTGATTGGTGGAAGTTGCTGAGGTAATCCGGGGTCGGCTGATGATGTCATCCACCACGCATCCCCTTTGGGACAAGTCAATTGCCGACGGAATTCTCTCTTCCATCCCCATCGTTCTCATCATTTCCCGATCAATCGGGCCTCCTTCTGGCGAGAAATACTAAAAGGCCCATCTCGCCCCAGTTTCACTGGCCTGAACAGCTGCATCTCGGTCTCAATTGTTGCGGTCGGCCCGCACGCTGAAATCTCGGGGTAATGCATTCCGAAGGAGCTAGGTCATCTCGCCCGAGAGCCGATGTGCAGCCCTGGAGCGCAGAGTATATCACCGAGGACGGAGTAGAGGACGGAATACATTATATTCAAGTGGCCTGCTAATAACATGCTCACGGTGAAATGCGTATCGTGCTAGTTGGAATTACAGAACACACTCTGCTATACTATACTATACTATACTAACTACCACCACTAATCCATCCAAGTCACACTCTTC